TTTTAAAGTAGTTTCTATGATTAACATGTATCGCTAAGTATAATAGCTTGATATATAGTGCGAGTGGCGAATATATAGAAACGAAAGAAGAGAATGAAGATACTGATCATTCATGTGTAAGCCAATTTTTATTGGGAGAATAAGTACCAAGGACTTTCCAGTGCTTTTTCATGAATGTAAAAATGTATTTATTGTTAAAGACAACAAAATTGTAAATAAAACTTGTTATTTGGACCTGATTTACTAAATTTGTAGATAAAAATCACTTGTAAATCGTATTTTCAGCAGTAGGTGATAACAGTTTTTCGTTATACGATAACTTATATATTTCATCGAAAAACTAAAAGTTTCAATGGGTAAAAGAAATAATTCTTACAAAAAGAAAAGTAGAAAGTCAGTTATGAAACGAATTCGTTCAGACAATTTGAAGAGGAAGCGAGATTATATATCATCATCAAGCGCGAACGAAGAATCAATAATGTCAATGCAAAATGAATCCACATCAAGCAAACAGAATGTTAACGATAATTTGAATTTGAATTTAATTATTCACATGAATTCTTTGATATCATTACTAAAACAATTTATATGTTCTGGTTGCAATAAACGTTGGGATGGATCCACCACTATCAAAGAACGAAATGGGTTATACATACAGCTTGAATTCATGTGCTATAACTGTGGATTTCTCACTCGTTTATATTCATCGCCGAAAATGCGAAACGGTAGACGTCATGAGATCAATGTTCGATTGGGTATTGGAGGTACTTTATGTGGATTAGGCCGAAGTGGAATAATGAAATTACTAGGCTCTTTAAATTTACCACCACCAGTTTAGGAGCACAAGTACCGTGACGTGCAAGAATTTATTTTGAATTATGTAGAAACAGCTCAAGAGCAGTCAACGATTGATGCTGTTTATGATGCTATCTCTGAAGCTGGTGATGTAGAAGATTTAACAGTAAGTGGTGATGGAGCATGGCTAACTAGAGGGTTTTCTAGTCTTCATGGAATCGCAGCTATATGTTCAACAACATCGAAACCAAAAGTTATAGATACTAATTGGTGCTCCAAAAAGTGTTCTAAGTGTCAAGGTGCAGAAAGTCTGCGTCATGTTAATTCTGATTTATTTAGTACATTTCAGGAGAATCATGAATGCCAATTGAATTTTATAGGTATCTAACAATCAATTGTATATCATTTTATCATAAAAGCTTTTCTAATTTAGGAGCATCGGGTGCAATGGAAAAAGAGATGATTTATGAAATGTTTTGCGGATCCTTACCAAAATATGATATTAAATACATATCTTATATAGGAGATGGGGATGCTAAAGTACACAAATATTTAACAACTAATCCTCCATATCCTGGTGTCACAATTAGAAAACTCGAAGATACAAATCATTTTGCAAAAAGAATGTTGAGCCGCATCAAAAAGATCAAGCCAGAAAATAAGAATACAATTTTGTCCGATAGCAAAAAAATTAGTGGTAAAGGGCGGCTGACTGATGGTGATGCAATAAAATTTAAAATTTATTTTGCTAAAGCAATACGTGAATCTAAAACTGATTTAGATAAACTTTACGAAAAATCATGGGCTATATTCAATCATCATTACTCCACAGACATAGAACCGATGCATGATTGGTGCGATCCGCAATGGTGCAAGTATCTTCAAGCAAAATCAAACGGTCAACAATTTACTCATAATTCAAGATTAGCAATTCCAAGAGCATGCTTGGACTTGATAAAACCCGCTTTTCTCGAGTTGTGTTCTAAAACTAGTTTAGCACGTGTGGTAGGTGGTGGATCGCAAAATGCCAATGAGGCTTTTCACTCATTGTTGTGGACTATGGTTCCTAAGCACCGTTTCTGTTCTTCCACTATTCTTCGTACGGCATTAGGTTTATCAACAATAATTTATAACGATGGCTATAGTTCATTAGACAAACTATTTACAAGCGTCTTCTCCTCCATAGGATATTTTTCTTCTGAATGTTTTGGCCGACTTCATACAGCGAGAAAATCGCTTACTTCAAAAGTTAAAAAAAGACGTAAAAAAAGTGCAACAACAACAATAATGACAACAACTGCTACTGCTAATAACTCTTCAAGTGAAAGTGATGATGAATTTTCATTTATTCCAAATAATAATAATTTTGCGGATATTACTCAAGGCTTGATCGCATTGGAACTATCTGAAGATGATGCAGATATGGATTATGAACCGGGAGGGGATGATTAATTTTTTAAAACTTCTTATAATTTATCCAAATTTTTTGAAAAACTGGTCAATAAACTTTGCTAGGATCTTTTTTCTTACAGAGGAATTCACATATTTTCATCGGTTTCAGATAATTTTCAACTACTATTATTATATGGTATAAAATCACTCATATAAATTCAGATGATTTGGCTCCTATGATACCAAACAGTTTCGATTAATTTTACAGTGGACATAACATAAACATATGGAGCAAAAATATTTTTTCCATATGCCTTTGAATACGTCCATTCAACTCGTTCTGATCAATGATCGATAGGAAATCACTAAAAACTTCATTTCGCACCATGTTATTGTAGAAAAAGTTTTGAAATTCACTTCTCAAACTTGTTTTACGTTTTTCTCAAAATAGAGTTTTTTGCTTTAACACTTTTGTATTTCCCAAATTTCTCCGCCATTTTAAACGCTAGACACTTGCGGTTGGTGTTAAAATGACTCCAATGATCGGTTCTAGAAATTAACAAAGACAGAATCTACGATTTGTTTGTTTAATATCTCATCAGATTCAAATCTTTTACAAGGTATACCCTATTTTTTGCCATACAGTATGAGATAAGCTTGAGTAAAAAAATTGGAAATGAAAAACAAAAATCCGACCTTGTCAAGTTGTAGCGCAACGTTTTCGGTATAATTTAAAAGTGACCCGAGCTTTCTAACATTTGAAATGACTGAGAAATTTGGGAAACGCTGGCACCACCATTTTGGCCCATAATCGTGAGATAAACCATGATTGGCTCAATATTTCGAACTGAAATTTTTTTCGTAAGTTTACTAATAGTAGATACACCTTCCCTGAAAATTTCAGCTAGATCGGATAATCCGGAGCAAAAATAGAAATTAGGGTCGGGGGGGGGGCTTAATAAAATTAGAAAATCATCTGTTATCGGATATAGCAACTATGGATCGGGTGCTTTATTTTGAAACTGTACGAGTATTTGTTGTGGATTTGTTTTCTTTTATGACTTTTAAAATGTTGGAAAATGCTTCTTTTTGATCCATTCGTCATTGCTTTCTTTATCATCGTCAGCGTCATTGTCATTATCATCATCGTCATCATGTGTATGATTGATTTCATTTGATAGACAGATTTCATTGTCGATAAAATCAATTAGGAAGTAGTTTAATGCATCTTTAATCCATATTTGCTCCGTATTTAATATTAATTTAATGAGATCGTCTTTTTTTATATATTCATTTAGCAATAAGAATGGTTTACGTGAACGACTGATGTCGGATGATGATTTACATATTAAAATGAATAATTCATTGGACAGATTTTTGTTTTCGATTATAGTTTTTCCTTTGGATGATATAAACGATCTTATTTTAACACACTTCGTAGATGAACGAGATCATATATTTGAAATATATTTTCAAAATAAATTTGCTCTATGTGTTGGAAAAAAAAGTGACTCAGATGATTTACAAATGCAAACGGCACAATTTTATTCATCAATTCGTGGCCAATGGGAATCATTAGCAAGTGGTTCATCATCACATTCACAACCAACATCTCCTATTGCCACTACGTCAACACCAGTCACATCGGTTACTACCAAAGTAGCGAGTGATTTAAGACGAAAACGAAGTATCTATCGACGTCCACCATGTGGAATAGATAATGAAGATAAAGATCTACATGAATTGTATACATTTACTGGTGAAAAAATTGGCGAAGGTATGTCGGATTTAAAAGGTGAAAAACTATTTGAAAATTTTGTTTTTGCAAATTTTAGGTCAATTCGGACGAGTTGTTGGTGCTATTCGAACATCAACAAATCGTAAGGTTGCTATAAAATGTATTGAAAAAGCAAATTGTAGTGAAGAAGATATTCGACGAACAAATGAAGAAATCGATCATCTTTATAAATTCAATCATGTAAAAGAATTCATTTACTAGAAGAAGAGAAAAATATTTCTATGTAAACTTTTTCGGTTTTAGGTTAATATTCTTAAGCTTGAAGCTTATTTCGAACGTGGAGATGCTGTTTATATTATTACCGAACGTATGGAAACCGATATGTGTAAATATATAATGGAATCACAGAATAAATGGCTCGATGAAAATATGAGTAAAATGCTCATATATCAAGTAATTATTGCATTAAGATATTTACATTCAAATAATTGTGGTCATCTCGATGTTAAATGTGAAAATATTCTCATATCATTTCTTAAACCAATACCAGCCAATAGCAATACCGGTCGATCTAATCAAACAAAATATAAACATGATTTACCTTTAGCAAAATTAGCTGATTTTGGTTACTCGAGAATTATTGGTGAACATTCATTTCGTAAAACACGCGTAGGCACAGTATGTATTAGGTGGAATCAATGTGAATATTAAAATTAAAATTAATCTTCTTTGGTTGATTGTTTTGTTTTTAGAAAGTTTATTGTGCACCAGAGATATATCACAGCAAAGAAGGTTATAATCGATTAGTGGACATGTGGAGTGTTGGCATTGTTCTATATGCAGCTCTATCTGGTACATTGCCTTATGATGAAAAAGATGTTCATCGTGCTGAAGAAATAGTACGTAATAGGAAATTACTCTTTTCTCAACCACGATGGAAAGATATAACAGATGAAGCAATTGATCTTATTTCAAATAAACTATTAATCGTTCAGGCAAATACACGTATTAGATCAACAGTGAGAATTTTGTTTTTAATTAGTTAAGTTTTATTAATGAAATGATTTTTTTTCCCCACCTAGGAAGCTCTATTTCATGCATGGTTTACAGATTTTCATTTATATAAAAAATTACGTGAAATTGAAGCACGAATAGAATATGATCTATCATCTAAACAACATCCATTACCATCAACAGTAACTTGGCTGACGGAAGAACGTGAAGATGCTGCATGGATGGAATATAAATCTATGTATGATAAATCAAATGAATGATCCCAAACAAAACCGTATAAATTTCTTCTAGTTTTTTCTTTTCTTTTCTTTTCATACGTTATGAAAAAAAAGACAGTTATGTAGATGTTACATATATATATGTACATATGCTGTTGTGATGTGTAACTTTGTTCAAATATAATCAAGCTTATTAAGTATTGTATGTGTAATAAGAGTTAATCATTTTTTATTTTATCCTCTAATTATTGCTGTCAACTTGTTTGGAAATTTACAATTAATACAGTATTATTTGCAAATAATTTTCTTCATTTTCTTAATAGAAATTTCGATTCGTAATAGAATAAGTTATGTTTAGTGTAGTTTTCTTATACAATATGATTTGCGCTCTTCAATCGGATACATGATTTATATGTCACTCAAGATTATTATTCTAGTTATATATTCAACCAATCTCATGCATTAAGATTGGATGAGGACCAGTTACCTTTCATATTATATGGAGAAGAAAAAAAGTTACTAGAATGATTATATTAAATGCACTTGCTTTTATTATATATTTTTCTCTTTTATGTGGCGACACGACACTGAAAAATACATCTCACTAGTAGACAGTAAAATACAAGCTCAATCATGTGTATTTGTTGACTCGTGAAAAACATTCTCCTTGAGGGCGTGGTGTTCTTATCTTTCTTCACAGCCACATCACACCCAAGCTATTTTTTAAACTAACTTTTTCCTATCACTTATCCTCATCCCAACTCACATATACTCTTTCAATTATAGATTACGTTCAAATTAATTAGATAAGTCGATAAATTCATTGATAGTCACTTGTTAACAGTGATAATATATTGAATTAAAAGACAGAACATTTTTTCTTTCAGATATTTAATTGATTTAAAAGATGTTGAATTACAAAATTAAATTAAACAATTTTTTTAAAGGCATCCTGTCACCAGAATAGATACTACTGTATTAAGTTAGGCAATATTGATATAATTTAGATATGGATTGCTATATGTTTAGATATTACATTAAATGCATGCCTACAAAAAATTACCTATTTTGAATTCTTCTAGTACTACTAGTGCATTCAATGTACAAAGAGAAGGGCTACTAATAATATTAAAAAACATTTTCCATTTAACAGGATTAAATACAAGGTAACATATGCAGTCGTTTGTGTTTATTTTTGTTCTCAAGGTAATCCTCAAGGAGTCTGTTATCATTTCATGATGCTATTTACTTAGTCCTTTGTCAATTCCGTGTAGTCCGATCATCTTTCGATAATCTCTCTATTCTAGATATCGTGTGATTATTGTTTCGTATTTGATACTATTTGTTATGACATATCATGCTGCTGTAAATTCATATAATAATATCTTTAATAAATATTGCTATTGCTATATATCTCTCTTGTTCTTGTAATGACGAACTTCGATGTTTTAAAATTTTCAATAAATAATGCTAATAACTGTATTCTCTATTTCGAAGATCGTTCTACTAGTGATTTGAACGAAACAAAAATCTGTATTAATTTAAAGACTCTGTGTTTGTGTATAGAAAGTTTACGTTTGAATTTTAATTCTAATCTTTAATAGACGACGAACATCAATTGGTTTAGTTGAATGAAAGATAACATATATGTCAATAGAAAATAGACTACAGTGGAAGTTAATCAGTACAACTAGTAACTTATAAGGAAAAAGTTGCGATAATTATCTGACAGAAAGAAAAAAAGGAGAGTTTTAGGTTACAAAAATCATGTGCGTATTTGCCAAGAAAAAAAACTACCGAGAACATATGAATAATACGTGTGACGTATTTCTGTACTATGGCACGTCTCTAATGCGTGCTACAACAATCATAAATCAATTATCCTAGAATGCATAACTTCGATTATATCTATAATAAATCATGTTAAAATTCTATTGATGTGTGTAGTAAAAGAAAAAAGTAGGAAAAATAAAGTAAAATTGATATACAATTTGTGAAAAATACACGAAGTTAACATTCATCTTTAATGATTGCGTTATTACGTCTGAGACAGCAACCAATTTTTGTCGAAGAAAAAATAAAATTTTGATCAAAATAGAAACGTATCCCAATAGCTGCTGCATTTCTCATTGTATTGTTTAATAATTTAGTTCACAGGTAATAGTTTTTCACGTAGTTGGCCACGATAATTTTTATTTATTATGGTTTGAGCGTGATTAGGTCCAAACGAATGAAGAAGAATATCAACAGCTCGTTCAGCATGTTCATATGCTTGCTCATATTGCTTAGTATCTTCAAGTGCTACAGCCATATTGCTTATAGTGATTGCTAATGATGGATGACTACTAGAGAGATGCTTCTGTTCAATTTCCAATGCTTTTTGATAGTATGATAATGCCTTTGAATGATCACCCATCGCTCGATATGTTTCACCTATATTATTGTATGTACTAGCGGAATCTAGAGGATTACTACATGATAAAATCTTTTGTATTTCAATTGCTTTTGTATAGTATACAAGTGCTTGTTCATAATCCTCCATGCAATCATACATACTACCAATATTATTATGAATAGTAGCCAACGATGGATGATTGGACGGAAGAGATTTCTGCCATATTTTTAATGTTTTTCCATAGTATTCGAGTGCAGTTGGATATTCTTTCATAGATTGATATATCGTACCAAGATTATTGTAGGTGCATGCTAGTGATGGATGATCTGGTGGAAGACATTGTTCTTCGATTACGAGCGTCTTATCTAAGTATACAAGTGCAGTCGGATAGTTTTCCATAAACCGATATACTAAACCAATATTATTATATGTAGTTGCTCGAGAAAGTAGATTTGACTCGGAAAGTTTTTCTTGAATTTTAAGTGCTTCTTCAAAATATGACAGTGCAACAGTATATTTTCCCATTAATTGATATACATAACCAATATTACTGTAAGCAAATGCTAATGATGGATGATCAGCTGGAAGAGATTTTTCTTGAATTTCAACTGTTTTTGTATAATATAATAGTGCATTTGAATAGTCTCCCAAAAGACTGTATATTCCACCAAAATTATTATAACTAGCAGTAAAGAATGGATGATGAGGAGGAAGGGAAGATTTTTGAGTTTCATAGGCTTTTTCATAATATGAAAGAGCCTCAGAATAGTCTCCTTTAGATTCATAGATCATGCCAAGATTACAATAAACATTACTCAAGGATGTATCATTTGACGAAGAAGATTTCAATCTTATGTCAAGTGCTATTTCACAGTTTGAAAGTGCCAAGGTGTAATCTCCCAATGACCGATGTACCATTCCAATATTATTATAGACAGTAGCCAATGATGTATGATCAGATGAAAGATAATTTTTTAATATTTTCGATGCTTCTGTATACCATGAGAGTGCATCAGAATATTTCTCCATTGAATCAACCATTAAACCAATACTATTATAATCAGACGATAATAAATTCATCAATTTTTCATCATCAGTATCGTCCGTTATTTCCCTTATTTTCTGAAGAACTTTTATCGCTATATCATATTTACCCATTTTTTGTAAAATAGTAGCCAAAGAATGCCAATGAGTTACACAATAAATCTCACTACGTATATGATTTATTAAAAACTTCGACTGTTCATGCATGTCAGAAGTTAAGGCTAAATTAACGATCCATAGTCGATCTTCAATTTTGTTTATTTTAACAATTCTACATACGCTATGTGCAGAAATTAAAACCTCATTTTCTGCTTGGAAATAATAACTGTGATTATTTAAACAGGCGAACGGAATTGAACAGATCGATGGATCAATTTCTATTTCAAATAGAATGCCTATGGTTGTATGATCAAGTATAGCAGTTTTTGCAAAAGTCATGGCTACTTCTTGATCGGTACTTGTTGATAAAAACCAATTAAATGCAAAGACTTCACCTTCTCGTTTTCGAAACTTTTCAAACTCATCTGCTAACATTCCATGCCCTCGATAAAGAGTCACTTTAGTTGTTCGATCAGTTTCATAATAGATTCTTTTTATTTCTCGATGAAGATCTTGCATAAAAAATCCCATTTTAATTATCATATTAGCATCATGTGTTTGCACAGCACTACTCAATAGTCTATAGACAGCGGATTCCTTTGTATACCACCAAATCGGCGAATGATTATGATAATCATTTTCAAGTTCATCAATTGCTTTCACTGTTGCCTTATTATCAGCATAATATTGTCGACAATAATTAAATGATTCCTTTTTTGCTTGGTCGTCATATTCAATTTTTAAAATAATTTCAAGAAGTAATTTTGAATAGATATACGATGGATCAAGTTCATCGAAATCATTATTTACTATAGAAATTATACTGTTAGTTGGATGATTATTTTCAGGTGGATAATTCGCTTGTTCGATTGCAGCAATAATAGATTCAATATTAGTGAAAGTTCCTTTTTGATTCTGACATTCATTTTCCCAGAATTTTTCTTTCAATGGATCACTACAAAATATATAAACGGTATCAATTTGATTGATTTCTTCAATTAGATTCGTACCATGAATATATTGTTCATAGAAAGAATCAGCAATAATCATAAATGTGTTTTCATTTTTAATAGTCTTAAGATAATTAATACACTCACTAATATTATCAAATATTTCAATCGAACTAATTAAATATTGAATTTTTTGAAATGAATTTTTAATATTTTCATGAGTATAATTGTGATCTGAATTCAACCAAATAATAATATTATGTTTGATAATACTAGAAGAATTTATAATCGATTTATTGACTTTGATATTTGTTGCCATTGCAATAATAGTGGAAGAACCCTTTAATATTGTATATAATTAAATAAATCTTCTTTTTCATGAAATCGACGACATGTATTTGGAGTTTTTCTTAGAAAAATATGCCTATCGAAAGAATAAACTTGACTATTTTTTATTTACCAAGTAAATTTTCTAAGTTGGAAAATTCATTTTGCTTCTCACGGCAAGTATAATTTTCGTAAACATAGCGTTGGTAAAAACAAATTTGATTTCCTCTGCTTCTACCTACAACGTGACAAAACAAAAAAGAACGAAACATCACTGTCAAGAAGTATGGATTTTTTTTTCTTTTCGCATCAAGTCAGAAATAAAATAAATTGTTATTTATTCAACAATTCGAAACCAAATGTTTAATATGAGATTATACGAATACTCTGCAAGAGAGCATACATTGATTAAAAGAAAAACAAATTCTTTAGAATTACTTCAATAGTTTCTTAATCTACATAGTGACCTTGGCCGCCATGTAGAAACTTTTGTTGAACATCTATTGAATCTGGCGTCTAATATTAGAAAATCAAAATATCTGATACGAGCAACTTGTTTTTATTTGATGGATTGTTAAAGGACATAATTGAAATGGTTGACTGACCTACAAATATGGTAAAGATGTACCAGCTGTGGCCATGATAGTAGACTGTTAGTTAGATCGTAGTTAATGTCTATCATGTATTACTCATTTCTGCTACTGGTAGTTACCGATACCAACCAATGGAATAGTCAAAAAATACAAAATAAACAGAGGACGTCTAGACTCAGCGTGTACCACACGGAATAGTTTTGTTTCTAATACCTTCTGGTTTCGATATTTATCTCTTCAACATCTGTGCTTCGACATTTTTCTCTTTGACCTTTCTACGTCACACCGTAGTTTTCCTAATTGAACTAATAAGTTATAAACAGGTAATTGTTTCTGATAGATGGTTAAATACCGATCGAACACCATCGAAACGAAAAATGTCAAAAAAAAAACAGATACAAGTTGACATAAGGAGAATGAAAACCCTGTCAAACAAATTTGTATCCTTTGAGAGTGTGCATTACGACCATCTATTCATTAGGATGTGAGAATAGAGGTAGTTCTTCTCCTTACGCACATTTTGATGTGTCCTTTGACGCATAGAAATCTATTAGACCGCTTTTTTCCATAGATGAGTGAGTACTAAAGAGAAGTAAGAAGAAATAGAAACTGTCAACAATATCTTAGAATTGTGAAAATAGTATTATGATGTATCGATACAAGAAACAGGAACCGGATATAAAAGCAATACATTGTTTAAAAACACTACTGAAATTGATTGATGAATTCTAGGCTAGCATTTGTCTAATCTACGAGATAGACGTATGAATATAGAATTATTTATCAAAATAGTGTCATATCATAATTCAACACAAAAATCATGACTTACAAAGTTGCTCTTCAAAACGATTATACATAGATCCCTTTAGCTCATTTAGTAAGGAAGATTGAAGAATGTGTGTTATACATAAAAATCAAATAAATTATTTTTGATTGACTAATTTTAATTACATCTATATACTTGAATAATAAATGTTACATAGAAATAATCAAGTTAGCTGACATTTTTATGCTGCTTTTTTTTTAAATACATTAACTTCTAACGGTTCTCGTAAATCACTCTTACTAACCACAAATCTTCATCAATCTTTTACTAATTCCCTTTTTATTATTATCTTATATTTTTTCTGTCGTAATGCTTGTCGGCGATGGAAGATAGGAAAGCTATGCAAAGAGTATAAATCATCGATAATGTTTGTCATTTTCCAAGGGAGAATCGATTGACATTACCGAGTTATATATATATATAGTTAATGTATTAGACGTTAGATAAATCATAGAATAAATATAAATTAGTTTTTAGAATATGAATTGATTAGTTCATTTAAGCGTAGTCGAAGGTTCTATTTTCAAGGGTTTCGCAATTCGAAGTTAATTTGATTGTGCATATTAGCTATATATGATTCAATTTGTCGAATTCTTTTGCCAATTTAACTACCTTTTTTTCTCTGTAAATGAGACTCTACAAGAAAAAAACGATTTATTAGGAGTATTGAAGATTAGAAGAAACTTGCTTCTCTTCACATGCCGTGCCAGAAATAATCGATACGCGATTGTAGAGTGTATACCGCTAACGTCTTGTTTTAAGCCACAAAAGAAATAACTCCCAAGATAGATAGACCAAAAATAATCATTCGGCAACTAACAATAGTCGCTACATTTCATTTCAAATTTTAATCCCAAAAGTATTGTACCCATAGAATTCACTATGCAAATCTATTGTTGAACATCGATCATTTTGTCTTTTGATTCAATGTCTTTTTTTCTCTCGATGAAAATCAATGGATCGCTTCAATCAGTCGAATAAAACCGATTCGATGGTTTACTTGATCTGATGATGAATTGCGTAGAAACATAGAATAAGTTGAATTGTATTTAAGCATTCCATGGTTATGTAACAACTACCGACTGGCTTAAATATAATCGTTTTCAATTCGTTCTATTTTAAGAAAAGCTATAAAACATACATAAGACATCCTCAATACGTATGAGTAATATTACATTTTAAACCTTTATTTTTTTGTTGTATAAATACATATTAATATGATCATATTCGAACTACTGTTTCTATATGTCATTTTGTATCGCATTTCCTTAATATTAGCATATAAATCGAAACCATATATTCAATCAAATATTATTCATGGTCAATGAATAATCACAATAACTACATATGTATATAAATATTTAATCTATAGATTTCATTGTAATGCCAATCTATCATTATGAAAAAAAAGCGATCTCGACTGTTTGACAATAAAGCTATCGTATAGAAATTCCCAAACAAAAGAATAAACTAAATAATTCTACATTATCAATAATTTTTTCTTTTTTTTTTATAATCTCTCGACATCATTGTTCATTTATATATATATATATACTTTATAAAGGAAAAACAACAATCAAAGAAAAAAAGATCAAATCCCAAACGCTCACTTTTTCCGTGTCAAATACACCAAGGAAAAACAGGACAGATACAGATATATATATAAATAAACACTGAAACACTGAAAAACGTTCTGTACAAAAGATGCACACATACTAACAAGCAAAAGTTTGAAAAAGAAAAAGTCAAAAGGAATAAAATGTCTATCTTAAAGAAATAAAAAAAATCATCATATAGTCGGTAAACCTTGATTTTCCACATATATTATTTTTTCACAAACTGTTCGAATCATCGTTGATCTTGAACATGCATCAAGTCGAAAAAAATAAATCAGAAATAATAGAAATAATAGAAACAGTCCTAATAGAAGTGCTCGAAACCACATTCTTTTTAAACGATCCCAATATGAATTTGTTGCATCACTTTTGTGCATGTTATCACTACTCATAGATTTTGTTTTCAATGAATGTACACGATGAGTCAATGTTGATTCATTTTGACTTGAATCTGCTGATATGGAAGGAAATAACAATTTTTTGTTATTGTTTATATGTGCTTGATTAAATATTGTTGAAGATGATGTTGAAGGTGGAGAAGATATATGATCATACTCAATGCCACTATCCATATGTTGTTGAACTTTACTTTTCTGATAATTTGATCTTAATTGTTTCACCGGGGTTTTATTTAATTCATCGTCAGATGATTCATGGATTTGTTTTATAGTTTTTGTTACTTTCTGAGTCTTATTTGTGGATAGTGGAGCTTTTTGATAATATTCTGTTATGTTCTGAGTTTTATTTCTTGATTGAGGAGTTTGTTGATAAAATTCTGTTGTGCTTTGAGTTGTATTTCTTGATTTGGGAGTTTGTTGATAATATTCTGTTGTGTTTTGAGTTGTATTTCTTGATTTAGGAGTTTGTTGATAAAATTCTGTTGTGTTTTGAGTTGTATTTCTTGATTTAGGAGTTTGTTGATAATATTCTGTTGTATCTTGAGTCTTATTTATGAACTGAGGAGTTTGTTGATGATATTCTGTTACTTTTTGAATGTTATTTGTGGATTGTGGAATTTGTTGATGATACTCGGATATGTTCTGAGTTTTAGTTGTGGATTGCGGAGTTTGTTTATGATGCTCTGTGTTTATTGTTGTCATTGTATCATTTATTTGTTGGTAAAAAACAGGTTTAGCAACTTCAATAACTGTTTCAATATATAAAACTTTATAATCATCAGATATATAGGACGAAGTAGAACTTTGTTTTGATGAAGTATCATTGACATAATTTGCTAGAAAATAATCATAAAAATATTTTCGAAGATGACTGTCAGTTTTTTTCAATCGTTTATGACTACAGAATGGAAAGATGTGTATGATTAGAGGTTACTATCTAGAATTTATATGTGAATTGGTGCTGTTAGCATCCCTGTATTTTATTATGGCTACAATGAATGTGGTGCCATCTACTGGCAATTCAACGTCACACAATAGAAGGTATTAATAGAAACGTAAACGGGAGATTGATCGAGGAATACAGTATTTGGTTTGCAATTTTAAAACAAAACTTTCATTAATGTTCTACAAGAGCTTGATCTTCGCAATATTACAATCGCTAGTTTCCTCTTCTTAGTAGTCGCCTGTTTGACTTCAGAATGTTGTTGATGACAACAAGGTCCTTATAGACTACTTACGATTAATATCATTTGATGTTGTATATGTTTCTGATCGTTGAGATTTCTTTTTCTGTATATTATGAGTTGTATCATACGTATAGTATTGAGAAGTCGAAGAATTATTTATAACGGATGAATTGTTATTATTCAAATTAATGAAACCATCAAATGAAACATGTTTTGATTGAGTTTTTCTATTGAAATCATTCAACATTTTTTTATATAAATCTAATTTATATGCATAATGTGTTTTCAATTTTAAATATAATGTACTCGATGATACCATTGAACAATTGACATTATTCATTGTTTCTTCATATCTATCAAATAATCTTTGAATATCATGAGATTCAACCTAAATAAAAGCAAGAAGAAAAAAAAACAACATTACAAAATGATAAAGACACGGGTAAATGATTTATTACTGAATAATTATTATTATATTCACATGCTGTCAATTTTTGTTCAATCTGTGTTTCAATAGGTAGGAGACTTTCAACAATCGTTAATAGTGTACGTAATTGAGTTTGATATGTGTCCATTCTAAATTGAATAGAACAGACAGAATAAGCGTAGTAAAATAAAACAAACAAAGAAAAAGATCTTACTTATCAGTAAGTTGTTCAAGTGCTAGACGACAACTATGTAAATGTTCATCAATATTCGTTGTTGATAAATCGTTTAATTCTGACATTCGATATTCGTTAAGATGTTCTTCGGCAAGATGAATATCAGTGAGATAGGAAGCTAATTTCTATATGAAAAAAAGAAGTGATAATAAAATTATGTATCATTTCACTTAATTATGTCGAAGTTATTACTTGTCGAGAATCTTGTTCAGATTCAATTTCATAATTAATACGACGCATTAACTCAACTAGGGAATTTTCATCTAACCACGGATGATCACGATTATGAATGGAATCGATACGAGAAAGTTCTTCATCTAATCGCAGTTTCAATTTTGTAATCTCTTGTGATATATATAATAATTGACGTGCACGTATTCGATCATCATTAACTTGTTGTTGCATATCATGCCAACCAGATAAATAAGCTGCAAAAAAGCGGTAAACAATGAAAGGTTAGAATAAACTACGGGAGTTATGTGGCATCTGGTGCACATATGATATACTGCTATTATTTTTGTTACAAAATGTAACATTCTAATATCACATGAGCTTTTCAATTTCAAGAATAATTAATATTCTGTGTTAAAAACAGAAAACACGAGAGTAAGAATGCAAGAATAGATAGTAGTAGTAGTAGTAGATTTGATTGAAGGATTGACCATAACTAGTATTTCTATTGTCTCAATCTATGATAATAAAAATATTAATTGTTTCAAACGATGATCTAACCTTATTGATAGGCAAATTTAATATAGATAAAAGGTAAATCCCTAGACAAAGTCTAGTCAATCCTTTTTTTCTTCTAAGTAGTCATCAGTCACAGAATGACCCTTAGCAACTCATGAATAATCAATTGTCTTAGATCACCTATCGGATAGTATACTCACTACATCGATATATAGAGATTTATTCTTTGTAGCAAAAATACGATCTCGGATATCTAAATCTAGAGTTCGTGAGTTAGTAATAAGCAAAAAAATGAAATCAATTTTTTCTTAGATATTAATCATATAGGTCGTTAGCTATCAACTTTTCGAGAACAATAACAAAGAAGATGGGCATGATAATAGAACGCAAAAACAAAAATCTCTGTCCATAAAAAGAAACGATATGATCAAATGGTCATCGTGTGCAGAGTGTTTAGAGAAAAAGAAAAGTGCATTACATAAATTCCTTCACATGATAAAATAGATAAAGATAATATCTAAGTATATAACACAATAGATGAATAAGAGTACTGAACAAAAGAATGTATCAACTACAATCATTAAAGCACATCAATGTTTTAAACAATACATTAGACAGAAACATCGATGTTATCTCTCATCTATTTTTTGTACTTTAGAAACATTTCGAACTAAAATGATGTATTTTCTGAACAGTCATAAACATTCCGATATATATATATATATATTGATGAATTTATGATAATCATTCATCAAATGTTTGTATGTATATATGGATGGATGAATGCAAGCAATAAAAGATCAATCTCTACTGTATACATATAGATATATACGTATATAAAGTACAGGTAACTTTTTCGAAAGTGTGAACAATGAAATTCTCTCATACACATCGAATACAAATAATAAGAAGCAAAAGAAATAAAAAAAAAGGATTAAATAAATAAGAAGTCGACAAGAAAGATAGAATACGTTGTCACCTGTATTGATGATGAAGTGAGTATTAAGCTTCAAAGTATTCCTACTGATCAACAATTAAATCTGCTTAACATTTGGCTTTTCATTCTCAATATCTTAGGCTATTTGACCTTCTGCATTCTATGATGCAATATAACAAAAAGAAACTTACATTATTGTTGACACGTTATAACAACGTTGAAATTGACGTAGAAAAACGTGTGTAAACAAAGTAAGAGTACGGAGAGAAAAAGAAATAGTTTTGTTTCCCTTCCAACTCTGTGTCTTTCAATTTAGCTGTGTTAGAAATAATAGGGATGTGGCGCTGTTTTTTGCTATGTTTCTCTTTTCTGTTATTGAAGGACACGCTACTTACTACATCGAACAAGCAATACTACTAAAGAACGAGAGAGACAGAGAGAGAGAGACGAAAAAAGAAAAGGGAGCGGCGACAAGAACGCAAGAGCAACCATGTCGATCATAGATACACGTGCATGTTATGTACAATAAACTACCATATTACACAATGTCTTTATTGATTAGAAAAACAAGCATCTTCATTAAGATACATAAATCTTGACCAATTATCATCATTTTGAAGTGGGAAGATATGTACAGTAAATATTTGTCGTTTCAAGGCAAACGATAATAGTGGCGACATCGTGCCAATTTTATGGTCATCAGCTACTGAACATGTTAATATTTATATCGGATGCTTACTGCCTTTATTATATATATATATATATATAAAACTACTCTATTGTATTCAAGCACATACATATTCTTAATTTAATTGATCGAAGTGTACAACTATACTTTTTCTTTTTCTTTTTGCTTAATTGTCTCTTGTCAAGTGGGGACAGACTTGAACATTGTCTGTGTAATAGGAGCTGCTGCTGTTAGTAATTGTACTAGTAGTCTGTATAAAAGACGCATAAAGACAAGAAATTAAGAAACAATGAACGAAAGAGACGTTAAATAAACACACGCGTATGTATATTGAGCCATATACACGAGAAGAATAGAAAGGTGGCGTCTATCTAACGATAATGGGATAGAACGGATAATTTATGTCTTATAAATATGTGTGGGAAAGTATAATGAATGAAGCTTAAGACATCTTGGACAATTGTAAAAATAGAAACTCCATCCCACTTTTATATCAATTAGAAAGAATGTCTCTTATCTATCGTATTTCGGATATTCACATTGTATTAGAAATTTATTTGTTTTTCTATCTAAGATGAACTATTATTTGATGATTTCCGCCGGTGGTCGACATTAAAAGCCACAGAGAAAATAATTTCATCTTAGAAGAAATTCATGAAGGCGTAGTAAACTTTTAAAGATTTTGCTTTTACTTGATTACTATCGTAAATGTTTAATGATGACGATGGCGACTTTCTTACTTTGTAATTGTTCAATAGCTTTAGTACTGTTAAGACGTGAATTTTTCGATCGATGAAGATTTTTTAATATCTGTTGTAAACATTGAATATTTGTTTCACACGTTCTTAAAACTTCATCCTAAAAAATAAAAACAAAAACAAAATAACAAGACGTCATTAATAATAAATGCTTCATTTACATATTTTCGTAGATTACGATCATTAATTGGAAATGGTTGTTGACGTTTTTTCTTCTCTAAACTTTGTCTTGCCTTATACAATTGTCGTTCAGTTTCATTTATAACATAATTGAAATCATCTAAATCCGAATCTGAATCTAGTACTTGATTGTTTTCTAAGAGACCAGTGAAACCTCCTGTCAATGAAGATGATGAACCGCCGTTATTCTAAATGTAAAAAAAAGATCATCCTCATTGATTGTGTCACAGATATATACATATGTAAAAGCTCATCGTCGAGGGCGTGAATGATATAAATGCACATTCTAATTATCCATTGTCATTCACATACTTAGAGATCAAGTAAAAAGAAACAAGATAGTAATCGATTTTTAACATAACGTTCAAAAGCGTGTTGAAATAGAAAAATAAAGTGACTATCGCAAGACTTAATCATACATTATCGAAAGTAGAAATAGATCCGTAGGCACAGGAGAAAAGAAAAAACACCTCATTAACCTATCTGCGCAATACATTAAATAATAACGAGGCCGATCATAAAATATAAAAATAACACTAGTAAAGTTTAAAATTTTGTAAATTCAATGAGCCGTACGATTGACGGCAATGTGGCTAATTGACTTTTTTTTCTTTCCAATTTTAAGATCATAGAAATATACCTGATTATTTTCTTGCATTGTATCATCTGCTAGTTTTTTTAAAGACAAATAAGCAAGTTTAATAGTCCAATGATCAATGTTAACAACCCACATTAGCAAACATTTGGAAAAGACAACGAACCCACCAAGAAAAAAAAGACGGCTATGCAGAAAAAAATGATGGTCGAAGAAAAAAAAAGAGAAGAAAAAGGCAGCTGTCATATTTTTTTGCTATTCTATTCTTTTTTTCTCCGCATTTCTATAATTACCATAGTTTTGATGGCGGCACGAACGAGTATTAATGTTTTTTTGCATATATATTCATCGTTTGGAGTAAACAGAATGTGAAAAAGAAAAGAAACGAAGAAAAAAAGAATAGAACGTTCAATATGAGTATCGTGTCTGTCTTTTTTTCCCACAGATAAAATAAATCGTAAGACATTAATCTATATTTTGTGACGTGTATATCTATCTCAAGAAAGAAACATGCGGCTGACTTTTGTACAGGATGCAAATGATGAGTAGCGAACGAAACAAATAAAAAAACATAGTGAATGTTTGACCTATGATCATTCATTATTCTATCAAAATAAACAGACATGGATATGAATGTATTAAACATATTCATGTCCTTGAAATGATATCAGAAGAAATAGTAATTTTACGTTTCATTACCACTTGTCATCTGTAGGGAGTGAAAGAAACAGTCGACCGCTTCTTATTATTGTCATTTTCTTTGATCTGATAAAAACAACAATCAAATTTTAACTGTTCCCTGCATACGTATGTGATCTATAAGTAGCAATATCGTGTGTGGAGTCGGTCATATGCTATGATCGTCTTGAGTGTTCTAAATAGTATTGATAAGTGTCATATGATTTTCGTGTCTTGGCATTTGCTTTTCCTCATTATCTTTTTACTTCGAATTTTTCGATTATTCTGGGTATAATGCCAGCATACAGTCAAGTCTTTCTAATTTCTTTTCGATAAGAAAGAAATAGAATAATAAGATTTAATCTAATGTAAAAGATCATCCTTGAGAGGCGTTACGACCAATAAAATCATTTTCGATACTGCTGTTATAAAAAAAAAAGTAACGTAAAGTGAAATATATAAAAAGAACATAATGGACTCCATAAAGCACAATGATCTATTATTTCGAGAGTGGACAATTAACATTGTTTTCTTTTTTTTTATAATGTATTCATATGTATAAAATTTCTCTAGCAGGAAATAAAAGTTTGTTATTAGATGTTGTTCGAGTATGTCGTGAGCTTTTCTCAAGGACTGCTAAAAACTATGTTTACCTTCTAGAAAATAATCAGAGCGAATAAGAAAAGTTATTCACAACAGTTTTTATTGTTATTATAGTCGGCAACGATAGTACTCTCAATCTCTTCAGCAAATAATAAACACTAATCAATGGTGTGCGTGTGTAAGACTAAATAAACATTTAATTCTATGACATATACTCTTTATTTTTTGTAAATAATATATTGGTTCTTTTCTAGGACGATAACAATCTTAATTAATTAATTTGATTGACAGCGAGTCGCCATGAAAAAAACTGATTAGCTTGTCTTCGATCTGGTACGGCAAAAACAATCTAATTTCTTTTGTTTTAATGCCATGCTTGAATGCATATGCTGAGCTGTCTTCTAGCGTGTTCAAACATACGCATTTCTTTCGTATATATATATATATCGTGAGTCTATTACTCCCGACTAGTGTCTAATGGATTTCATGTAGTTTCATATTCTTGTGTAGAAGAATATTCAGAGTGAGTGAATTTCGAATTTCAAAATCTTCAGAAATTTAAACTATTTTTCAATTGGTTTTTGACATTTTCTTGATTTCTTTAGCTCACTGAATTTTGAAAAAAAAACGTTGAACCTCCGACGTTCGGATTTCAGCAATAATATCTTTATTTGAAACAATAATAAAAAGCGGTCTTACAGCTGATAGGATAATACTTATCTTTTTGTCTACTAGCTTGTTAGTGTTTCATCACGTTTAAATTAGTTAAGACAATATTATACGATTGAAAAAAATTACACTAACAGAAATATTTAAGACTTTCAAACATTCATTTGATGAACGAGTCAAAATCGGCTGTAGTGGTAACTGTATGTTATACCTATATACCGTATAAAAGTTTGTTTTATCTTTCTCTATCAAAATCAGAGAAAGAAAGGAATTGAAGTTGTAATAAATAATTGATATGAATATACTAAATTTTTACAAACTAAAATGTATGTAGTAGTATTCGCCCATCAATTTTGGAATATTGGGATAAAGACAAAGCAAAGGACATGTGCGAGATTTGTTATATTGATGAAAATAAACGATGGTCATGTGATATTTGAACGGTTTCATATACCTTTTGAGATAATCTTTTGATTTAGAAAAGGTCTAAATGCCAGTAGCTTTATTCTAACTAAAACATAATTGAGCATTGATTTATTTATATAACCATTACCGCTCAATAAATGCTATCATAAACATCTCTAGGGATTGAGTTGATAGATCACCCCAAAAAATATGTTTCATATCAAATATCTAATTCAATGGTTTATTTGTCTGCGGAATAGCAATTACTCTTTAATAATTGACTCACTTTTATAAGCTGAAATAATGAAGGGTATATATTTCGTATTGACTACCTATATGAATGAGTTCGTTTTTTTTTCTATACTATATGTAACTATTTATTTTTACTTGATGTGAAACGTTAAAAGGTTTCAAACTGAATAAAACAGCTAAACGAGCGAACGAAAAAAGAAAATGGAACTTATACGAATAGATGTGCTTCAAGGTTGATTTGATTGTTTCTATAAAAGTTAGATAAGTATAGGCTTGACATCAGTCTCGTTCACTTTTTTCTGTCTAATAATAACCTATGAGAAATCAATATTTATTTTACCCGTAAAATATATTTGAAGTTTTCATTATTAAAATAATTATCGTCGTCTGACGAAGAATAGTTTGGTTGATCCATTTCTAAAAATTGGTCTTCCCACTTAAGTGTCGTTTCTATGGAATCCATGTCTTGAGAATTAAAGTGATAAAATAGTGGATTCTAAATAATAAAAACAACATGATGAAAACCTTGTCTAAATTATGATTAAAGCATTTACTTGATATCCGTCCCAACAAGGTTCAGAACTTTCTATCTTCTCATTGATTATTGTATTAAGTGAATCGAAGCCTATAAAGAGAAAAAAAATCATATATGATCGGATTACTCAACGAAATGGTAAACACAGAAAACAAAAATTCTACTGACCATCTGAAGCTGCTGCCGACGGTAATGTCAATGTGTTGTTCTTCATTTGTGGCACTTCACCTATTGAGTAGAGAAAAAAAGAACAAATGAATTATGCAACCAACACTAGTTATATTCTCTAGGGTAATAAATGCTGAAATTCTCTTCGTATTGTTTACAACAGTTAATATCAAACTTATTTTGAGACAAAATAATCGTTAACATTTTTATGTTTTCTCACATTTCTCGTCAGAATGTTGAATTTGTTGATCTTCCGTTTCAGATGGTGTTGTTGTTGTTTCTAATTCCATGTCCGATGAATATCCTGTAGTTGTTGTTGTTGTATAGCGATTATAGAATTTCGATTCCGATTTTTGATAATGATGAACAGGTGATGTTGAATTAAAATCTGATGATAAAACGTCAACATCATTTTCTGATTGTTCAGGATCTGTATATTCTGCGCTTGCATCATATGAATTCGATGTTGGATTTAATGGCGATTTGTTTTGTTTTACAATTGAACTCGGCGATGATAATGCTGGTTGTTCAGATGTTGATTTCAATCGTTTATATTTTGTATATTTCTTACTGTACATAAGTAGAGATGTTTTTGTTTGCTGTTTTTTTGTTTCTTCAATACTAAAATCAATATCCGGATTTGAACATGTATCATATGCTGATGTTATTGAATGTCTCCACCATGTTGGTAAATGATGATTATGTTCAAATAATGGTAGTGAATGTGTAAAAGACACGAAAATATTTTTATCCGTCATATTTTGTCCAATAAAATAATCACTTTGACTTTTTTTTATATGGTATATGGATTGAAGATTTTTATCTGAATGATTATTTTCATCTTCAGTTTCATATCCAATATCTAATTTTGATGATGTTTTCTTATGCTTTTTTGTTATTGTTTGAACATCAATATCATTAATATTTGTTAATGAATAATAAAATGTTGATGGCAAATTTATTGGTAAAAGATTTAATGACATGCGACGTTTTGATGTTGCCATGTTTGTTTCGATATAAAATGGTTTTGATCGAGAATTACGGATTGGATTTTGTATTAACGGTGATCGTGAACGTTTACGATAGCTCAGTGAAGAATTTAAACTGTCTGTACTCGTGTTTGATGGTGTTAGAGGGATTTTTTCGTATTCACTTGAATTAAATGGAATAATATCTTCTTCTTCTTGTTCAGTTTCTTCGTCGTCGTTGTTGATTAAAACAAGTGAAGTTGTATTCTGAAAAAAACATTAACACGTAAATTGATTCACCGAATCAGTCAACCTGAATCAGCATCATTGGGTCGTTTTTCCTTTGCTTTGATCTTTTTAAGATTATTTTTGTTTAATTTCCGCGATAAATTTTCACAATAGCCTGACTCGAGGTCGCTGAAGTTTCTTTTTTCTTTTTTCTTACCTGTGCAATAATGTATCCTACTGATGCTCTTGTTACTACCGACTGTCTGTCTCTTTCTCTAAGGACATACAATTTTCTATTAAGCTAAGGCGCATATGAAAAGAGAAAAACGAGGAAACTTGAGATTATGAAGAGAAATGACGCCGATTATATAATCGGTATCTTTACTTCGATTGCTCTTTTCCTGTCCGTTTGACAGGCTGTATCAGCCTTCATGCATTTGCCATTATCATTACTCACACATTCATTCATTCATTCAACGTTTCGTTCATGTGCTCATCATCAACGAACTAGTGATAGCGTTGAAGCGCAAATCCGTTGACTAGTACGAGATTGTACTTATACATCAGAAATAAAAAGAGGATAAAATCTTGTAATGTGTGAATCTGAGAAAAGCGAACAGAAAAGAAAGAAAGACACCGAATAATCATAAATTACGCTAATAACAGAGAACACATTTGAGTAGAACTGGTTTCATGGTCAAAATGAATAATATCTTCTTTTTAGCTGTCAATTATTAGACCAATCTATCTATATCTAGTCTTCTTCTTGTGAATATAAATCATAGTCAGTGACCGTGGCACTCTATTTAGTATAGCACAATAGAAGAGAAGACGAGAATGATTCAAATTACTTTTCGCTATTCTCTCTCTCTCTCTCTCTTTCTGTGTCTGTGTATTTAACTCTCCTTCGCTGTATGTATCCAGTTCCTGTCCCTGTCTGCGTTGCATCTTTGACGCGACTTCAATTTTCTCTTTTTTTTCTTCTCGACCACACAAACTCTTTTGTTATTCTTCGATAGACAGATTCTAGCATACATACATACATAGCTATATATAGTTAATAGAAGATTAAAAACGGACGATGTCTTGTGATGATGACACGCGTATAAACGGATCAACACATATATACATACGTATATATATATATATATTTGCAAGAAAGAAAGTCGAGAAGGCCAGATGACTGATTTTATATCGATGTTCAAGCACGTTATTTTTGCTCTGTTTATCCAAGTAAACTAACGAAATTATTTTTATACAGAAGAAATCCCGAAGGATATAGCGAAATAAACGTAATTTAACCTTCTGTAGATGTAGGCACTATATCTCTACTACAGTATATGTCAACGTTAAACGAACTGATGGCAAGCATATGCTAAAAGACAAATAACAAGCTGACGCACACATAGCCTACATGCTGGATGAGTGAACACTTTCACTTTTCTTTTCAATATATTGGTCAATCATTTCTGTGGGGCAACAGATCGGTTTCTTTTGAAGAAAAACGGACAAGAAGCAGAAAAAACCAATATTCAATTTGCTGGATACTTACAAGTCATCTTTCAAGATAAAGACAAGAAACAGAAGGTTCATCATATATTATTAGTAACTTGTTCGATCGTGTTCTATAGTTTATAATTAATAATTTATACGAATAGGAGCAAATTGCCTTCAATTCACATTATTTCTTATTTTATTTGCAGTATGTCATCGAACAAACGTTCAAATGTATGTTTAATTTCATTCATATATATGAATACATAGATATATATATATATATATATATGTATACATGTGTTATACTTGTCCACCCTATTGATCGTTTTTTATTTGTTCAATAATAGATAGAAGCAGAAAATGAGTAAAAAAAAAACTTACGATCGCCTAGTAAAATTGAAGCAAACATGCAACTGTTGAAAAAAATCGACAATCATCGCAACTGAAAAACGCTTTGTCTCTCTTTTTTTTCTTGCTGTGCCTCCTGCTTGAGCAACCATCGGTCGAAACTGTTAGACAATGAATAAAAAAAAGAAGGAGACCGACCAACTTAAGGAAGGGAGAAGGAAAAAAATGAACGTTCGCTCTCTTGGCTCCTCAAGTACGGCGATACGCATACATGAACTGCACCTTGTCAATGAATAGAAAAAGAAAATTAAACATCAACATGAACACACATGTGTATTTATATATACGTACAGATCAATCTACTAATAATCTAAAGTCTTTTCGGCATCATCTATGGCTTGTTAATTATCAGAGGAGAAGCATTAATCAGAAAGAAGATAAGAACATTATAAAAGACGCTGATGGTAGTGAATCACACATAAGACTCATACGTAAGCGCACATACAGGCATGCTTCATTCGGACGACTATAATGACATGGAGTATACGCGTATAAAACACAAGTCTAACTAACAACAAATGTCAGTATTTCTTTCTGCTTTGTATACTATTCAATAGCTACGTATTGTAATCAGCAATACATAGAATATCAACATTTCTTTTTCAAGGTAGAATATATTGTACTCATGATGAATAAATACGCGTGAAGCCACGTCAATGAATAGAATACCAACGGAAAAAAAAACTTACTCGTAAACTCTTCAATCGTTCTTCAAGTTTGCATTGAATTTCGACTGAATTAATCCATGTTTGATGCCAGCGATTTTCTAGATCGCTTGCTAAATCATACGGAACTTGTTCAGCTTGTTGTTCATAATCATTTCTTAAACGTTCACAAATTTCAATAATTGATGACACACGACTATTTCTTGATTTAATTTCGTCTTGTAATATCTAGATAGGAAACAATGAAACAAACTCAGGTAAGAAAAAGTAAGACAAGAAATCAATTAATTTATTTTAACATTGACCTATATGACAAGAAGCTTTAACACCTATTAAAAATGTCTTACCGTATGCTGATGAAGCTTAAATTGAAAATCTTCTATTGAAATGTCATTAATTCGATACGATTCAAATATCCATAATTGTTCTTCTGTTCTACTAAGCCAATCTTCAAATAAAATTAATTCATTATGTAAATCTAAAGAATAGAAATCGTATTTCGTCTTAGTTTTTGTTTAAGAACTTAAGATAATAAACCTTGTAGAATTCGATCAAAGTTTTCATCTAAATAATCAATAAAACATGATTCAAGTTGATTCCATTGTCGATTAATTCGCATCATTTTATCTTGAATATTTGACTTTAAATCTGGAAATCTTTCATGTAGTCTATCAGAATATTGATGAAATAGACGTAAACGCATAAGACCTTGTTCATACAATTCTTCATAATATCTCTAAAAAATAAACCAACGAAATGAAGAAAAAAAAGAAAACAGAACCTTTTCGTATTTACTTGTCGAAGATAACGTGTTAAAGCATTCGATGGAACTTTTGTTATTGTTTCGTAAATTTTTTCACACCAACGAGATAATTCACCAAATTGTTTCTCAAATTCATTGTAAGATACATGATGAACAGATAGATCATTTAAGGATGTAAACGGTTCGGTCAGAGAACCCTAGAAGAATTTTTGTTTTTAATTTATCGACGACATATAAATTTCTATCTTACTTTACAACGGCAAATAAGTTCTTCCGACATTAGATAATTATAATCATCAACTAAAGTTCCATTCCAAAACTCTTGTCGTTTATGGTGATTTTCTTTTGTGTTGTTTCTGGAAGCAAAACAAAAAGAAAGACAGAAAGTGATTAGTTAAATAAGCCATACATCTGTGTAAGCAACACCAATAGATCATATCTATCCATATAATGACATCATCAAAACAAAACAAAAATCCTAATAACTCAATAGACATATGCTTTCATTAAAGTAATACTACTACTACTCTATTGTACAATATTCATACAATCAAAAGTAAAAAGAAAACGAAACGATCGATTGTGATCGATCGATTTATTTATATGTGCAGTTGTTATGAATTTCGAGTAAAGTTATACTAATGGTCACAAAAAGCCAACGAACCAGGATATTGAACAGATGTCTATCTGAATATAGGCTACTTAATGACAATACTTAACTGTTTAAAAGGAAACATACGAGAAACGTCGAGTCATTTATAGATATTTGATATGCTGATTACCTCAGTGTTAGGAGATTGCTCAAGTGAACGTAGAAAAAATTGTAGAGCTATTACGCGTATCGTCGCTTCTTATGCGACAATGACGAATGATACAATCTGTTCAAAACGAGCGTCTTTTCGTATGATATAAAAATCAAATAACATGTTATCGACGATTACATTCATTTTATCAGAATGATTTATCAGAGACTATTACATATATATTATTAAAAAAGGCCTTGATTAGTCTAAATATATGTTTGATATTCGGAAACAATAGTCTTTCAAATCATTTGTTACCCTAGTCGAACTTGTTTTGCAAGCGCATGCAATTCTTGACTTTCTTGATCAAGAAAGTCAACAACTATGGACACATCTTGAGGAAAGACATGAGACCTTTCGGTGGACTCAAGTCCTTAAACTTCTTGCTCATGCACTTGAATTTTTATCTAAGCGTTTCTGTTATTAAAGAGTTTTTTCAATTTTACCTTCAAAATAACTCAACTTGTAATAAAAATGTGTAGTTCCATCTATTTTGTAACTCATCCAAACATTCAAACGCTTGTCTTGAGCAAGAAAGTCATGCACTATGGACACATCTTGAGCTCAAGTCTTGGCAAGCGCATGAATAAAAAAGTTCGACTAGGGTATACATCAATGAAAAAAATAAATATATATTAAAAGTTTTCATAATTTTGATAAAAACATTATTAGATCGTTTACTTGAATAAAAAATCTTTATGAATATTATATTTTTATTGGCTTCAGTTCTAGACTAGAATAAAAAAAAAGAGACGATACAATGTACAGCTTTATTCGTATTTTGTTTATTTGTGGCCTTGCTGTCAACGAATGAATTTGTAATATATTCATATTTATTATCAAGCAATAGTTTTCTATTTTCTTTTAATGGTCATAAAAGCTACAAATACATGATATGAATCTTTCGAGAGTATAATATTCACCTTCTACTTGCTATCATATTGTCGCGATGCTGAAAAATATTTTATGGTTTTTAAAATGCTTGTTAATGGGAAATCAAGTGTATTTGCAGATTTCTATCGTGCTGAATCAATTAAAATCATTTCAATAAAACATAAAAACAATTTCTATATACAATATAGAAAGATATATAAACTAAAGATGTCGAGCGTTTCATTGTCGCTAGCTGTTTTGGTCAGTTTACTATAGTTTTCGATTAAAAAAAGTTCAAAAGAATATGTATTTCCTATTGAGAGTGAAAATGAAAATTTACCTTAACCTGTGGTAGAGAATGATATAAGTGAATAAAAGAATATCGAAAACTTTTTCTTAAAAAAATGCTTATTTGGTTAGTGAAGTGCACTTTACAATCAAGGGCTTCGTACAAAGGACGAACTGTGAAATCTCGAGTCAGTAATTTGTTTCTATTTAGTCTAAACATTGAAATTGTGTATTTTTGTAGATTCTTAAAATTAAAGCAAGGCTATATTGTACAATATGCCTACAAAAAGCATGCAGTTTTATTTGATTTATAATGGCTCGAAAAGAATACACAGATTTTCACATAATGACTATTATCTATAAACAAAATTTCCAATTAAATAGCTCTCGAAAAATCTTTTTGATGATTAAAATTTTAATGATTCGAGAAGAAAATATTCATTTGCACTAAGTTCTTCTTAAAATTTGCCGTTATATAAAGAAAATGTAACTTGAAAAATATTTCGAAATTCTATCTATCAAGACGATTAAAATAGACAAAATATAAATGAATGAATCATTTTTTAAATATTGTTCAATCGCTGTACTATTTTGTTAAATAATGAAATGTTTTTTTTTGTGTACTCTAAAAAAAAGAGTACACTAAAGAATCGGTCAGTGTGTCCGCCCGTCCGTCCGTTTATTCGGTCACTCTTCATAATTACATTCGATTGAGCTGAAATTTTGTGCACAGAATTGTCTCATCAATATCTAGGTCGAGTTCAAAGATGAGAAGGATCCGTCAAGAAATGGCTGAGTTATCGAAAAAATTATCATTTTTGATCAGACCATCCCTGAGGGGGAGTACAGGGATTTTTCAAAAAAACGTTTTTTCTCAGAATTATCCACAACATATACAAATCGACTCAGTTTTTAACGCTGATTCCGAATCTGATATTAGTTTTGAACTAGATTGTAGCTTTCTAACGAAACATCGCCTGAAAAACGTCTCAAAATACACAAAAACTGCATCCAGAAATCAAATTGCCTAGTTTCTCATGATAATTTTGGTGTTCAGACATTCTAGAATGACTCATATGTCCCATGCACTTTTTGCAGTACACATAACTCTCGGATGAAATCCGAAGTTTCCACATTTTTTTTCTAGTGGTAGCTGCATTCATTTAATAAAAAATGAAGGAAGTCTCTGTATTTTCTTTACGAATAGAAAGACTTCCACATTCAGAGTACAACTCTATTTGCACATATAGAGAGCGGTCATTCTTTAGCCGAAGTGATGCATAGTAAGCATTGGTATGCAATAAATCTTCTAGTAAAAGCTTCATCAGGTTCTCATTTGTATTGCTCCGTGTTTATTTTGATGATAGAATGTGCAAAACAAAACAAGTTTTATCATTGATACTCTTTCAAAAGGAACCATTGAAATTGGACGCCTTCTACAACTGCCGACAAAGTCCCACATTGACTCAAATTCATGCGATGTGATATTGATATAGTCTATATTTCAGAAAGGTCTCTTGGGTATGTACTAGAAAAGAAAAAGCTTCTGTGGCTGACCAACACGCACACATTTCATGTCTTCAAGTAAAGCAATGATTTAATTTTTAACAATTTAGATTTCACACTTTCAATCGATTTACTAAATCTCAAGAGAATATAAGCTGATAGATAAAAGAATAATGAGTTCGAGGTACAATTGGCGTAGCATATTTTTCGAAGTTAGAAAGAATCTGTCGAAAAAGATTAACTGATAAGAATATAAGAATCCGTTTCGAACGACTTGACGTCATTTGCTAGTTTTCATAAATAGGGCGCATTGAAATAAATCAAAGAGAATTTTCAATGACGTCTTTTCGTTTGTCTAGACCAGAACATACCTCTAAGTTGATCATCTCCACTTGATAAGAATCCATGATAATTCAAACGAAAATTCATTGTGATAACAATAATATCACCTTCAGCAGCTAATATACTTCCATCAAATAATGATCCACTACCTAGGAAGAGAAATTTCAAATTTAGACTTTAAAACTTAATCTTCAATTCACCCAATTGATTTGATCCTCCATGAGAAAATAACATAATAGCTTTTCGTTTCTCTCCATAACGTAAATCCGGTCGATAGATATTTAATGACAGGCAATCCTCATTAAAATCTTGAGTCATAAGAAATGAACCATAGGAAAGATTTCTTGTCATTGATAATGATTGCAAACACGATGGAGTAAATTTTGTTGCATTTTGTAATAAATAATTGAAAAGTTTTTTCACCGGCTTTCTCAAAGATTTAGGCATTTCACCATAATAAATACCGAGAAATTGATCTAAATATCGATTTTGATATTTGATTCTCTTGCCTCGATAAATACCCGTCGAAGATACAAGATAAGGTCCATGATATGACGGATTTCTTTGATTTACTTTATCGTAGGATGATAATTTGAATAAATGTTCATCGGATACTTTTATATTAGTGTAATTTGCTTGAGTTTGAGTTTGCTTACATGTTGAGAGAGTACATTTAGGTAGTGTTGAATCATGTGATAATTGATTAGCAATTCGTTTAAATGACGGATAAAGTATTACAGGCGATAAAGAATAGATTTCATTATTATACAATAGGAAAATAAAAAAGTAGAAAAGAAATCTAACATATACATCGTTCATTATGATAAATTTTCACTGATTATAAGATAAATAATTTAGAAAAGGAGGATCATCTCCGAGTAGCAAGAGGAGACCGTCGTTGGTGTCGATGAAAATGACAAGAACATTGTCGTATATGGATAGAGAATTAATTTTCTAATCCAGTTTTTGTTTTATCTTACAGATAATTGTTGTTCCAGTTACTGATTAAATAAACACTTCTAAGTGCATAGAATTTGTCAGTAGTATTGATTATTGCACAGACAAAACAAAAATAATAATAACTTTTTAGCTATCATTTCAGAGATTGTATTAGACAAGATAAAACGAGAGAAGAGAAAGAAAACAGTCTGTTATTTTAGTGAGATGAAACCGTAAGTTATCATTTTTGTATATGTTAAGATATAGAAATTTGATTCGCCAATACTGTATTAGCGGAAAAAAAGTAGTCAATTGAAAATAAACAGCAAGAACTACTTGCACGCAATTGGGAATTCGTCAGTTGAAAACATGATTCATTATCGTATATTCGAGTATTTGTAGTCATCATACTCTCCAATAGATGAAATATTAGAAAATAAAGCTAGGAGATAGCACATAATATGCACAGGCATCACATATTAATATATTTTATCATGCTAAAATAACACACAGCAGGGAGCAATAGAAAATTTGATATATTGACATGTTTTTCTGCGTTAAATCTGAATTTGTAAAATAAACATTCTGTTCTATACACATATCAATCCGTACTTCTAATGCACCTTATATGTGTATAGTATCTATCAATGATGATATCCATATTCAATGAGAAACTGTCATTTTGCTAAGAAAACATTGATATCTAACGGATACTGATAAATTGATAGTCGAACAAATTCGACAGCTAATTACACAAAGTTTACGTTTCTGTTATTTTATTAATACAACCGACTATTATTTTGTTGATAAGAATCATATTTATACAAAAATTTTCAATTCCAATCCTAAGATAACAATATCAGTATTGTGTGTTTATTTTTTTTTTTGTTCGAAATATCATGATAGAATAGGCGAGTACGTTTGTTTTGGTTTCTGTGTAGAATATAGTGATACTAACATTCAGAAAAAATTAACTATTTCAACAAAATAGAAAAGACGCATATGTGTCGACCATTTATAGTGACATTAAATTTTAAAAAAAAATGTTATTATTATTTAATTGTCATTGGATGCTGTGGATGATGCCGTTTCACACGACGTTGAACACTAAAGTGATTTAGGTATTTAATCGATAGGTGAGACACTCGAAATGACTTACTTCATGAAGAAACCTATATATCTGAGTGGTGTAATTATTTGAAAGCCATGTTGTATTATGTTGACCATCAGGAAATGAGACTAATTGTTTTTTCGTACTTGTACATTCCTACAGTAGTTAAAATAAAATAAGATATTGCAGTTTTCTTTTCTTTTCCGAAAGATCTCAATCATATGCACAACAAAAAGTCACAGTCACGTACCGAAAACCAATAGGGTATAGAGTCATTTCATATATTTTGTGATCGTAAATAAATATTTAGAAAGCAAAATATTACGATCGTAACCGACTCTACCGCATATAGTATTAGAATTGAGTGATTGACATAGGTGGTTATTTTGATTCTCGGGGAAAACGTATTACTGCATTAGTTTTGATCGTCGTTTACAATAACCTATAAGTTCTTGTTAGGAGTCACTTATGATGTCACAAAGGATGCCGACTTACGGCACTTTATACGACTAAATGTAAAAGTTCAAATTTACCTGGGTTAAATTAGCCCACGGCAATCTTTTTGACTAACGGAAACGACCTATTGTAACCTTATATTTCACTATAATCGATCGACGTGTTTTCTTTTGCGATCGAGAATTTGCCGTGCTTCGCTTTTGCAAAACTTACGATAAATAGTGACATAAAAACGTCGTAGTGTACCGTTGCGGTCCTCTATTTTTGGCCTGAAAAATCAGCGAAACACAAACACCGATTATTCTCTAGGATAAATAAGCACTGACGTAAGCAACTGTGTAAGATATTTTCTCACGGGGTGTAGCATAGCATAGCGGCCATAGTGTAAACGGTCAGATACTAGATTTCTACGCTTCTATAAACTATGCATGCTTTGATTAAGTACACTAGTAGTACTATGCCTATCGAATATTTATTTACAATCGTAAACTCTATCATTCGATAGTGAATAGTTTCATTTTTGGTAGCTGTATCAGTGACTATAATCATCGTTTTGTGCTTGCTAGTTAGGTATAAACAGAAAAAAGCGACTACCAGCTATTCTCATTCATTAGTCGTTCGAATAGATTTAGTATTTACCTCAAATAACTGGCGCATCATCGGCGGGGGAACTAATTCATCTTGTGCACCGGAAATAAAGAGTACTGGTACTTTTATATGGCGCATGATTTTAATTGATTGATACTATAATTTTCAAGAAATATAAACATAGAGAAAAATTTAAATGTTCCTTGCAAAAATCATACCAGATTTTTAAAGCACCAATGAGGTATGTAATCGATTACAAAAATTTGAAAAAGTCTTTTACCCATGTCAGGTATTGATGTAAAGGTGTTCTCAACAATCACACAATGCAATGGTAACATTCCATTTGATTCAGCAAGATGAGCCGCTATTGAACAAACTTTACATATTCATTTTTTCAGTAAAATTTTTACTTACCAAGATGCAATGCAACCGCGCCACCGAGCGAACGACCGAATATAAACACTTTTTCTTGATTAATATCAGTACGTGTACGTACATAATCATAAACAGCTAGTGCATCCATATTGAGACCTACTTCGGATGGTTTACCAGTAGATCTTCCATAGCCACGATAATCGAAAAGAAGAATGTTAATATTACATCCACGATAGAGTAAATGAACATTTTGTAGTCTAATTAAAAAGAAAAAGTAGTCAATTATAAAATTTCCTTTTTTGTTTCTGTTCAAATTAAGATCATCGCTTGTTTTATGATTTCGATTTTTCGGCAACAACAGATTTTCTTGGTTTTACATGTCAGATGTACATAAATATTCAATACTTTTGTAATTCAGCTGGATTTACTAGTTATTAGATATGTTTCAGATGTAATCCATTGTCTTACTTACTGAATATGTAAAACATTCTCTGTAGCTTCGATTCCGACTAGATTTATCTATCTTGATTTTTCGATATAAAATTAAGTTGTTTGCAAAAAAAACGATATTAAAACCTCTAACAACTTTTCAATGTCATTAAGTTTCCTTCATACCGATGACCAATATTTCCAGCATTTCCATGGAAAAACACTAATGTCGGACAATCATCTCCATTTTGCATTTGTTTGATTAAATATCCATGTAGTTTCTCATTATCAGCCGTGGGAATTGTTAATATTTCATAAGGCATATGAAAATAGTCTGGCGTTTGCACAATTAATCGTGATGTATCGGGTTCGCTTGGTTGATAAAGTAAAGCATCTTGTAAACCATAGAGTGAGACTAAAACAAAATAATTTATTCAATGTGATGCTTTCGTTTAGACGTCTTTGTTCGGAAGCGTAAAGAATAAACATAACGTTCTACATACGTATATTTTTCTTGAACATTCAAAGAAAAACTGCTATATTCACTGCATGATTTTTAGGAGAGTAAAACAAAGAAAGACACTATGTAAACATATATATCATTCTAATCTTTTGTGAAACACGATCTGAAAGGAGTGTTGAAGTATATAGGGTAGAAATTTGGACCCATCCCCCTCCTCACAGACCGGGACAGAGAAGTTAATTAATTAACTAGTTAATTTCTCTGTCACGGTGTGTGACCGCTTTTGAGGTCTCCCTGTCACGATCTGCGATGGTCTCTGAATTCTCTGTCACGGTCTGTGATGATTTCTAGACACTCCATACATCATAATACAGACCATAACAGAGAAGCTCCACAGACCATTAGTGACAGTGACAGACGAACTCCAGAAAAGAAGTCTCACCGTGTTTCACATTTTAATCCCGCAGGGATTGCGCTAACAGCTTTTCTGTTTGTTTCAATAAAAGAAAAGAAAATATATACGTATACTTACATAGTACTCCACACATAATAAATATAATTATAATAAGATTGCCAGATAATTGATAAAACAGTAAAAGTAAAAATAATGATAAGCCAAATGTGAATGATATTTCATAAATAATGGCTGATAAAATTAATTTAGTATTATTTTTTCCTAATACAGAATTTGATAAAAGATGATATTTTTTTCTTGGAAATATTTGACTTAAAGATCTGTAGACGGATGATATACATCGTGAAAACATGATTAACAATGAGTGAAGATGATGTTTTGTTACAAGACGTATCGACATAGATCGACGAAGAGAACATCAAAAGGATTTCTTAACTAAATAAACATCCATCTAGAATTCAAAACAAAAAATAAGACTAAATATTAACAAAGTCCTATTAATTAATTTCTTTGTATTCTCTCCGGAAATAATGACGAAAAAAATGTTAATATGGCTGTTAGTAGTAGACGACTTGTTGTGATTCGGTTTTCAACAACGGGTGCGGCTTGATGAGATCCAACTGATGGAGACTAAAACGATATAAAGAAATCAATTAGAAGCCCGTTGTTTAAAGTAGCAAAGAATTTCATAGGCTTTTAGGCATCTAGCAGTATCGCATGTCTCTATAAAATACCGTTACTCCCACGGATCGGACACTAAGAATTTTAAACAAAATCAAGCAAGGGAGAGAATTATGTTGCATTGCCAAAATCCCTTATGAGCTCAATCAATAGTTTTCAGTCTCGATTTCGAAAGATACTGAGCCAATTGCATTCGTACGTAATTCCTTGGTGTAGAAGAATTTAAGAATTTTGCCGATTAACCGAATTCCTGTGGTAAGCTAATCATATTGTATGTGCATTTCATTCAATGAAAATTTTGTTATGCCAAAAAATCCAAGATAAATAAAAATCGAACTGTATAAATATGACGTTATTTTAATCATCAAATTGATAAGCGCACTTCACGAATTTAAACTGATCAAGTTGTCTTTTTTCAAGATGAATATTAACATTTTCTTCCGCAAAAAAGTGCCAACATTATTGAACTAGTTATTATTTTTGTTGATGAAAACTATTAGCATAGGTTTTTCCGCACGGCAAACATATTTGTATATATAATCTAAGTGCATATAGCACCGAGTGGGAATAAGTATATATCATAAATGATAGTTTTACAAGAAATTCGGAATTGTGATGTTCATATAGAGATAATTATAAAACACCATGCAGGAGAAATATACTTCTAGATTAGAATTATATTTAGATATAGTGATGGATGTAGGAACACCCCATGTTTACAAACGTCAAAACGCTCTGACATTAATATAACCGTTGAGATAAAATCTCTCGAGGCTAGTAGAAAATGTTATTACATATTTTTATTTAGATATAATGATGGATGTAGGGAACACCCCATGTTTACGAACGTCAAAACGCTCTGACATTAATATAACCGTTGAGATAAAATCTTTCGAGGCTAGTAGAAAATGGTATTACATATTTTTATTTGAAAACATACTTGTTCTTGTTGTACATCTTCAGGATTTTGTCTTTCTTCATTTATTCTTCGTTCGATGATCGGTGGCACTCGTTGATGTCGTTGAATCGAGAAATAGCCACGACGACGTCTAATCATAACAAAAGAAAAATAGATGATAATAATAATATTAACCGTATTTGATAAGTTGTCTTTCAACTTACAAATATGCCAATAAAAGAATAAAAAGAACTAATAGAAAATTATCTAATGTGCCATAATAATAAATAATGGAGCTAAGCATAACAATTTCTATTACGATCTGTAGTGTTCTGAATGCATCGTATTGTAGATTAAATCCATTATTATTATTCACCATTGGTGGTGGTGGTGGTGGTGTTAATGGAACATTTGTTGTTGCTGTTTGGTTATCACGATTAGATCTATGGGATGTTACCGGTCTTTGACGAACTAAATAATTTTGACTAGATGAAATGCATGAAGTTTTTCAAGTCTCTTTTGTTGTTTTTTATTTTTAACTTACTGCAATTGGTGATGTGTATAACAGTACTGTAAATAATTATGTGTTTCACAATTCGGTATGTATAAGAATTCATTTGAATTGGCTATAAATCTAATGAGAAAAGCAAATTGCCAATCTGTCTACCGATAAAAAAGTTGAATTTACTGTTGTAGTTGTTGTTGATATTGATCTAATGCATTTACATATTGATCATAAACAGTGGAATGTAAAGAAACAGATGACGATTTTTTTGTTGATTTTTGAGAACTTATTGGCATCTTAAATGCGAAGGTTTTTTGCCTATAAAACGAGTGTACTGAACAGTTAACCTTACGAATTCTTCTTGATCAGAATGAAGAACAAGATGAATCATAGCTGATGATTCCGAGTTCGGCTAAAAGAAAATTTGTCAGAAATTTTAAAATATTCTATTTGTTTCCTGGATTGAAAGCTTAAAAATTTATGATCGATTTATTACTAGCTTGGAGAATATTTTGTTCCCATTGAATTGCACTTATTAATTAAAACAAACGTTTATTTGATTTATTTGAATATGACTACAAGCGAAGAAAAACAACGAATAATTTATAAGAATATAAAAATACGAACGCAACAACTGACTGAAATCAGTACAAAGTTTGTGAGAAAGAAAATCCAAAGCCGTAAATCATCGTAGACGCCATTTCATTACAATGTACATGTAATAAAGCAACGACGAATATTTATTTTCCTCGGATAGTACGTAGGCAATATTAATGAAACATTTTTAAATAGATCAAGGTAGGTATATTTTTCTAACATCTATTTTTATGAACTCGATATCGTCAGTTTTTTTCCGCTATTCATAAATATAATTCGGATCATTGAATGGAATAAGACGACAACAAAGAGATTATGTATGGTGGAATGACGTGTTTTCATTGATTAAATACCGTATGTATGTATCACGCAAGTGTGACAGGAGCAAAAATAGTTTCAATCAATATAATGACCTTGTTGACGAGAAGTCGAGTCGCGTCAACTCAGATTCGTATACATACGGATCCGAGACATAAAAAAAGGACTAGTTAATGATTCATATGGCATCGAAAAATAATCATATATTGCACACTGCGAACAGTAAAAAGAAATATTGTCATAATCTATAAACACTTATGCTTGCATCCAGTGAGAAAGGTAGGAAAATAATATTTTTTTTAATTTTGGTTTTATCCTATTTAAAAAACAAATTAATCTTTTGATCAGATCTATTTTAAATAAAGATGAAAATATTTTTTTTTGTTTTATTTAATAAGACAGAGTTTATCAAGTTCAGGTTTACAAGCTAACCATTTTCAAGTTGGATGAAGATCGTGTGTAGAATCTTTAAGGAGCATCTGAGCGAGCCGAAAATTTGTATTTTAACGACAACATAACTGTGTCTATCGCGTAACTGCTAAAATTTAAGGTTGATAACTTCGTATTCTAGATAGCCCCGAGAAAAATATTATAGAAGTCAATTGAAGTATACTGGATCGTTCTTTCTATCAGTCAATTTTTTCATCAAAATCAGAAGCTATAAAAATTCAAAATAATGAATGCCATATTAGCTGATCGCCTTTTATTATTTAATTAAATCAATGACAAAAATCAAATAGTTATGCGTGGTAGTCTGATGGTAACCTAATTAAATATGTGCATTCCCTGGTTGAAGTTAACAGTTATATAAAGTAAAAGTTTCATCGATCGACTTGAGGGTCACTTTAGACTTCGGATCAAACGTAACAATTCAATTCAAGACAAGATAAATTAAATTAATATTTATTATCCTGCCACATATTTTAAACTTCGATAAAATAATTATCTTACTTTATTAAAAATTTGATTAAGATTATTTTCATCAGCAAGTAATTTTCCCGAGTAAACTAAACGTTGATGTTCAGGACTCTACAAAATTAAAATAAGCATCAACATCAAGAAGGAAGTTATTATTTTTACTGGTTTAGCTGGATGATTTAATTCTATATGTTTTTTAAGGTCATAAACAGTTAATGACGATAATAGTTCCGTAGGAAAATCAACATAATTATTATTGGCTGTACGAATAACTAATTTTAATATTTCATAAGTTGTAGCCATTTTTTGAATTTATTTGTGTGGTTTTATTAGAAAATAAAAATTTCACTCTATTGTCAGGTGTTGAATTGTCGAGTGCAACCATTTTCATCCAATAGTATACAAGACCTGCAAGGAAAAGAGGTCGTGCATGTCGTTATCAATGAATCATCTGATTTGATAAATGCTTCTCTATTGTATTATTATTTTCGCATGCATTTATTTTCTCAAGTATTAATTGCTAATGATGCAATAAATCAAGTAAAAGCTGTTTTTTACCTAAAAAACCATATTCGTCTATTTCTTTTCTCTTCTTTTTTTCTCTATTTCTGAGAGGTAATAATTTTTCTTTTGGCAAATATCACTTAGGGACAAAAAAAGAGAACATCGTGACACTGAAAAAACTGAATAGCAAAATTTCTCTTACACGATTATATTCTTCTAATCAGTACTTGTAAAGTAAATGGTAGATTGTAGACAAACCTACTTTACTTGATTCTACGATTTTTTCGAGAATATTAATCAATTATTTTGTTTAGATGTCAGGATGACCTTAGATTTTTCAAATTTTTTATTTAGTTATTGCTATGATAACTAATCCAATGAATCGAATGCGTCAAATTGTAAGTAAGAAAAAGCGACGTTATCAACAAGATGGATTCGATCTTGACTTAACTTGTAAGTAAAAAGATTAATAAATATTCGACAAACGAAATTTAAGCTGTTTGTATTTTCTCTAAATTAGATATTCGTCCAAATGTTATTGCAATGGGATATCCAGCCGATAGTTATGAAGGTGTCTATAGGAACAATATTGTTGATGTCAGTCGGTAGGATAATTTTTGAATATTAAATTTCAATAATATTTTTTTTAACACTTTGATTTACTTAAGATTCTTATCATCAAAACATGGAGATAAATTTTATATTTATAATTTGTAAGTCAGAGTTTTATTTTTTTTTTCAACAAACATTTTCTTTCTAGATGTGTGGAGAGTGAACGACAATATGATTATTCACGTTTTAATAATCATGTTTGTTCAGAGTTCAGTTTTGAAGATCACAATCCACCTACAATAAAAATGATTTTGGGTTTTTGCCAACATGCTGAGACACAATTAACAGAAATGGCTGATAGAACACTTGTTATACATTGTAAAGCTGGCAAAGTAACTTGAATGAAAATGTTAATTAAACGATAGGTTTTACTGATTATGAAAAATTCAGTCCTATAATAAAAAAATATATATATATATATATATAGGTCAATAAATGAGTATGAATAGTTCTTTTTCTATTTGCGAAAAAGACATTTATGTAAAGATTAAATGATACTATACACTTTGATTCTTATTTTACGACTAAGTTTAAGATAAGAAATAGAATTTAACAAACCACTGCTATGAAAAGACCTGTATGAAGAAATATACATTTTTTGCTATATATATATATATATATATATATTTGTTGATAAAACATTTGACATCGTATATTGCGTGACTATAAAAATAGTTCGGTTGTTAAAAAACGTTCATTGAACGTGAGAAAAGCTAATATTTGCTGTGGGCATGAAATTTAAAAATCTTTTCTCTGAATTTAGGGCCGAACGGGCGTTATGTCTTGCTGTTTTCTATTGTACTATTACCGACAAGAACATAATCATCCATTGCAAACATTAAAATTTTATGCCCAACAACGAACGTCGAATGAAAAAGTAAAGATGATTTTGATTTCGTTCGAAAACTAAATATCATATTCATTTAAGGGCGTTACCATACCTAGTCAACGTCGTTATGTCGAATATTTCGGTCATTTATTAAATAATCGAGTAATATACATACCTAAACAAATACTCTTTACCGGTTTATTAATAACGTACGAACAGAATCAAATCCTTACCTCAAGTTTGTATTTTAGAAAAGAAAAATTTTACTTTGAACTTGGTGCAAAAAAAGTTTATTTTGCTCTTTTAAGGTCTTTCTTATACAGTAAAATCAGCTGATCATCGTATTCAGTATCAATCATTTGAAATTCCTCTCGAACGTGATTCAACCATACGACGAGATCTACCACCAAATTATTCAGTATTACATGCAACACATAAACATTTTATTCCACTGCCAAATCAACAATGTCGTATACCACTTGAAGAAGATGTTTTAATTGAAATATTTGTAACGAAAACCAAACGAGGAAAATCAGTAAAGGTCTATTGTTTTGATTAATATAGAAAAAAAGCACATTATTTATTTACTTTAGGAGAAATTATGTCATTTTTGGTTTAATACTTTTTTCCTTGTTGAACCAAAAATGCAAGCAATACTAAGTGATGTCAATGAAAGACAAGCCGAAAGTAAATTAGGTACACTTAGTTCATGTTTGATATCCGAATGTGGACATAAACATTTATATACAATGACAAAAACAGATATTGATGGTTTACATAAAGACAAACCTCATCGTTTATCACCATCATCATTTACAGTAAGTTCAATATTAGACTTTTCTTAATTGTCATTCGAAGAAAATAAATTATGACCTACTTATAATGCAGAATAATTTGTATAGAAATTCTTTTGTGGTGCAAATTGAGAACTTAACAGTATCATTCAATTATAGATTAGAACTACTCGTTCTATTAGACATTCCGATAGATGTATATGTCAGAAAGAATCCGACCTTTTCGACATATTATAATGTATAGCTTCATTAACTATAATTATATTTTCCAATGTTTTAATAAAGCAAAAGAAACTATTTTCTCCTTAGATTGCCTGTGCCGCTTTCAAGGTTGTCATTTGTTTCGACGAGTGGCGGGGGAGAGCTAAAAATTTGACAGAAAGTGAATTGTTTTTTGAAAATTCTAACTCATCGAGAAAGTTGTTTTTGAAGAAAACAAAATATCATACTCTTCAAAAAAAAAGAAGACAATTTCCAATATAAAAATAATAGAAGTATTTTTGAATTATTTAACCCTAATCCGACCACCTCTATAAACGCGTATATTGTACTATTCTAAGTTAGATGAGGTTCATACTTAATTGTGAGCGTTTAACTTTTCAATTCGTGTTATACTAAAACAGAGTCTCATATACCACCAATCTATAGAATTTTTGTCCCTTTGAGACGTACTCGTAAAAAGAACAAGACGCACTTTCAGAATTCTTATTTTGAGCTGGGGTCCATACGGACCCAGGTGGGCGGATTAGGGTTAAATTTCGAAACAAAAATATTTACAATTGTTTTAACTTTTAAACAAAAAACTTCACAAACAAATATTAGGGTAAATAGACTTTTGATCCCCAAAAAAATGACTATTGATCACCAAAATGTGTTAGTTGCGAAATGAGCACCAAAAATAGATACGAATGATCCCCAATCTATTTTATTGTGAAATGATCACAAAAAGATATATATTTGATCACCAATTTGCTTTTTGTGGAATGAATGGTAGAGTTGTGGTAGATAACGTGTTGATCTCAAAAGACAACAGATTGATAAGACATAGTTAAACAATAATCATAATTGGATCAAAATGATCTCATTAACTGAGAATAGTTACACAAAATGTTCTATCATAACAATGCAGAAAACTAAAAATGTCAAGTAAACAGTGGACGCTGCTATACACAGCTCAATCATATGAAGAAGCAAAAGATTTAGCAAAATCACGTTTTAATGTTTGTCAAAATCGACGATCAGATTTAAACGATCAAACAAAATATTCATTTAAATGCAGTGAATACAGGAAATATTCTTTATGTTATTTTCAAATAAAAATTATCGTGCCAGATAACAATATGAATTCAATAACAATTATGTCCAAAAATGAACATGAACATGAACAAAATGAACGAAATGCAACAACAAGATTACCATCGCCAATACGTGAATCCATATCTACCTATGTCAAATGTGGATTATCACAATCTCAAATTAAAGCATCATTGATAATAAATTCGGCGATCGAATATATATTTTTTGTGATCATTTCACAATAAAATAGATTGGGGATCATTTGTACATTTTTTTGGTGATCAATAGTCATTTTTTTGGGGATCAAAAATATTGCTACCCTAAATATTATACAGTTACTTTATCTATCTACATAAAAAGCTGTATAAGCTACTGTGTTGTCGTTTTTTAGATCTTAGTTCTCCTCCCCTCGTGTAAAAGTATGCAGTTATAACGTGCTAGAATATATATTATTAACAATAATTTATAGCACAACGAGCTCAATTTTCAGCTCCACACTCAGCAACGAGTACATATGCGTGCAGTATGATATATTATACAATCGACAAAAAATAAGAAACATTGTCATTGATCGTTGCCGCTTTATATTGTAATCAAATTGTCATAAAAAGAGAAAGCCGTCAAAGATAACCAAAATTAGTGTTACAAAATGACACTTCTTTGATCGATATAATGTACATACAATTTGGTCACCTCGATTCGGCCCTAATCGGTCCTTTCTCATATCGATCCCATTCAAGCATGACTCACTTTGGCCCCAATCTCATTTCGGTCCCTCTCCTTTGCACGTGATGCTTTCACTAGAAAAGACAAAAACGTCAAGTTCACTTAAAGAGGAAAATGTCTAGTGTGTATGTTAAAAATTGTTATTTTTTCAACGAAATACATATAATAATTTGATTAAATCGAATAAGACTACAGTTAGTCTTGTTCATTGTATACATGATGACTATTCAAATATATCAAATAAAATTATATATCACTATTAATTTATTAAGTTGGGACCTAAGTGAGACATCATTATTTATATCCTGATTGTTATAGGACCCAAATAGGACATATGCGAATGGAACCATTGGGACCGAATAGAGAGTAATCCCATACAATACAAAATGTATTTATAGTTGATTATGAAGATAATCAAAGTATTTTTTAAGATATACGTTATTTAAAGATAATATATATATATAAGATCCTTTAAAGTTCATATTTCAACAAAACCTTTTTTAGCAGAAAGGATTCCAATTTAGGGAGGGAATAACCGTCCTCCATATCGGCAAGCCTGGTCGCTTTTCACTTTATTGATTGCGAGAAATTCATGACATATGTAGAATTTCAAGTTCTTTCATTCATATTTTATTGTCAGAAAGATTGAATTTGATAAATTTTTACTAGATTCAATTATAGAAGCATATCAACAGTTGGATTTGTTATTTCGAATAGAATGCTCAAGAAGAAGAAAAATCTTTTCTTGAAAAACAAAAAGCAATAGCCTCTAGGAAGATAAGCGTAGAGAAAAAAATTCGTTTTCTTCCTATGATGAGAATAAAACAAACAAAAAAGCAATCGGTTTATAGAAAGTCTAATCAATTTTTTATTTTATCTTCCATTCCAACATAGGTATCTGTTCTATTCGATTATATTCCAACACCATCTTTAATAATACAAACAACAGATCAATCATGTAGATTACCGGACAAAAGATTACCAGTAAATTTAAAATTAATCGAACCAAGTAATGATTCAACACTTATAATTGGTTCGCCGGATAAATTAATTAATAGCGATCAACTACAACAAAATAATGAAACAAATGATAAACTAAATAGCGCTAAAGCTAATTCTAATTTTGACAACAATAATAGAAGTCGTCGAACAGATAGATCAATATCATCAAATCGACGTGCATTTGCATTATATCCAAATTGTTTGTCCGATTGGGATAGTACAGATTCGGAATCAGGTACAAATGAATTAAATCCTAATGATGAACTTGAAACATGTCAGACTCGTTGTTAATATAAATATTATTTGTTTTTTCTTGTTATTATAACAGCAATGCGCGTAGGAAAAAAAAGTAGAAAGAAAAAAATCTCATTTTATGAGTCTGCTTATAGTTTTGTGCTTTTTCTTCTTGTTTTGTTGAAGAAAAAGAAAAAATAATATACATATATATATATATATATAAATATGTAAACCTAACAGTTTACCGTTTGTTTCATAATATGTATCGTAGTATTTGTATTTGGTGTAGATTGATTTTTTCATTCAATTGTTATTCGGTGTATGTGCATATATATTTTTTTCGGGCTATTTTTAAAATATCTTCATTTTTATTGTTTTTTTGGCTTCTTTTATATACTCTCCCTTGTCTGTTAGATCGACTTTTTTATAAAAAAAACACAGGTAACTAAGTTTCAACTATTGGCTATTCTATTTGAAGACGAGAGAACAAGAAGAAAAAAAAATATATACTTTTTGTATGTCGTTTTTAAGAAAACATTCAATGCTTTTTTTTGTTTTTTTAATTCATTCGAAGAAAAAAAATCTAATTAGCATCACGTCATATGACCAATAGTTGCGGAAGGAGAGTCTTGCACTGATCTACCGTTTCTTCTGCTTTTTTGTTCCTATCAGTATTTTATTAACGATAAAAAGAAGAGTACTTGACGAGCGGCGATTATCCTTAGCTGTCCAACGTCTTGTCACCTGTGTCTGTCATCGGAGTCTAATTTTTCTTCTTTTCTTTTTAAGTATGTATGTAGAGATAAACTTGATTTTTTTTCCACACCGTGCTACCGTTTGTGCACTGGTACACACATATGCTAGCATTCTTTTCACTACCATTTAATAGTTTGTGCTGTTATTGCTTCTTTTTTTACTCGATTGAGTGTTTGCGACAAGTAAAAAGCATACATCCAACGTTATGTGTGCGTGTGTATGCGCTTTGCGTCAACCATCTCTCGTTTGCTGGAGTGAAAAGGAAGGAAAAGGAAATTGGTCTTTCATTTTCTCTTCATCCACCATTCTTTTTTTCGCTTACAGTAGATCATTATTAATATCATACACGTCGTATACAATAGAAAAGCATACAAAGACCTTTTTCTCGCCAAAAAACAAACGAGTCCAACCATTAACCCAATCAGTAGCGTATTTAAAATATTCTGTTCGTAAACTAAGGTAAACGTCACATACATTGTAATGCACTCCTAAACGGCGAAGAACAACAAGGGAAAAAAGCACGAGAAGGAGTGAAATAGAAAAGAAAAAATATACATGTAAATATATGTAATCGCCTAAGACTAATATTCTAAATAAATATATATATATATATATATATTTTTGTTGTGCTTTGAGCATTCACACTCATAGTTTTGTTTTGTAGCAGATGGTTATTTGAAATTTTTATTTTCGCACATTTTTACTTAGGGTTGATTCGAGGTTTTCCTTGTTCTTTTTTTCTAATCATCGAGATCACTGCTATTCCTCGTGAGAATAACGTGATGCCGTTTTTTGTCATTAACGACATACATTAAGAAAAGGTTCTCTTTTCAGATTTCTTTTTTTTCTTATTCTTTTTCCTCGTCTTTTTTTTCCATTATGCTATAACTGCACATTCATCTCCTCTTCTGTCATCATTTATCTACCATATAAAATTATAATCAAAGACAAATTCGAACAATGGTACAAAAATATCAATCGCCTGTACGTGTCTATCGTTATCCATTTGAACTTGTGATGGCTGCGTATGAAAAGCGTTTTCCAACATGTCCAATGATACCTGTTTTTCTTGGTTCTGATATAGCATCTGAATTTCGTAGCGAAGATGGGGCCGTAGAAATCATCGAACGGCGTTGCCGATTAAATGTCGATGCACCTTATCTACTTAAAAAGGTAAATAACGAACATTCTATTTATTACGTATGAACAAAGTCGGAGTCTAGTTTGCTCTTTTTTTGTCAAAAGAATAAAAGAAAATGACTACTGGACATTTTTGTCTAAGCATGAATAAGTACGCTATAATTTTGCATGTGTCTGGTATAAGTAAAAGCTAGGAAGCGTTTTTCACATTGAATACTAAATAATTTCCTTTGCAAGCTCCAAGGAATCATAGTTACATAATTAGTATTGAAATGTATCTAGGCACTAGATAAAATAAAAAATTCATTCTATTGGCTAATATCATCAGGGAGCATTATTAATTGTTTCAAGTAGATTGAGACAACACTAGAGACGACTATGAAAGATATGAATTCAATGATTATCTTTAAATAATATCTTATCAAGCATAAGAAAACTTTTAAATCCAAATATCATTATTCAATGAGTCGTAATCATTTCGGCAGGATGAAGACAGATTAGATGACTTATTGAAGAAAAAATAATGAAGACTAATTGAAAGTTCAACTTCATATTTATATAAAAATATATCGCTTTTGATTTTAACTAATGTAGATTGTCAATGTTGATTATGTTATATTTTTCCAAAAAAATCATCTCGATCGTCGACAACGTACATTGCGTATTGATGCATGGAATGAAAGCTTTTCATCACGTTTAATAATCAAAGAATTCTGTCATTATTACGTATGTTGTTTTTTTCTCTCCGTCGAACGATATCATAGAAATTCAAATGTATGTTTTAGGTTCACCCAGAAAATGCTCTGTGGACATGCTTTGAACAAAGTGCATCTTTAGAAATAAAATCATTTTTTGGATTTGAAGCGACCGTTGAAAAAATGGCTATGAAACAATATTCAGCTAATTTATCGAAAGGAAAAGAAATTATTGAATATTATGTGAATGAATTAATGGATCAAGGAATAAAAAATATTCCTCTTTGGAATGAGGCATCAGCGTCAACATCATCAACACCAACAACAACGGATCAGGAATCAACAAATGATGATCCATCGACACTAGCAGTACGTCGACGATTATCAGCACCACAAGATGCATCGAATATATTTGCTTCATCATCCCCACCGACAGCATCAGGATTAGCCGCAACAACAGCAGCACATTTTTCCTCCCTATCCGATGAACTCGAAACGTTTCAAATCGATGAAAATTCAACCGAAAAGCAGTGTAATTGAAAACTTTCTTTATCTTTTTGATTTATACGGTTATTATTCTTCTTCTAGCTGTCGGAAACATTGACGATGAATATATACGTCGTTATATTGGCCAATTAGATCCATTTGAAGAAAGCTGTCTTGTACAACTTCGCCAATGGATTGCAGAAACCCACAAAGGAAAAGTATGAGATAAACAAAACAAAAAAGCAAAGGTCGAAAAAATTTATTTATTCATTTTATTTCAGTTACCAAATGATTCTCATTTACTTCGATTTCTTCGCGCTAGACGATTCGATATTGAAAAAACAAAAGAAAGTGTTTGTCACTCGTTAGCATGGCAAGTTTATTATTACCATTTTTTTTTTTTGACAAACAGATGTCATTGCCATATGATATAATCATAAAAGAAAACCATTTCTATGTCTAGTCAACTAAGCAACATCAGAGAATTTCCGCTTATTTTTGTTTTCAATATTAACAATAGCACAGTGATGTCGTCTATCATTAATAATGTATCCACGTGAAATTTTACATGAAACAAAAAAGAAAAGCTCCGTTGTGGAAAAAGCAAGCAACATGAAAATTATATTATGTGTGCATAATATACTGCAGCTATAAAAATAAACAGAGCAACGAAGATAAAACTAGATGTTATTTTGTCTATGGTTGATAATGTTCTGTTTCCCTCGCTATTTGTTATATCTATATGGATAGAATTTAAGCTCTCATCTCGAATACACAATACATGTTTCTCTGTACTTGATAGCAGCATCCATATTAGGAATGCGATTGTGTTCTTCATCATAGAACTCATCAAGATATTCTATTATGAACGCATGATTTTCTTTCTTAAGAAAATTATATATGTGGATTGGAGTTTTGAGAATTGTTTGGCCCGATAGGAGCACAAGATGACCTGACAGCGTTGCGTGTTCAATTTGATACGAAAGATCTCGTTCGAGCAAGAATTGTATGTAGCTACATTTCACATAGGATGTCTTTTTTCTTTTCTTCGAAACTAATCGAAGTTCATCAAGAACACTTTATCGTTATATTTAGCATGTTTATCTCAATGTGCTGGTTCAAGACGTGGCGTAAAATAGTTCATGACAATCATAAGTCGATAGATCACGCTAGAAAATATTAAAGATTACTGATAATAAGTTGATAATAATAAATAACTTCTTTTTAGCTCTTAATTTGTTAACGATGCGTAAACATTCATAAGCTATTGTTCTCTATTTTTAAGAATAAACAAATTGTAATAAAAATTATTCCAGATGTATATGTCGATTATCGAAATGACATTTTTCCATTTGTTTTTTGTCAGAAGAAATAAATATTTATCATAACTTTTTTCTATTTAAAAAATTTGCTTTTTTGATTAGGCGTAAAAAGAATTGTATTGATCGTTTACTTGTGGATTATGAAAGTCCTGAAGTGATACAACGATTTTTTCCTGGTGCTTGGGGTGGCAATGATCGTGAGGGTCGACCTATCTACATTTTACGTGTTGGCGAAATTGATGTACGCGGTGTAATGAAAGCAGTACATGGTGAAGATGTTTGGATCAGACATGTATGAAGAAGAAGAAGAAAAAACATTGATGATTTGTTTCATAATAATCAATGTTTGACTACTATACTTATTTTTTGCGTTATTTTTCTAGGTATTATGTCTAGTTGAAGAAGGTTTAAAGAAATGTGAAGAAAATACCAAAATTTTCGGTAAACCTATAAGGTAAATATATATATATATATTCAATGTATCTTATTTTGTCAAACAAGAATGTTAATTTATATAAATAGAAATTTGACTCGACAGACAGACAGACATGATGCACTATTTATCATAAACGTGATAGATACCCTTAGCAATGTCAGAGATATTGATAATATACGTAGCTATATGATTAAAGACCTTTTTCGAACAGTCTCTCACTTGAATTAATGAACTATTTTCATCTACGATCTCTAGAGCATTATGCAAAGGGTGTGATGTGCAAACGTATTCTAAAATCAATAGAATAAAAAGTAGTCTCTCTGATTTACAAGAGTAACTACATTATACATTTTACATTCGAATCCCATAGGAATTGCAATAATGACTTTTCTTCTTTCTTTTCTTTTTTCTTTTAGTTCTGTATGTGTTATTCTTGATTTCGAAAACTTCAGTGTTAAACATTTATACCGACCTGTATTTCGAGTTATTTCACAAATAAGTGATACCGTTGAAGCTAATTATCCAGAAACACTTGGACGGTAAAGCAATAGGATGAGGTTTGTTTTGAATGCGAACTTAAATGATATATTTAGAATGTTTCTAACACGTTGTCCTCGTGTTATACCAGTATTATGGACAATAATCAATACGTTTGTTGAAGAACGAACACGAGAAAAATTTACTATACTTAAAACTGATGAACTAACTGAATATATTGATGAAATAAACATTCCTGATTTTCTTGGTGGTCAATTGTCTGTATGTATTTAAATAATTTTTTTATTTTGCTTTAATAGATTTTACATGAATGATTTTGAAAATATTTACTATGAGCTAAATATAAGCATTTCGGCGCCATTAACTAATTAATTATTTAACATATTTTTGAATATCAGTTCGCTCATATATATGAATGACTTCTATATTTTTGACAGTTAGCTAATGTTAGAATATGTTCAAAGTCATGAATTATATTAAAAACAATTCCTCAAATTATACAGAAATATTCTTCATCAGATATGAAAATGACGGATGTCCGGAAAATCAAACGTCGAATTCTTCAACAGTTGGTATGCGTCAACAGAGTAATTTTTTGACTCATGATAATAATACAGCTAACAATGCCGATAGAACAGGATATATTCTTGCTCTATAAAACATTCTGTCACTGAGATATAATAATATTGCTGAATAGCCGCAAGTCATGTTTATCTAATTCTCGATAGAAAAACTATTTGTGTGTGACCTTCAATAAAATGACCTTGTTCCATTAGAGAACTTATAGCTCAACCACGAAAAAATAGTCTAGGAAAAAAATTGAATCAACGCGTTCACGATGCTCTATGATAAGAATTTCCATTTCCTGAACAGAACTGATATTCAACAAGTTAATAACAACTTTTTTTTCCTTCTATCAATGTTCACAAGCAGATTCCCTACTTGAGAGTTTCTTTTTAAATGTTAACTGGCAGGAAACAGTATTGAAAATAACTGCCATCAGACGATTACTTTGCAGTCAATATTCACATCGAAACTACGCGAATCATTCCAATGTAATGATTTTGCACATAAACAACAAAACTGATTATATACTTGTATTGTTGCTTGTTTTTTAAAAATAAAAACCTCGATTTTCATTTTAGCTTCACGCACCATCTGGTGGAGTTGTTCCACGTTCGCTGTACGTCCATGAAGATGAACCGGATAAATTTGATGCGGAAAATTCTCTATTTGGCGACAGTTCATATACAGTTGTAACAATAAAAGATGGCGATGTACACGAGGTCTGTTTCTTTTTTTGCTTTCCTCATCGCATTTCATTAATAAATGTTGTGTTTTTGTTTTAAATATTCTAGGTACTTATTCCAATATCACAAAAAGGTGACAAAATTTGGTATGATTTTGATTTACTAAAATCCGAATGTACATTTACAATATATCGCATCGGAAAAATCAAAGCAACTGAGCATGATGATAATGAAGATAATTTACGTCCTTCATCTCCAACTCCGAAATCTAATTCAACATTACATGCAACGACTATTTATGATAAACCATTAGTTGAATCAACAACAGATGATATTACACGATTATCTCAGCCTTCGGTTTATCACGCTGGCGATTCTGTGCAAGAAACATATGTTTGTCAACAACCTGGAAACTATGCATTGCAATGGCGTCATTCGACAAGTCATCATAGCGCGAGTCCATTCGATTTTATTAGTGGAAGTCACAAGACAAAGATCATGTATCACTATGAAAGACAATCGTCAGGTAGATTGGCCAATGATGCCACTACCAATGGACACATCAGTGGCGAAAAGCGAACATCATTGACTTCGTCGTAAAAAAAAACAGATTCTGTTGCGTTTTGTTTTTCTTTGTTTTCGTTTTTTATGAAACGGCTTGGTTCCGTGATGAAAAAGAAGGAAAAAGAAGAAACGTTGATCTTTGAATTATTTTACTTTTCAAAGATACCCTACCCTCCGAAATGTTTTTTTTTCTATTGCAATATTGTCTCTCTATTTCTGAATTTCTTAACACATTATAATGATTACCTGATATTACATTCGACTGCTCTGGCAGACGGATAGTCTTATTTCTCATATATTTATATATGCCAGTAATAAAACAAATACAGAATGAATTTCTATTCTTTTTATTTTTCCGATTATTACAAAGCAAAAAAATAATAATATTATAAGCTTTTCTATTGGTAACAAGAAACTATCTCTATTTTAGTTTTGAAAAATTTTACATGGCCCTTTTAGCTGTGAAGAACTTATCTTTTTTAATTCAGCTGATTTCGATAGACTGGATATTTTGAGGAAAAAAAGCAAATGTTAAAATTGTTATGCATAATTTTTCGATGATTTGTTTTCTGCATTCCATGACTTGTTCTCATGAGTCACGGATACAATTTTTTTGTCGAGATTTGTAAGGCAAAGAATCCATAGAAGATACCGCGGAAAGTAAATAGTTACATCATCGTAATTTTGTGTTCTATTTACTCAAATGGTAGTACTAAAAATGTTTTATTGGGCAGTTAGTATTGTATTTAAATTATGAAAGTATTTATCGTACCAGACGTTGGAGAAGGTGGAGATTGCGATTGTCATTTCTGACAGAACTTTAGTCTTTAGTTGACAAATATTTTAGTGTAGTTTTTTTTTTTGAAAAGTCACAAAGTCAATAAATTAACAAGAGAGAGCGACTCATTTGAATTCATTTTCTTTTCAGGTACAACAAACGCGTGTGTTTCAATGTTTATTTTTGCGTTCTTGTTTAATCATTTATGGCGAGATTCTTTCTATTGGATAGGAATAATTTCAAAAAACGAATGATAAAAACTTGTTTTAAGAACTTTTATAATAAATATAGAATATTTTTTACGTAATTTTATATTTACTAGATAATAATAATAATAATAATAATACAACTATGCTTAAATTATTTGCATTTATTGTTTACGTTGTATTGACTTCGACAAAAGCTGAAGTAGGAATTGAATGATTTTTTTTTTGTTAAGAAATTTTGATTATTTAAATTGTTAAATTAAAAGGATGGCCATTGTATATGGTATGGACCTTGTGGAGAAAATGCACTGGGTAAAATAACTAATTGTTATTATAATGGTACTGCACAATTGTTAACTGATGAATCAGCATTGAAAACATTAGAAACCGCTTGTGGAATGATCTATAATGGTAGGTTGTTCTATTTTTATATGTTTAGACGTTTGAGATAAGATTTAAATAAGTCAAAAAAAGAGAACTGATTTTTCATTTAAGATGGTCCAAGGGATAATCATAAGGACTTTAAGATTGAATTTCACTGCCCAATGAACTAACTCTTTTCTTGTATAGACAAGAACTTTCTCTAATATATTTCAAAGATTACTTTAACCTGAGAATCATAATGCGCTTTCACCTTCAGATTAGAGATAACCGAGAGCAAAGCACTTTTAATAGATGTTGTTTGCTCAGATACTATTGTTGGAAAATATTCTGTGTCGTATATTTTTCTAGTACATAATTATTTCATTTTTCTTATTGAATTTTCTTCAAGGTACCAATAATACTTATACATGCTGCTCGGGGGATCAAATAAAAATCATGGCCGATCAATTTGGCTTGGCAAAATTAATGTTAGGCCGTTGTCCATCATGTTATTACAATTTTCGTTCGTTGTTTTGTGCAATGACTTGTGCTCCGGATCAAAGTCGGTTTTTAACTGTGAAAGATTTAGGCACCAGTATATCATTTCCAAATCGAACAACAGTCGAATCTATATATTATGATGTAGCTGAAGATTTTTCTCAGCGTATACTTGACTCTTGTCGGTGAGATTGTTTGATTCTTTTTTTTTTGTTTTTTTGAAATAATTGCATCTGTTTTTCTATATCTATTTTGTTTGTAAATTTGTTTTAGAGACGTTTTATATCCCGGTGGTAATCAACATTCACTTGATTCCATGTGTGGTCGACCGTATGATAAATGTACAAAAGAAGCGTTTATGGCATATTTAGGTATCGGTAATCCTGCTGTACCATTTCCAATCTATATCAATATGATGAATGATACAAGTCAATATGAAACATTTTATAATCAAACAACATTTGTATGTAGCGAACCAATAGTATCAAGATATGAAAATAAAACAGCATGTGGATGTTTGGTAAATTTTTTGTTTTTTATTTTGCAAAAATCCGAAAATCAAAGAAAACTTTTATTTAGGATTGTTCAAAATCTTGTAGGCCAATACCACCCGATGTTCCCGATAAGGAATTTAAAATATTTAATATCGATGGATGGGTAGTTATTGCTCTTATGGTAATTGTACTTTTCGTGGCTACATTTTTTACCTCGTTATTTGTTATACCAAAATTTCGAAAACCTCGACAAATTGTTGAAGAATCAACAGGTAAAAGTTAATCATCCCATTCTCATTCGATTTCTTATATTTCTTTTGTTTTTTGCTAACCAAAAGAGACCACCGCATTAATCAATGGGCCAATCAGTCGAAATAAACTCGGACGTTTAATTCGTGTACGTCTAAGTACAGAGAATTTTCTTCAACAAATTTTTTATAAGTATGTTATTCAAAATACTATTCTTCTTCGATTTCAAATATCCTCTATTTTTAAAGTTTGGGTCTTTACTGTGCTCAACATCCATTTATTGTTCTATCTATTGGCACTGTTTTAATTGCTGCTCTATCCTGTGGCCTACTTAAATTTAAAGTTACAACCGACCCTGTCCTATTATGGTCAGCGAAATCGAGTATTGCTCGACAACAAAAAGATTATTTTGATAAACATTTTAAGTACGATATTTTTTGATTTTAATATAATCGAAAATTTTCTTTTGGACATTTTAGACCTTTTTATCGTACAACACAAATAATTATTGTTCCCGATGATCAATCGTTTACAACACATTATTACCTATCTCCACCGGCACCGGCTAGTGAATACACATTTGGACCTGTATTTAATTTAGATTTTCTCTTTCGTGTACTTGATCTTCAAACAGATGTTTTATCACTTACAGCTGATTTGAAAGAAAAAAATCGGACAGTTCTATTATCAGATATTTGTTTCAAACCATTAGCACCCGATAATGAAAATTGTACAGTTTTTTCAATTTTACAATATTATCAAAATTCAAAAGATAAATTAAATACATCTATTCATGATGACTTTTTTACTTATTTTGATTATTCAACACATTTTATGACATGTTCAGAAGCGCCGACCACAACCAAAGATAATCCATTGAATATATCATGTTTTGCTGATTTTGGTGGAACCATTAATCCGTTTATGATATTGGGTAATTATTCCGGCTCAACATATGCGAATGCAACAGCATTAGTTATTACGATTGTAATTGAAAATTCAAATGACCCAGAGAAAATTCAATTAGGTTTGTTTTGTCTAAGAAAACTTTCATAAGTCTATGTTTCTTGTATTTATTTAGCTGAAGCATGGGAAAAAGTTTTTCTTGATTATATGAAAAATTTTACTGAAACTCAAAAGGCACTGCGTGCTGCTGGTCGTTGGGATGAAACAGCAAATTTTACTGTTTTCTACAGTGCTGAACGTTCTATTCAAGATGAATTAAATCGTCAGAGTCGTTCTGATATTTTTACTATTATTATATCTTATTCAATCATGTTTCTCTACGTAACCTTAACACTCGGTCGTATTCGTTCGTGGCGAACATTTTTCATAGATTTAAAAATATCTGTTGGTTTCATTGGTGTATTTTTCGTGTTAATATCTGTTATGAGTTCCATAGGATTCTATTCATATTGTGGTCTAGCTGGTACATTAATTATATTTGAAGTTATACCATTTCTTGTCTTGGCTGTTGGTGTCGATAATATATTTATCATCGTTCAACATTTCGAACATGCTAAAACTGAAAAACATCCATCCATCGACATATGCTTAGCTAAAACAATAGGCCGCGTCGGCCCATCAATACTATTAACAGCAACAAGTGAATCGATTGCTTTTGTACTTGGCTCATTGACACCAATGCCTGCTGTACAACTTTTTTCATTATACGCATTCATGGCTGTTTTTATTGATTTTCTACTGCAAATAACTTGTTTTGTATCTATACTTGCACTTGATGCTAAACGGCAGCAATCAGATCGGCCGGATCTATGCTGTTGTGTACCTATGAAATTAGAATCAACAACGAATGAAGCAGAACAAGAATCAAAAGGAATGCTACAACAAGTTTTCACACGTATTTGGACGCCAATGGTATTGGGTTCATCTTACATACGTGCAATTTTATTTTCATTATTCATTATTACTACATGTCTATCACTTTCAAGCATACATCGTATTTCCGTTGGTCTTGATCAAAAATTATCGATGCCAAAAGATTCCTATGTTTTAGATTATTTTCGTGGACTGGAAGAATATTTAAGTGTTGGTCCACCAGTTTATTTCATTGTTAATCAAGATGCTATCGATTATACGAAAATTGATGATCAAGATTTACTCTGTGGTACATCAGGCTGTTCATCAATATCATTACTTGGACAAATCGGAGAAGCATTACGACAACCAAATCGTTATTATCTAGCACAACCACCATCATCATGGCTCGATGATTATTTTGATTGGCTACAATCAACAAATGATCCACCTTGTTGTAGAATAAATAATCAAACAAAACAATTTTGTCCGGCTACATTAAACGATACAGCATGTCAACCATGTCCAATAAAATTTCTAGAAAATCAACGACCATCACCAGATGATTTCCGACAATATATTGAATATTTTCTAATTGACAATCCGGGCGAAAAATGTCCAAAGGGTGGTCATGCTGCATATCATGATGCTATCGAGCTAGTTAATAATACATATGTTAAAAGTTCATATTTTATGGGTTTTCATTCTGTATTGAAAACATCAAAAGATTATATTGATGCAATGAAAAGTGCAAATGAAATAGCAAAAAATATTTCAAGAACAATTTTAAATAATCACAGTCATCCATACCATGATTCAAATAAACTTGAAGACTATCCAGTTGTTCCATATAGGTAAGAAGTTTTACGGAAATTTATTATTCTCATTGAAACAGAGAATAAGAATTAAATCCTTAAAATAAATCGTAGACGAGATGCTTCAAATCCGATTTAATTCCAAACGCTTCGACAGATCTTCTTTTTATTCGGATAGAAATTGACGTATATGAAAATCGGTTCTTAAAAAATATTTAAGTTAAGTTATTCAGGCATATTATTGGTATTCATGCTTGAATTTTATCGTTCAACTTTGCTTGTTATTAATAGACGACAAAACAACCTAAGCTCAAAGTAGAATTGCAATTCGTAGTTTAATATTCAAGTACACTTGATTGAATCGATGTAGTAATAACGTAGAAAACTATCTATCTTTGAAGATCAAACGGAGCACGGAACCAATGATCTGCATGATTTAATAAGAGATTAGAAAAAAACATAAAGATCTTAAACATATAATTCTAGCGTGTAGCCTAAGATTGTTACAGTAGTTCCTCTTTTGATAATTTTTTAATGTTGTTTTTCAACGTCTAGGCTCCCAATGACGTAGAAAACAATGTTCTCTCATTTAATTAAACATAGAATGGCATCATTCTTGATTCAGGTTAAAATAACCTAAATAATTGAAGTACATGTCTAATAGATATCGTTTTAGTTGCATTATTCTGGTTAAAACTCTCATGCGCCTGTAAGCTTACGCTGTAGGCATTAGGAATATTTAATTTTCATGATTTTCTACGGAGTTGACGATTTTATTATCTACTTAGTTCGAAAAAACTCTCTAAATCTAGAATAAAAAATGATTATCAACTTCTATTGATGTGCATCTACTCGTATTATTTTTTTAAACTATTTATGTTGGAATTTAATTTAGTTTTAAAATATGATTTGAGTAGTTTTGTCCTGAGAAATTTATTTAACCTGCTTTTTTTTCCTTTATATATACACATATCATAGTGCCTTCAAAGTCTTCTAAGCCGTGTTTTTTACTTTTCTTGTAATAGCGTTTTCTACGTATTCTACGATCAATATTTAACCATATGGCATAATCTTATTATGAACTTATCATTATCATTTGCAGCTGTATTTGTTGTAACATGCGTATTACTTGGCTTTGATTTTCATACATCGTTTCTCATTCTTCTTTGCGTCTTTATGATTATAATTGATATGTTTGGCGTTATGTTTCTATGGAAAATCGAACTTAATGCTATATCCGTTGTAAACATAGTCATGGTAAGATTTTGAAAAGAAATACAACATGGCCGAAAGAAGAAAAACGTATGTTTACAATTTCTATTTTGCTTTTTTAGTCGGTTGGCATTGCAGTTGAATTTATTGCTCATATCGCACGTTATTTTGCTGTTAGTCAAGGTGAAGATCGATTGTTGCGTGCACGTACAGCATTATCTGAAATGGGTAGCTCCGTAAGTGACTAATTTAAGTCTTTTGTTTATTCATTTAAAATCATGTTTGTTACTCATAGGTATTCAGCGGCATAACATTAACCAAGATTGGCGGTGTTGTCGTTCTTGCATTTGCAAAGTCACAACTTTTCCAGGTGTTCTATTTTCGTATGTATTTTTCATTGGTTGTGATTGGTGCATTGCATGGTTTAGTTTTTCTTCCGATCTTACTCAGCTATTTTGGTTAGTATCACGTGAATCTTAGTCATTAAGTTTCAATTGAATGATTACATTTTATTTTATTTTTTCTTTAGGACCACATTCAATAACATTTATTGATCATAGAAAACGTTCGTATCTAAATGATGATACTATACCAAGTGAAGTTGTTGCCAATGGAAATGCGTAAAATACATCTCATCATTCAATGAACGCATAAAAGATGACGAGCAAGTTGCTTGTCTTATTTTCTTAAAACTGCTTTACTCTAGCTTGTCAGATTGTTTTTCTTTTTCATGCTGCGTTATTTTAATATATTGAGAAAAATAATTTAATCCAATAATGGATTGGTTTATTTTTGGTGTTCACGTTTTTTTCTCTTTTTCTTTGACGTCAATAACATCGGTCAAACATTAAAAAAGACAAAACTAAATATATAGATAGATTTTTTTATTTGTATTGATTCGGAAGGATTTTTAGTTGTCTTTCTTTTGCTTATTTCCTTCAGCATGGTATAAAGCATAAAATTTTAAAACGGAAGTTGATACATAATAATAAATGGAAAACTTCAATCAAAGTAGAAAAAAACAGAAACAACATTTTGTAAGATAATTGAATAAAAATATTGATGAAGTACTCTTTTTTTTGTCGTCTCTGCCGGGCAAGATTCTATGATTATAAAAACCGGATTTCTTTGTCTTTCTGAAAAGAGAAGAATAACTACATATCTATCAGACATGATAAGTATGAATCCATTTTTTGATGTCCAATGAATAATAACATGTTTATCTGCTAGACACTAGCTAAATTATAAATGTTTAAAGATGTAAAGCATGATTTTAAAGACAGAAGAAGATCGCATCTTTTCCCTCTTCGATGATTCTACTACTTGTCACATAATCTATGTTAAGAAAATAGAATCATTACAAGAGTAGGCACATATGATATGTTAGAAATTTAAAATGCAATCTTCGAGTAGTTGAGAATTTATGTGTTTTCTTCTTCTCGTAAATAATTCTATTTGAAGAAAATCATCTTCTAACGTCATCATGCCGAAACTTATTTTTCATGCATGACTTATATTTATACTAAATGAAAATAAGTTCTGAACCATCAAATTTTTTTCCTGAGTGTTAACACTGACTGACATCTAGTGTCCTAATACAAATACAGATTTATTTTTCTTTTACTACTAGAGATTATAAAAACGACGTAAAATGCCATTTTGAATTGTTTTTATTAGTTTTCTTTCATAAGAAATTTTCCAAATAATAACGTGATTTTTATAAGATAAAAAATTCTGCCAATAAGAAAAAATATTGAGGTAATTGTGCGTAATTTTCAAATGGAGACTATATATATGAAAACAAGAAAAAAAAAGAAAGTATCGATATCGTAGAAAATGTCTTATCCTCTTCTTCTACGCATTTATTATTTCCTATTGCTCAAAGGTAATTTTCAGTATATTAAGACTCACCATCGTTAACCCTTGAACTAGTTTATTAAATGGCGTTATTGTTTATATCATGACTGTCATTTTTCTCTCTCTTTATTACTTGCCGCTAATATTTTTATATTTGCCTGAAATGAATTAACAACAAAAAAAAAGAAAAACTCAAGCTTATATCTATCATTTAATTCGTTTTTTTCCTTTGTTTTCCTTACTCTGGCTTTCTTTTCAACGGACTTCAATAATCAAATAGGTGTAATAAATTTTAAATTTTAAACGAAAAACAAAATTCATTCATCCAATGATAAAATTAGCGTGAATCAATTTTATTGATTAAAAATAGAAACAAATCTTGTGTCTTAATCAATGATATTGATATTGAGTAACTCCGGATATTAATTTTTTTCTTGTTGTCTTAGTCGCTGAAATCGAATTCCGTTTTCATTAATTTCTAAATCATGATAAAAACAAAATCGTAATGTGAAAAAAAGCATATTGCGTATTCATTTATTGTAACGTGGAAACTAATTTTTTTCTAGATGCGATTTTTTCTCTTACACAATAAAACAAGAGGAAAGAGCCGATCTTTGGGATTTTGAAAATCCCAAAATCCGCAGCTTCCTCCTTGCAATAAAAACAACTCAAAGATGGAAAATAATAATGTATGCTTTCTTTTATAATGTCTCTAAAAACAGAACAGAAAATAGTCAGTAATCATGGACTCGTAAGTGCCGTTGATATAGACGATAGTCACAATGGTGAACCAATTGGAGTTAAAAAACAGAATGGTTCGCAAAGAAAAGAAAGAAAAAAAGTGGTAGACACAAAAAATAAGGCATGACTTTGGTCGCACAGAAGAATAAAGTCATTCTCTTTCTACGTACTTCTATGCTTTTCTTGCTGTTCTCACTGTGATAGTGAACGAAGAAGTGCCTAGATTGATTACTCGATAATATAACGAGTACGAGAGAGAAAAAGAGAAAAAGCAAGAGTATAAAAGGAGAATGTGTCTCGTCTATTAGTACAGTGTGTGAGGTACTGGCATGTCACATGAGCAGTTTAACATCACGACATTATTTCTTTATTGCACAAGCGTTGAAAATTTCAATAGAATGACTCGATTTGCATATGCAGTTTTATTTTCTCTAGTAGAACTAGATTTTTTCTCTACCCCTTATTCGCCTGCCTTCCTTTCTATATTCTCATATTTCAGATGACGATGTTTTTGTGTAAAACATAATATTATCTATTGTGCTGTGTGTGTGTGTTGTGTGTGTTTCATATAATATTAAAAAAAGAAAACAGTTACAAAAATTAACAAGACAACTCTAATCTATAATAATAATATGTTAACATTATCAGAAAAATTTCACGATCAAAATAATCGTATTCAACAGCAACTTGATGGGTGGACATTATTCGAACAGATTTTTGCGTCAGTTGAATTATCAAAAAAATTACATTTACGATATCGATATTTTCTTGCCCAATTTTTATCCTACAGCAATAATCAACAAAATAGTGATGATATGCTTCGCCATACAGTGGATCAAGCAAATGCACCCAGTAATCGTCAAAATTGTAGACAACAGATAAGATGTGATGCTTTTCTAATTTTAGTTATACTTGCTTGTCTCCTATCGGATCCGTTAGATAAAATAATTTCAACACTTCAACTTTATTTACCATTAGTTTCATTAACAGCAACTGATGAAAAATTACTGGATTCCTATCGAAATGTGTTAATATATTTGGATTCGAAATTAAATAATCCCTCTAATTTTTCCTGTTCAGAACAACAACTAATTGGCGTTTGTCAGCAAATTCAATTTTTCATTCAAACTAATCCAAGTTTACAAAAGTTTCAAGTTGATGTACCACAATTAAATGCTTTAGTTTCATCAGCAACAATAATTAGTAAAGGAAATACGGAAGAGGTATGCTCTTGATTAAATTATAATAGAATGTAAAGATTTGTACATGAGAAAAATACTAATTTCTAAATGCGGTCATGACGTTCCAAGGCCATTATTTTATTTTATTTCCTCTTTCCTTTATTTTATCAATTTTTCAAAAATAAGAACACGGATGTAAATATTCTTATCTTACTTTCCATTAGAGCTGACGTAAATGGACTAACAAAAGCATTTAAATATGCGCATCTAGTTATTTATCTAATCGAAATGAAAATAATATATGCCTATCAAATAATAGAATAAAATATAGAACCAAGAACTATTTATTTGAGACGATAAAATTAAATAATTTTTACCGGATTTTTTTCTTCTTTCACTTTAAAGAAATCATTATCCTCATCACCATTAATGCCAATACATCATCAACCTTTACAACGTTTTCCATCGATTCGACTTCATCAGCAGACAACACCGCCACCATCATCATTAATGAACTTTACTTCGGAAGGTTCTCATAATTCGCCATCAAGTCAACAGCTAATGGGTCATGTAGCGAGTGATAGTGGTGTGGATTTAACGGAACCAAATATGATAAATCCTGTTCAAAGCATTTTAACAACTCATGATTCGCAACATCTATCTATTGGTCATTCTCATTCAGATAAATTAACATTAATCAGTGGACAGGATAATCAAAATAATCATATATTTGCTGGTAAAACAACATCATCACCAACGCCTGAACAATCAATTTCAAATCATTCACAACTTACACCCTTATCAGCTGCAGTCAGTGCACCATCACAATCAATTGGCTCATATTATTCTGAACTTCGCCATCAAAATTCTAATTATCAACAGCAAATGAAATCCGCCTTAACAATCAGTGATGAAGATGAAGAAATTCCTCAAATACAACACAATTTTACGAAAAATTTCATGCAAACAATACCAAATTCAATTGATAACTTTCATTTAGATCCTCAAGCGCCATATAATCGCAATCGTTTACGTCAATTTTGTTCATTACGCAATCGAAATACAAAACCATACCCGAATGCGTCAAGAAACAGCAATGAACTTGTTTCACCATATTTATGTGTTGATGGAAATTTTGGTTCTGTGCCAAATAAATTTCTACAACCTAATAGTGGCATGCGAGGTAATTTAATATATATATTTATATTTCTTTGTAATTTAATGTTTTTATGACAACTTTTTAGACGTACCTAAATGGTTGAAAACTCTACGCTTACATAAATATGCTTTTTTCTTTTCACAAATGACATATGACCAAATGATGAATTTAACATTTGATCAATTAAAAGAAGGAAAAATAACAGACGGCGCATGCACTAAAATACTATTAAATATAAAAAAATTAAAAGAAAGACCATCATTACTGCAACAATGTATTATTGATATTGATAATGGGCAAATTGATATTAAAACAGTTTTACAAATATTAAACGAATTCATGTTAACACCGATACATGTTAAACAGACGGAAAAAAATAATGATGATACTGATGACGAAGATTTACCTAAATTAATTATGCAAGTACTTGAGAAAGGTATTTAAAAATAGAAAAATAATATTCTATCAAAAGAAAATAAATATTTGTCTGCTGTACGGAAAGAGGGTTATGTGTTCTGCGTATCTTTCCATTAGCGACTTTCAGAATCGTAACCAATTGCAGATCTCTAATTAAAAAAAAATCAAATGCACGAGTCCTCTCATTCTCTAACCAGTAATCCTAAATGAAATGCAAAGAAAACATAGTCAAAGTCATAGACCAACAGTCTTGGCGCGCGGCAGGAAAGGAGTCGATTTGAACTTTCTCTCTGTCCTGTGTGCATCTCTGATCACTACGAGTCATATGGAAATTATTTTATTTATTTTTTGTGAAATCTAAACAATAAAATTATCCTTTTCATGAATTCTTATATTCTTTTCAGTCTATCAACAATTAACATGCAGTAACTCATCGACAAATATTTTATCTGAAATGTGCAATAATCTTGTTGGTTTATTCGATCGTTGCTATAAACATGAAGCATTCTCACCTGATCAACGTCATGCATTATTACATTGGCGTGGTCCTCTATGCAATAAATTGCAAACATCGGGTAAAGTTGATTATAAATCCATGCAATCATCATCATCATCCTTGAATCGTCGTACACAATTGAGACCACAAACAAGTATGGGCAATGTGAATACAACACCATTAACAAGGCCGGTTGTACGAAATATCAAAAGTACAGTTTCATACTATTCAAATTATAATACGAATTTTGTGCCATTATCACGGCAATATAATTCTGATATGTCAAATCAAAATGGAACTAGTAATCAACAAGATTCGACTTTAAATCGGCGTCCAATCAAATCGCCAACATTTCTATTTACGACGAATACTGATTCAAATGACGATTCAACAGGATTAACAGATCATTTATCAATAACATCAACACCGTCATTACAAGAACGTTTAATAAACCACCAATCAGCACAGTTTATAACTGAACGTACTGGTAATGGTACCGGAAATTTTCGACCAACATTTAGTTGTGGTAAATCACCAACACAAAATAATAATGGAGCTTATTTAGCAACAAATCAACATCAATTATTAACAAGAAAAAAAAGTTTTGGTCCCTATGGTGACACTAATCTTGATGACAAAACAAAATTATGTAAAACATATAGTGACCCAAGTAAAATTCGTTATTATAATCAAATACCGACAGGAAATGTTCAATCAACAACACATTCACAACTTTCTCCTCAACAAACGTCCTATAGAGTGACGTCAACACCCTATTCATCACAGCAATATTTAGCACATTCACAAATGAATAATGAATCATCTATTCAACATAAATTTTCAGACACAAGTTCACCTATTTACTATGGTAGAAAAATAAATATTTTTGCTTTTTTTTTTTCATAATCTTTTTTTCTCTTGGAGGTAATGATAATAATAATTCAACACAAACATCATCATCATCATCATCATCATCATCATCAAACGATAGTCACAGTCAAAATCTTGCGCATGAATATCATCAACAACATAATACGGCTGAATTTGAAACACTCTGCCGTCAAATAACTGAAAGTGCCATAAATGATGATCGTAAGTTAACTGCCGCTATGAAAATTATTTTCGAATAAAATCTTATTTTAGCTAAAGATATACCAATTGATCATAAAATTGATTCTTCAAATATGCAAAATATACAATCGCCTTCAAGCAATTCAGCAGATACTGAATAATGATCAATTGATTATATTACAACAAGGAACAACAAGACTCTTTTTTTCTAATGTATATATTTTCTTCTTGGGGTGTCTGGAACACTCAATCGTATAGCTTTTTCTTTAGCACTATATCACGCTTTTGTTGTTGTTTTTGTCTTTGTTTTGTATTATTGTTGTCCCGTTCCGGTGATATTAAACAAAAAATTCAAAACACAAGCCAAAAACCAAAAGCAACAGCATGAAAAACTAGCCGGTGATATCTTCATAATTTTCATTTTTCATTTTGGCTGCTGTGCTGCTTCATTTTTCATGTATATGCTTAGGTAGAACATATCGAGACAAAAGAAAAGACAAATATATTCATTCACTTTTTATTCTTTGTCGTTTATTATATTCAAACAAGTTAGCAACTGTCGGCAGGCCGTATTTGAATGTTTTTCTTTTATTTGTGAGTCTTCGTAAGAGAAGTAACAGATATTTAATTCAATGTTGAAGGTATCACTCTTTTTCGTTTTTTTTGTTCTTGTGTTGTTGCATCTTTTAAATGTATATTAAAGTTCATCTATTTTTTGTTTTGGCCTTTTATTTAATTGATTAAATATTAAAAGAAGTCGATCTATAAAATACATTGAATTTTAGATTTTTTTATTTGATCATGAATTCGGCTTCAGCAGCCTTATTTAAAGACCATGCAAATTTTCGTAAGCGAGAGGCTGATGCAGCATCTTTTCTAGCATCGAGTGAAAAACGTCAAAAAACTGAGAAATCATCATCTTCGTCACAAAAAACGAATCGGTCAAAACCAACATTTGGCCGTTCGAAAACATCTACAGGTTCGTGTTTTCATTATAATCACGATAGAACTAGTCATAGATATGTTTATTTCATTCATAGATTTTGCAAATGACTATCATCCATCAAGTTCGTCGTCAAAATCCAGATTTTTAATACTTACAAAAATTGTCGAAAAACTACAAGTAAACAATAATACTAAACGTTAACATCCTAAAATCCAGGATGAATATTTTTCTTTATTATGAAATATTTATCAGAAAAAAATTATAAATTTTAACACCATCAGAAAGAGTTGATTTGATTATTCTATAGATTTTGTAACGGATATCTATAAAACAATAGTTGAAATCTGTGACTGATATTTTTATAATGCAAAACATCTGACTCTATTGATATTGATTAAGTTAATGGAAGAAATAAAATATGTTCATATGTTAGAAAAAGTTTTTATCCATAATAAATATTGTCTTTAGGATCGTTTTCTCGGTGGAACTGCTGACGCAATAACATTAGATGAAATTATACAAGAATCTGAACTTGTAATTGAATCATCCGATAAACATTGGCTTGCTTCTGAAGTAAATAGTTTCTATTCAAAATAAAAAAATATTGATAATTTCATTTAGGCACTTTTGTCAAATGAAAAAATTGATGTTAAAAAAGTCGAAGATGTTAACAAATTTGTATATAAGCCACCACTTGATTTAAAAGGTGGTAAAAAACAAGCACTTCTGAATCTTTTAAAAAGTCGTCATGAAAAATGTGAAGGTGCTGTAACTGTTGATGATGTACGAGATACAATTCCAAGACCGACAGCTGATAAAATAATTGAAGTACGCTTAAAATTGAGTTTCGATTGGATTTAATATTATATTTTGTTCTATTTTAGAACTTAATAAAAGATGGTCAAGTTGTGAAAGTAACTAGTAATAAAAAAGAAATTTTATTTTACACTGATCCTGCTTACAAGCTAAAAGTACACCCAGGTTAAACTAGAATATAGTAGGCTTTTTTTGACACTTTCATTTGTCTTCTTCACTATTTAGACTTTACTGAATCATGGAGAAAAATATCTGTCGAAGGTTTAGATGATAAGAAGATTTGGGAATTTCTTGATAAGCAAGGACATTATGGCCTGATGAAAAATACGCCACGTCAATCACATTTAACTAACAAACCAAGACGAGGAGGTCGACGTCCTGACACAATGAAGCACAATCAACATGTTGCTCATAAACTAGAAGTAAATGATTGAAACGCAAAAGATAAAAAAAAGATCTAAATGATTTTTATTTATTTTTAGGATTATTCCGAATCAGCAACCAAAAAATAATCTATCTAATATCATTCTTTATTTTTCTTTTCAACGAATAGGATCAAGATCAAACCCGAAAAAGTTCATATAATCATGTCGCTAACTGCTCTTTTCTTATATTAAGAATAAAAACAAATTTTATTTAAAGTGTAAACATATAAGATGCATTTTACGTATGTTTGAACAAGGTGTTTTTTTTCTATAATCAATCAAATAATCAGTTAAATAGAAAAGAAAAAACTTTACAGTTCATGTGAACGGTTCTACGAACTAATTTAAACTAATATTTGTATTGATATCACGTGACAATAACGGACGCCCTGAACAAAGGAAGAGCGTGGAAATGCGAACTTTTGGAATTGATCTAACATTAGTTTGATAGTTTTAGCAAAATTTTATAATCACAGCTAGATAACTATCAGAAAGATACGGAAGAACTTTTTTTAATCACTGGCACGCACATTCCTCCTACGACTACAGATCCTAGAGCTGTGATTAACCACATAAAGTTCGATGTCTGACACATCAGCAAACTGGTTATGATTACTTTGCTGCTTTATCAGTATTCGTCGTAAAAATCCTTGGCAGATGAGTCAACTGAAATATTAGTTTCTCAGTCAAAAAAAATATATGAGCCGCTGTTTAGTTTTAGATCAATAATTCTGAATTCGTATCTCTCGATAATGAACAAATACAGAAGTATTCAATGGAAAATCTTATGTATGTTTATCTAATTAGAAATCAGTGAAATGTGCATTCACTTTGCTTGATTAAGTTGCGATGTGCCTATTAAATATTTTCAATCATGAGGAAAATCAGAATAAAAATTTTTTTTTATCTCTGTGAACTTCACGATATTTTCTTGAGCGAAACAGACAATTCAGTCTCATTTTGAACTTTATAAATAAGCTCAATATTTTATACTAAAACAAAACCAGCAGTACATTAGAACAGATAGGCTCATTCCTGGCCATCCACTCCGCCTCTTTTTCCTCTATTTTTTAAAATCCTCTTTTTAGCCTCTTTTTTTAATAAAAAATTAGAGTGAGCTAAGAAACTGATAGCATAAATAGATTTTTCAGCAATAAAAGGTTGATGTATGACTGTAAGTATTTATTTCTTCCGTGATTTTTTCACCATGACATAGCGGTAGATCTGTTAACATATAGTACATACAACAACTATAGGAGATGGAACAAAGAGCTAAAATGGAGTTCAGTTCGATCAAGATATTCGAACATTCAATGAAAAGTAATCGATGAAACCAATCGATTTCTACAAAAGAAAAGAGCAGTAATACAAATAAAATGAACATTGATAGATTGTGTGAACTATCCCCAATTTAACTGCAATTTAACGTAGTGCATTTCCCTTCATTGGCGTGACACTAATTGTCTTGTATTAATAAGTCATTGCTGTATGATATAGACTCCTTATTTTTTTCCGTTTGAATTTCTTGCGGTTTCTGGATTGCGATAGTAATCGTGTGCAATCGTCTTACATTATTATTCTACTGTAACATTAAGAGAAGTATAATATTTCCGTATAAACGAATGTCTATCACTTCCACAAATTGAAATCCCTAGATACATCCCTACGTCATATCCATACTTGTGGCGAATACTACAGATATGACCGACTCTGGCGACCAAGTAGGGATTTTTTTGAATATAAGGTATGCCCTGTTCATCACGATTCAACATCATATTCTACCATATTGAAAATCGTTTCTTGCCATCAAAGCCAGATGATGCCACGAAGACCACAGTACGAACACACATATTCTGGTCACCAGAATCCTAGCAAACCATGGCACATACAGAATACTGTGAATGCTAAGATGCTATTCCTTATGGTTTGTATAAGGCATATCTTATATCCAAAAAAAAAATCCTGAAATTGAAAAATCCCTAAATCAAAATTCCTACTTGATCACCAGAACCGGTCATATGTTTGGTATTCTCCACAAGCGTGGATATGTGTAGGGATGTATCTGGGGATTTCAATTTGTGGAAAAGGATAACAAACCCATCAACATCCACAAAAATATCTTGAACTAATCAATGCTAATAAATTCTTGTCTTTCGATGATCAAGTAACAAAATTTGAGATATTTTGGGCGCTCAAGTCTGTTCAAAATGAATCGAGCTGAGGATCATATTGATTCTGGTTGTAGATTTTTGCACTTATTTAGCTTCAACTCTATTGTATTTTGTAGAGATTGAAACTTTTTTGGGAATTATTCTTCTGATAATCTAGTTTTGTGCTATATGCATTCGACATTTAATAAAAATGTACTTCAATGGTCAAAGTTTCTCTCAACTTATACTTATACCAGCTATCAAACAGGCATAAAAAGGGATCAGTTTCCCGATGTTGGAGTTTTAGCTTCACTTATGCTTTTCAGGGATGCAAAAAACATCCTCCTATTTTTCCTCGTTTCTATTAAAAATCCTCTTTATTCCTCTTTTATCAAAAACTCTCGGTGGGAGGCCAGCTCATTCTAAAATAGATATTTTAGTGATGAACAATAGTTTAAATATGTTTCAACAAAAAAAAGATTTTTAATAGTATTGATAAAGACATAGGACAAGAATCAATTTTTTTGATCAGCTCATAAAGGTTCCGAAAAAAAACATGGTATATATATCCTCTTAATATGAACTTAAATGATATCTTAAGACATACTTAAGCATGTTTATTTTCGATAGCTATCTAATATTTATTATAAAATAAAAATCATGCTATTCATTATTCTATCTGAATATTTAATTTATAAAAAAAGAGAATTTGACTTCATAACCGCTTAACTGGTTTTCTCTATATGTTTTTGATTTGCATACAACAACAACAACAACAACAACGACAGCAAAGAAAAAGAAAAAAACAAAGATAGTATGAAATTGCCATTCAACAATTAAAGCTAAATATATAGATCTTTTGTGTTTGAAATACAAAAAATAAAATATAGCAGAAGAAAGAAATATATTTTTATTGTCATGCCAATGATCGATCGAATGATTGAACAGATTCATGAGCTGAAACAGATTGTTTTGATGATGATGGCTTTGATACGACAACAATATCTTTTTCTGATAGTATTTGAACATAAAAAACGCCTTCTTTTTTACGAAATTTTTTCTTGGCGGCATCAAACGATAATCGTACTCCAACAGATATACTTAATAAACACATTAAACATTCAATTAGGGAAATAATCAATGCAACAAATACAAGCAGATCTTTTTGTTCTTTTAGATAAGCTTGTCCGTCTGTCATTATATTAACAAGACCTAAGCGTAGCAATTGAATATTGACACAATCGACTACAAGCGTTACAATACTTATTGCTACATAGCATAATATCTAAAAATTCAAATCAAACGAATTTATTTTCTTTTGTTTTGTTTTGTTTTCAATTTACCACATAGAGACCTTTTTGACGTGCACATATTATCCCTATGGCACCACACAGTGCAAACTAAAAACGACAAAGCAGATAAAAGAAATATTGACAATAAGACAACAAACAAAAATCCTTACAAAAACACCACTCCATAGTGGTGATATACTATGTGCCATCCAAACGAGTTCTCGACTTTGTGAAATAATGCCAAGAATAATACTCATTAATGCGAGTACGATATGGAATGATGATATAGCATAGGTCAGTCCAATGAATATGTACATGAGAAAGAACACATTAGTATCATCTCGATCGGTTCAGAATTTACCGACGCAACAACACAATAATGAATGAGAAAAATAAAACCAAAATAGGGAAAATACGATCGCTATGATGACAAGAACAAGGACACGAGCTCATGTCATATTTCATAAAAGATTAGAAGATGTTCGCTGTTGTTAGCTCTCTTTCTCTCGTTCGTTCTCTTTTGTTGTCGACAACGAGCCGGTTTACTAACATTCCGAACAAAAAAAAATTCAGAGAGAAAAAAATTCGACAATGTTGTAAAGCAATATTTGGTATTGAACGATCCTTCTCTCTTTTGTCGTTTGTGTTTTTTTCTTCTTGTTCTGGATGTCATACGAGCGTGTGTAGATGAGCATGCAAGTCAACTCGAATACGAGCGATAATAGAATCTGTTTATAGTAAGGATCTACCAAAAAAAAATACACGCAACATTAGCCGACAATAAATCACAACCCGTTCATCATGAGAAGAGACAAGAGTAAAATGCAGCGACAGCTTTGTATAATCAAATCGTCGAAGTTTCTTCGACATTGATGACAACCTCAATTGGCAACCACTTCGATTGATCGTCATGCATTTTTTTATCAGAAGAAATAAAAGGTTCTTGTTTCTCTTTTCTTTTCTTTTCGTAGATATTTCTATGAAGCTATATATATATCGGCAACCATAACAGTGTTGTATTTCATTTTGGCAATTTTAGAACAATTAAAAATCACTGACATGATTTAATATATATATATATATATATATATATAGAGAGAGAGAGAGAGAGAGAGAGAGAAAATAGTAATTAATATGTATAGATGTTCACTTTAGCTTTTAATCACATTGACTGCGGTCGTTGCATCCAAAATTGATAGGAATATTAAGTTAAAGAAGCAAGCACAATAAAGCATAGAGTTTACATTAAAAATCGATGAAATGTAAATCTGACGTTCCAAGGCCTTTTATTATGGAAATTTTTATCGATCTTCCCGAAATGATCTACTAGCGTAGAATTGATTTTGTCTAAAATTTACCTAGAAAACTAAATTCTTTTTTTTTGATATTTTTCGCACAGGCAAATGCATCGGAAACAGATTTGTTCTTTTTATGGATGATTTTACTAAACTGGAAACATACAACCATTCGCGTTTACTGTTGTTTTTCTTTTGACGTAGTCTATAATAGACGTCGGAAAAAATAGAGAAGCATTTTACGTAGTTTCTTGTAACGATACAATGAATCCGAAATCTTGATATTTGTTTCAGAGAATTTATTCAATTCCAAAGCTTCATCTTAACAGTACCACTGGCAATGCCAAATCTATTATATCTCTAGTTTTTTTGACTTTCGATTTTCTATGTCATTGTTATCGTAATAGTGTATTCTGCAAAAATAAACCTTGACAAACGACGTTTCTCATTTAGAATAAGAAGTGTTTGTATGTTGATGACAGAAATGTAAACCAAATAAGAAAGAATATTTCATTATATTATTAATTCATCGAGCCAATGCGCACATGCTTTCCCGTCGTTTTGTTTTCTTCTTCTTCTTGTTAAAGTTTATTTTTTATGGCTGACATTCTGTTTGTATTCGTCCATAATGAGTGTATATTTCATTGTAAGAAATACCTAGAAATCGTCTACAATATATATTAATTTTGATGGAAAAACAAATAGAAGGCATGACATATAGAGAAGAAGAAAAAAGAAAACATCTTTCTAACGGAGTCCAATATGTAAATACAAAAACAGTGTCAAGAAAGAAAAATAACTAAGAAACATCATTATCATTGTTGATATTCTAACGATGATGATTTAACTGGTCGAGGTAAAACAAATTTACTATATGACGAAACATATTTTGTGTATCGCTGCGGTGGGTCTTTTCTTAGATCTAATGGTTTAATAAGGCCAGTTTGTTGATCAGGTTGATAAAAATTAGCATAACTATGTAAAATTGCAGGTTCATTCGTACTTGTTCCATTTGTTAAATAGCCAAGGCCGAGTTCTTCGGATTTATTCATTCTTAAACTAAAACGCTCTTCGTAGTCTTCATTGACCGTTGTGGGTACAGGTGGTAGTGTTTGATAATGACGCAGAAAACTATTTAACCCATCACCATCATCATCATCGTCATCTGTTGCAGTCGATGGTTCTCTTGTTAGTGTTGTTGAAACATTAGCTGGTCGGATTGAAGAATGTATCAATGGATTTTTTTCTAATATTGACGGAGGACTAATGTGAACATTAGCTGAAGGCGGAAGTGGTGAAGGAGGAGTAGAAGGTTTGGTAATTGGTTCAGTTGTAGTCAATGATGGAATGGTAACATTGTTTCCTGTCGAAGGTTTGTTTTCTTTCGCAGGTACAATAAGTGGTTTTTCAGCTGATGTTTTTTCTAATAATTTCTTTTCCAATTTTTTTCGTTGTTGCCTATTATTTCTTGCCAAAAACCATGAAACGAATACAATTAATACAAGTAAAAAGCCAACAGAAAAAAGTATACAGCCAGCCAAAAATCGAGATTTAAATAAAAGAATAGCAGCTAGAAATGAAACAAAAATGTCAAATATCATTAAATATAATTCGCATTACCATCTTGTTTCTGTTTAATATCATCATAGGTTGTTTCACATTGTTCACCGAAATACGGTTCTTTACACCTAATTAATAAAGAGAAGAAAAACAATCGACAATCTATTTTTTTTTCTCCAAACCAAACAAATATTTATACTTACAAACATTTTGTTTGACTATTAAATATAATGCATTGTCCGTGATTGTGACAAAATTTTAAACTAGAACATGCAGGATTTATATTTGGTTGATGTTGATGACCAATAGTTAAATCAACAGTAGCCATCGTTCGATTTAGTGGGTTTTCTGCATCTAAGAAAAATTTCGATTTTCCAAACTAGAAAAATGTTTTTTTTGTTGAAATCTTACGACAAATATAAATGCCAATATCATCAAGTGTTAACGATCGGAAATATAGAAACGATTGATATCTGAATAGAACGAGACATCTTCAAACGATGAATTAATCGGGCAATATCCACCTACTTATGTTGTACTGAATATATCCGGCATGATGTTTTACACTGTTTAGATAATGGATAATATTCTAATGTATCGTTTGTTTTACTCCAAAGTAAACGGGGCAATGGATTACCACGTGAATTGCATTGAAGAAAATAATCTTTTGATAGAGTTGCTTTGTCAATAGAAGTTTTTATTACAACTTTGGGTGGATATGTCTCTAAAAAAAAGAAAGAAAAAATATGTCGAAAAATACGATAAATGCCTATCTGTCTGCGATAGCTACCATATTACTGATAATAATCGTACTACTAACATCAGACATAGAACTGTCTGATAAGAGAAAAAGCAGAACGGTAGCAGGAATCAGTGTCTTTTACACTTCTTCTTCTAACCAAAAGCCAAACGATTCTGCAAAGTAACATACTATACGCATCCGCTAAACAATCAACATAGTCAATGTCAAATAAATGCCAGAAATTCGTCAGGGAAGGATGATAAAATAGAAAATAGAGTAGCTCATCTTCGTCATTGATACACGATGCACTTTAACTATGTATGCATTCGATAAGTGCACTGTACACATGTCTATATGTATGACGGAGATATCCACCCTTTCTTTTTTTTATTACCAATGATAATGTACAGATGAATTTTATTTGCCGAAATTTAACATAACACACACATACATGTATAACTCATTGAGCATACAAATCAGGGATTTGAATTAAATCGATAATTGACTATGCAAGGAGTGGTAACATGTATCTATTTTGAAGTTTAGTTCATTTTTGCTATTGTCTTTTTATACTTTATTTTGTCTAGTAAAGGAAATGGTAGAACATTTATGTGACAGGGCACTCTCTATTTCCACATCGTCGATCAATCTCATCAGGAATTTCCGTTCTAGCTTTTCTATGTAAAGAATCGGAAAGAGAAAGAATAAATGTGCGCGCGCTCATCAACACCTGAATACCGTCTAGCATGTTTACTTTTTTTAAAATGAAAAAAGAAAAGAAAACGTAAGAAAAAATAATTAACAACATTTCTAATTAGCTTTTTCTTTCTTATGTAATCGTTTTTTTCAAATGAGAATAAAGGAAAGCCTAAGATGACAACTCTAATATATTTAATAGGCACTTACCATGATTGAGAACTGCGTCAATCTGTTGTCGTACACGAAGTGTTGATTCAACTGGTGGATATTGTAAATTAAATTCACTAGTATTTGTTTCATTGAGAAAAAGTATGATATCGACAGTGGATATTCTCAGTAAATGCCAACACGAATCATCAAGATCTTGATTATTAACATCATTTATATTTATTATGATAATATCATGAATTTTGACTAGTTCATGATGACGAAGATTAATTTTTGCCATTTTGATAACTTCACGTACAACAGCTTGTCTTGTAGTAGACATGTTTTTTCTATTGATGTGTTCTGATGGTAGTATTAGCTGTACACGTAAAATCAACGAATATCTATATGTAGCCGCTTGTAAACTAATAGCACTTGATAAATCACACAGACTAGTAGCAATTGTTAAACGAATAAATATGATGCTAGTGATCAGAATGATTAGTTGAAGACAAATAAATGTGATACTCGACATGCAACAATAAACTGCATTGACAGCACGTATCCAAGAGTAGTGAAGAGAAAAAGAGCAACAGTGCTTATTTAAATAAACCTATTTGAATGAATAAATTTAAAGGTCACATAAGAGTAGTTGATGCCATCTTCATAAACACTACTTTTATATGTTAGCCTTCGCACTCCAGTTTTCTTTTCTCCTCCTCCTCCTCCTCCTTCTCGTATACATTTGGCGATTTCTTGCTTGTGTGGAAAACGATGAAAAAATAAGAAAAAGAAAAAAAGAGGAGAGACAAAGAAATCATCATTAATAAAGCAGAATAATGTATAGAGTTGAATAACTGAGTGACAAGATCATCTACGCTCTTACATGCCTTTTCATTGTCACAATTATTATTATTATCTTCTCCTCTTCAGCTAATAGTTTGTCGCTTCGTCGTCTACAAACTATTGTTTTACTTTCTATACGTTTCGTTATAACAAGTATATTGACGAATGACAAAAATGAAATACAAGTTAACTGCTCTCTTAATGATGAACAAAATAAGAACTAAGAAAGAAAACGAAGAATACGACGTGATCATCATAGTTGACAGCGAATATTGTCACCGATCTTGTTGGAACTTACTAGAAATTTAACATATGAACAGTCCGACGATAAATTCATTCAAGCTTACATTTCATATATGAAGATTAAAAAAGACCGAACAAGGACAAACACTATTTCCCTAATTATATATCTATACTAAACGTCATATTTTTCTTGATAATGCATTTCCCAAACTACACCATTGTCTCAAACGATTATATAGAGAAACTACTAAACAACAATTTTCATACTACAAAATTTTATTTTACTACAGATATAGCGATTATTTTTGATCGATCTGGCTTTTATGAATTAAATTGTCAGTCATTTCTATTATTTATTTGTTCTTGAGATTTCTTTCTGTATATCAGATCATCAGATGATGAAAGATACTTTCTCGTATATACATCATAGCTGGTTATATTCAAGCTTGTATACATTTGTTGATGATTGATGTGATGTAAACACAAGCAGAAGAATGAGAAATTATTTAGAGTAGATTTTTTTAAAGTATTTAATGTGGTCATTTTTATTATTAAAAATAAAATATTTCCAAATGCATTTAAATATTCACAATGTATTGCTAATGAGAAGAGGATTAATCTGTTGATTAGATACGTGACAAAACTTAATATTGGTTAAAAGTCATCCGATGGGGATGTTCCATAGGCAGAATGGTGCACTTGATCTTTAACAAGAAAATTCGAACAAATATAATAATTAATTAATAAAAAAAGAAATACTCACTGTTCATAGGTTTCTGTAGAATAGTGTCAGGATTAAGTCGCATCGGGGGTTTAGACCTTAGGGTTGGCTCAGTAGATGTTCTTGATAATGAACTGCCAAAGTCATTATTGAATTGAGATGATGGCGACGATGATGATGATGATAATGATTTTGACAGGAGACTAGATGATAGCAAGGACGGCATTGTCGAGCGAGAATAGGCCAATGATTGAACAGGCATTTTTAATAATGCTTCTCGTTTAGTCATTGATGAACTAGTAAGATTATCGATGTTAGAAGTTGATTTTGCGCGTGGTGTTAATGGTGATAATGAGTTAGTTGATTGTTGTGAACGATATGATGATTGATTGGTAATTCTCTTTAATAATTCTTCTTCGGTAGTTCGTGAACTTGGTTGACAATCGTTGATATCATTCAATGATGTTAAAGTTCGACTAGACAATGATTTTGCAGTTGTTGTTGGTCGAGAATAATTTGGTGAATCATGTGAAGTTTTAGGTAATGGATTTTGAGCATTGGCTGAAATTGGAATGAGAAGATTGGTCTTCTGTGATGATTTTAAGTGTTCAGTTGATGATCGAGGTTGATTTAAAAGTTTCATCGATGATGATTGCTCGCTGATTATTGGAGCAACACGATCCAGACGAAATTTGGAATGTTGATTCGATGATAATAGAGAATGTTCTGTTGATCGCGGATGATGTGACTGTTCATTTGTTGTTATTCGAGCTAATAATTCTTCTTCACTATTTAATGGATTTGTAAAATCGTTTGAATTACGAAGTGATTTCAAGCGTGGAGTTAATGGTAATTGAGCAGGCTTATCCGCAGCTGAATGAGTTCTTGGTGATTCATCCTGTTTTCGCAATGTTGTATCCAAATGAGCAGGTGAATTTAGATTTTCTTGAAATGATTTTGAATGGCCGAGCGGTGTTTTTGATGCATTTGGCAATTGTGAGGATAATAATCGAAGATTATGTGAACTTGAACTTTTTGGAAAATTTTCAACTGTTTTTAAATTATTGGGCGATGCAAATTTTGATTGTTCCTGATTTTCAAATTTTTGATGTTGAGCATCCGAATGAACATGTGATAGAATACGATGTTTCTTTTTCGAATCTATATTGACATCTGCTGATGTTAATGACGATTGATGAATTGATTGTGGTGTTAAATAAGCTTCAAGTTTGTCATTTGGTTTATCTTTTTTTAACCAAAAATTAGCTTGAAATTCATAGATTTCATCTTGATCTTCATTGGCAGATTTTTGAATACTACTATCGATTAATAAACGATCGGATCGTAGTAATGTGCGTGTTGACGAATCCAAATTAAATGAATTTGTTTCTTCAATAGATTTTATTTTCCATTTATTATCAGCAAAATTATGCGATGATATCCAAAGAATCTCATGATTCGTTTGATTATTTAATTCTTGAGAAAACGAGTCTCTTTTATAAGATTGTTGTTCGTCTATTGTTTGCATTGGTTTCATACGTTGCGAATCAATGGAATGCGCATCATCTTGTGAACCGATACTTTGTTCGTCCCATGAAACTTTTTTTCTGAAATTAACTTTATCATATACTGTCGGACTACGTAGAATGCTTCGGCTATTTTCTAAACGATTATTCGATCCATTCATGTGTGAATATTTTGGTTTTAAACTTTGATGACTGATTGAACCATGATCTTCGTCATTTCTTAAATTTCTACGTACAACTGGATCTTTTTTCGTCGGTTCAGAAGCTTGACGATAGAAATATCTGCATAAATGCTCAATCCGTTGGAGATATACGTTTGATATTATATGGCAGGTAGAATACTTTTTACGAATAATGACTGATTCAAGAAACCAAGCTGCTCCAAGACTGGAATTTTCATGCCAAATTTTAATTCGATCTATTATACCAATATCAATATCCATTATCTATATAAATATAGTACAATTAGATAAAAGATTTTTGTATAGCTATCAGCAATGAAAATAACTCTATCTCGAGTATTGGCAAGACAATCTTCTTTAGCCGGCGATAACTTATCTGTCAATAATCCCGAATCATCAAGTATCATTATTGTAATTAATAATGACGGTTCTCTTTGATATCTTTTCGATTATGCTTATGATAAACATATATTAGAGAAGAATTGGATGTTGATCATCACTTATTATCTAACTGTCAGGAAATATTAACTATAAAGATTGCAATCGTATAATAGGAAAACGAAAAAGTTCATAAAATCAATCGGTCATATTTTATTAAACTTTTAGTGATTGAGCAAATGAATTTTATGACGAGAAACAGCTGTAATCAGTTGCATATCAGTGTATGTTTTCTGAAAAATGTAAAGCTATCCTTTTTCTTGAGATTTGAGGAATGCCAAATATGTAACTCATTGAAATGAAGAAATTATGCTGGTTCTTGAAATAGAATAAATAAGTCATAAATGTAATGAAACTTGAAACACCTAAAGGAATTTTGCAAAAAGATATCTTGACTAGAGCTAATTCGGATAAATCATACTAAAAGCAAATTTTTTTATGTGTCAAATAAACTCAGTGAATATCAAAATTCATAAATAATTTTGAGTGGGCCACACCCACACCCATATAAGCTGTTTCCAGAAAAAACGTCATTCTTTCATCCTAGTCAGCTCAAAAATACTTCAACGGATGACGCATAGATTATTATTATTTTTTATTTCGAAAACTGTTGTCAACAAAATTAGAGTTTACAGCACTAAGACGAGAAATTTTCCAGCAGTGCCCAAGGGCTGAGAAATAGGAATTCCTAATGTGTCGAGGAATTGTCAGTGCCGCTGTGATAATTCCTAGAGGAAATGGGAATCAACTATGGGTTCCCTCCCAGTTCCACCATTCGCAAACTTGCAATATTGCTGTTTTAAAAATAATTTTGCATGAAATCATTGATTCTCACAATTTTTCAAGTGAAAATGAGTGTAAGAACAAAAATGATCGTGAATATTCCGTATTTTTACCTTTAGTATGCAAGCAACTGTAGAGGAGCTGATGAGGAATTCCCAATCCTCAGTCCTTGGAGCTCCCTCAAATTTCTTGAAACTTTCAGGGTTTATAGAGAATTTTTCTTTCGTCATTTTGATAATAAACTTTTCCAAAATAAACTCTTTTTTCGCGAAGATAGAGATCAAACACAAAAAGTGTACTTTTTCAAAAAAATAAAAAAACAAGCTTGCATTTGTTTCGAAATGCCGATGAAAGCACCCTCTTTTACTCGAATTTTAAAACCAACCGCATATTCAGATGCCTCGTGACAGATATGGGCAAGTCAGCGTTTTTTCGACTCAAGTCAAGTCAAGTCAGTTTCTGAAAATTTCAAGTCAAGTTAAGTCAAGTCATAGCTAAGCCAAAGAGAATTCCAAGTCAAGTCAAGTCAAGTCATGAGTAGTTCAAAATATTTTCAAGTCAAGTCAAGTCTGATTTCAAGTCAAGTCAATTTGAGTCATAATTCATTCAAAAAATCATCAGGTGAAGTCATTTTTTGACTTGACTTGCCCATCTAAGATTNTAGAATTTCTGTGAAATTTATAAATTTTCATATTCTGTTGTGATGTTTGTCTGATCATACGTGATACACAGGGGGAAGAGAAATGATGAAAAAAGATTTCGAATTAAATAGAAAATTAAACAAGTCAATATAAGAATGTTATTAATTCGATAGAGGACAATTTGCTCTACAATATTCATTAATCAGTTTTATCCGCACATTTCATTTCATTTCAATTCAAAGGCACTAGTTATTGAAAACATCTATAAATTAATGTTTATAGTCTGGACTTGGATATATACTTATAGCGTGTTTCGTTAAGACTTCCTGGAAAATTGAATTTATTAGCCATAGCTTCGTTTTGAAGTGAAAGCTGTTTTGATTGGATTAGATATCAATAGATAATTCCCAGTGAAAAATAACCATAGAAAAAACCGTAAAGGGACGCATTCATCAGAATAGGGAAAGCTATATTTTTCATGAAGAACGCGTTCTATAAGTTGACGAAAGTGTTCATTATTGAAAAGAACTCGTTCAACATCTGAGTGAATGCATTCGTCAACGTTTCATTCTATTATGGAATGTTTTCTTCCTAGTTCAAAAATCTTTCTTCATCAGAAAAGAAAGCCTTCTAGCCCGTCCCATCCACTATCAGAATGGCTTTCTTTTCATTCTATTTGGGAAAGATCATGATTGAGTTCCATTTTGAGGAGATCGGGTTCTCTCACGTTCTGTAAGGGAATGTCTAAGTATGAACTCTTGGAAGTAATGAACGCTTTCCAACCCAGGTGTATCAACTTGCGTCGTACACGGCCGTTAGGTATGCACCGTATTACGGTCGTTTTGTATCGTGCCATAAACGATCGTATACGGAAATATCCGACCATATTACGGTCGTTACTAACTGTTTACGACACGATTAATTACGGTCGTAATATGGTGGATACCAAAACGTCAAATTACGGCCATTTACGGTGAGAAACGGCAGTATACGTTAACGTTTACCGCCGCATACGACCGCTTCTGGTAGCCGTAATGCTCGACCTGGGAAAACGTTAAACATCATTTTTGGAAAGAAGAGAAAACGTTCTCTATCATTCTACATTTTTTAAATGTACAAACGTGTACATATATATATATTCATTTGGTAAATATAAATAGTAAAAGGACAGGGGCGTATAAGACACCAGTTTTGGGCCATGGCCAGATTCTGTTAGTTTATGGCTCACTGGATGCAAAATTTTACGAGAAATTGTTTGATACCAAAATCAAGTTATTTCGAAAGAATCTACAGGTAGTTCTGTTCAAAATATTGACATCGAGTTTTGTACATAAATGAATAATTCGTACATAGAAGAAACACACATATAGTATGTTCCCTAATGAAGTATTTCGAATCGTAAATTGTGTCAAATAACTGTCCACTCTCTACTCAATCTTTGGTGAGAATTGTAACCCGAATGGTTGGCCCAGGTTGATCAAAACGGACCACCGTAAACCGGTGTAACATTACCGTAAACGATCGTTTTTGCATCGTAATCCGTCGTAAAACGGCCGTTTTAAGCCGAATTAAGGCGTTTTAACAGGGGCAGTATTACGGTCATACACGGACACCGTATATCAGCCGTAAAACCTCGTAAAGTCGACGTAATATTATCGTATTCTATGGAACATACGGCCGTACTACTGCCCCTGTTATACGGGAAAGATACGGCACCTAAAGCGGGCCGTATTTTTATCGTATACGACCGTTTACTGATCGTTTTCTTCGACCGGGAGAAACGTTGCTGAGTAGTAATGAAAAGTGTATCAAGGTTAGTATAAAAGTTATAAAAAAAACTCCAATCGACACACGTATTATTTTAGCAATATCTCAATAAAGGAAAAAAATAAAATGTGGTTTTGATTGTCTTTACAATATTGACCAAAGCGCTACAAAATCAGATACTTTTGGTTTTTTTCAGAAGTGACCTTCATAAAATAAGATGATGTAACTTTATCTCGGATACGGTTTTTTGCATTTTCCCCAGATTTCTCATCTATTTTAATCGGAAAAATTAGAATTTGATAGAAAACAAATAACATATTTGGAATCAACATAAAAAGTTGAGCGGATTGATGTGTATTTCAACATTCTCTAACTAACTTTAATTTTCTCGAAAAATATGCCTGGAGTCCCCCTCGAGTTTCATTGGAAAATTAAATTTAATAAAAACACAATTTCCATCCTTTAGGCATATTTTTTTTTGTGTGGTAATAATGTTTTATACTCTTTGAGATTATATTGCTAGGATGGAAATTGTGTTTGTATTAAATTAAATTTTTCATTGAATCCTGGGGTGGCCCCAGGCTAGTTTTTCAAGAAAAATATATTTCATTGGAGAAGACTGAAATGCACATCAATCCACTCAAATTTTTATGTTGATTCCAAATATGTTATTTGTTTTCTATCAAATTCTAATTTTTCCGATTTAAATAGACGAGAAATCTGGGGAAAATGCAAAAAACCGTATCCGAGACAAAGTTACATCATCTTATTTTATGAAGGCTACTAGCTGTGGATTCTTCCGAAATGACTTAATTTTGGTATCAAAGGATTTCTCGTAAAATTCTGCATCTAGTGAGCCATAAACTAACCGAATATGGCCATGGCCCAAAACTGGTACCTTATACGCCCCTGTCCTTTATGCATAAAAACATATCTGTTTCGATACAAATGCATTTGCATTTATATTGTAGGTACAAGATTGATTTTAATTTCGAAAAATAAATATAGCGGACTAAGAATTTAAGAAGCAAGTACATTTGACAGGGCCTCATACATGGATAATATAATCGGTCATTCATGCCACACTTTTTAGGTACTGATAGCAGATGGCTAGCATATTGTTAGCTTCTGGGTCGAATAGTTGGCTTTAAAAGTGCAAGGATGTGTCTTGTATAGTTGATTTGAAAAAAGGAATTTTATAATATCTGTTGAGAATAATTTCGGAAAAAGTCGTCCTATAAATATTAGTCTAGCCTATCTAATTTTTTATTTGAATATTACAATTTAAATTTTAAATCTATATATATATATAACCATATTTCACATGATACCTATTAATCTGTAAAGCAGATTTCTTCATTCAATATGTAAGCACAATTTTGTTTTTAAATATTTAGATAAAGATTTCCTTATATAATAATTGCTTATTTTAATTTTAAAAGCAATAGACTAAAACTAAAGTTGTTGTTTTTTCTGTTAAATGTGAAAGGAAATGAACGCTTAAAATGAAAATTACATAATTTCATTCTCATATTTTGTTCAACCCCAGTTTTATTTCTACTACACTAATAGCATATATGCTAGACTTGTACGGATAGATAGGTCAGTACGAACTTAGTCCGAAGCAGCGACAAGTAAAAACCAGCTAGCGAAATAAAAAGACCACGCAAGTCAAATAGAATAATAAGATATATAACAAATTCGAAACAGAGGAAAAGAAGAAAAATTCCAGGTTGTTAGGCAATTGCCAAGAAAATTCTTTTTACAGAATTGCTAGAGAAAGATTTCGTTAGATGGTGGAATTCGTTATCCAACATTTCCAAATGAGAACGGTGTAGAACGGATTTCGAAATATTTTTCATTCGGAAGTGAATTGTTTTGTCTATAATGGAGTTCATTTATGTTAGTGAAAAATTTCGGTTCGTCAACAAAAATATGATTCATAATCATCTATTATAGCCTGTCTTTCCCATATATTTCACCTCTTTTCTTTTCTTGCTTTTAATAATCTCTATTAATTATGCCTCAATAACCCCAGGTCAATGATTCCGGAGGACGGATACCGTAAAAACCAGTCGGGAAAATCACAGAATATGGCCGCAAAGCACGGGAAAGCGCTGTGAAGTGGAAGCGCTATTCCAGCTGGAAGTTGATCAGAATCCACAGAAAAAAATCAGATAATTTCCGACCGGAACACTGCTTCCGCTTTCCAGCGCTTGCCGGCCGTTTCCCGCCGTACCTCCACGACCTGGGACATTATGATTTATAAATGTTTTCAACAACGAGTGCCTGTGAATTGAAATGAAATGAAATGTGCGGATAAAACTGATTAATGAATATTGTAGAGCAAATTGTCCTCTATCGAATTAATAACATTCTTATATTGAGTTGTTTAATTTTCTATTTAATTCGAAATCTTTTTTCATCATTTCTCTTCCCCCTGTGTATCACGTATGATCAGACAAACATCACAACAGAATATGAAAATTTATAAATTTCACAGAAATTCTAGCACAGTTTTTTATGCGCAATCAACATATTTAAGTAGCCTTTGAATTTCCATAAACAGTACTATGCAATCACTTTTTGTTTCGAGAAAGAAGTATCGTTTTTCATGCATAATTTCAAAGGAAGGTAATAGCGGTTACTATTATTTGACTCATGTCGCCATGAAAATAAAATTTAACATTGAATAATTTATTAGGAAAATGGTCAGCATAAAAGACTCTACAAGTGCTGACAGTCGCAAATAGTGATTAGGCCAAGTCATCAGATTTTATGAATGAATTCAAATTATCTACTAACTGTATAGTGTTGATGTATATCTTATCTCTGACAAAATAAAATGATTCATGTTATTCAAACTGATATTGTAAAGTTGAAAATGAATGAGAAAAAATTTCTTACAATAAATTCTGATGCTGTAATTTTTTCGGTATCATTATTCAATCGACTATTAAGCTGATGAATAGCTGTGCGACCATTTTTTCCATATATCATAATAAAAACGTCAGAATCAGTTCTAGCATTAGATACATTACCAGTTTTCATAGTCACTTGATAACATATGGGACCTAATTAGATAGATGAACGAAAGAAAAAAAATGAAAGATTTTATTCGAAAATAAAATGTTACCTTTGAAGTGGTAGTCCGTTGATGGACAAATTTCTTTCTTTGCTGTAAATTGATTTACTTTTCTGCTAAGACAAATATTAAATGGAAAATAGATTTGCGATTGTTTATGATCATCATCCGGTATTAATTTATGTATTATCATATCCTTTATATGCCAGTCCGTTGCTGATTGACTTCTATCTAATTCAGCACTAAAAAGCAATAGATATTCTTTGTTTTCTCGTTTCCATCGATTCGAATAGTATTTTGCTTACGTAATTTCTAATAAATCTCCAAGATCGGAACCGACGATTGCAAATGTATCTAATTGATTTCGTTCAAATAAATTAGCTCGATTATTTTTGATTGTCAAAACACCCGATCGATTTGTTGATCCACGGATTTTAATTTGAGCATTGCCATTATTAACGGTATGTGATTTTTCACCTGTACGAATTTGTAGAATATACACTAAAGATATATATATATATAAACCGGCGCATTAAAATCCTATTAGATTTTATTTCGTCGAATATTTACTTGATAATGATGGTTTAGTTTGTAGATGAGTAGAGTTTGGTTTTATTTCATTTTCTTGTTGTTCATCTTGTTCAGGTAACCAGCAATTAAATTCACATATCCACGTAGTGGCACTATTTAAATTAGTTATTTCAATTTCCTTTAAAAACCATTCTTTATCTGAACGACTACCCACAAGCTAAAACAAAAAAAGCGGACGGAAAAATAATAACTCATTTTATTATTTACATTAACATTCAAATGATGTAATTGGCCAATATTAGGACCTTTAAAACAAAATGTTCGAACAGAACCACTTGGAAAACCATCATTCGATGTTGATGAATTCAAATTGCTATGTTTTTGTAAATGAACTGATGTCCAATTACTTTCAGTTCCATACAAATATAAAAATACCTTGAAGAGAAAAGCAAAAAAATAAGAAATATTTTTTTGATAAATTTTTGGTTTGATCACTTTTGCTTGTGTGCCGCTATTTTTTTGTGTACCTGTTCGTACAATAAATCGATAAGATATAAAATCTGATGATAAATTTTGTTTTATTTGATCGGATGATGAGAACGATGGTAATCTAGCTTTTGGATTTTTATATGGAGTAAGAGTACGTTTCTTAATAAAAAAAAGATAGAGATGAATTATTCAAAAATAAATTGAGTTCAATATTTACTTTAGATTCATCACGTGGCTTAGTTCGTTCATGTTTATGTTGATTGATTGAACATAAATAGCAAAATGTATGACCATGATCATCATGAAAGTCTAGATTTTTATACGAATATTTTTCGTGAGGATGTTTGAGAAAATTTTTCAAACCTGTATTTTGAATTGCAGTTAAATCGGAACCAATTGTTTTATCAGTAAAGACAACGCCGGGATTCGTCCATTTTGAATTGGTATCTGAAGTTGTAAGTTGTTCGTCGAACGCTTGAAAACCATATCGATGAGCAATAGTTTTTAATTCGTTACCTAAATCCATAGAAATAATATCGAGACTATTCTATTACACGTCACTTTACTATTATTTTCTGAATTTGTTGAATGTAAATGATCACCAAACGGAAGTGCCCATGGTATATCCCTACCGGCATATTTTAGATCCATTTTGATAGATGTCAGCTAGTATGTTTATTATGTATATATATATTATGGTAGTGTCGTTATGATGCCATTACTTGATAACACACCTTAACGATGACTTCTCTGGCATAGGTTACTAGGAAAAAAAGGAAAAACTTATCTTTCTCGTTCATTCCCTCATTTTTTTTGTGGCGATGGTAAGAACATTGAGGGAATTTCTTTTGAAGGAAAGGAAAATCAAATTAGTGCTTTATTGTTGTTTAAAACGATTTTATTGCTTGCAAAAGCATATAAATAATATTATTTCGACCTTGCTGAAGATTTTTTGCAGACAAAACCTTGATTTAATTAGTTGTAATAATTATGAAAATGAATTCTTTTATTGGAAATAGTTGTATTTATGTAAACCTTCACTTATTGCTTTAGTCTATATAAACAAAGTGTGTTTTTCTGTCAGATAATCGAGGCTAATTGACAAGTCATCATAAATTCATTCGCATTATGTCAGGAAAATCCATTTCTGGGCACGATTGGAAAACTTTTTAGCCTTCTTTGCTTCGATTTTGGTCTCTGTCGTTTCGTGGGCATAATGAAACATGGTGAGCTCACGTCCAGACACTTAAACTATTAGCTGTTATAAACAGGAGCTATAATGAAAATAGCAAGAAATTCAAATCAGATTTATGTCATTTTTCTGTTGAAATAGTTTGAAAAAGGAGTCTTCAATCATCGTATTCATGCATAGAACTTAGCCTACCTATCTATTGACTTTATAAATAATAGCAAGAAACAATAAGTTTGACACTAAGATTGTTCTTCGAACTATCATCCTGCTCATGGTGTCACAAAAATTAACAATTTAAGGGATATATTTTATTATTAATACAGATATTACAGTTTCCGACAAATGAGAAGAATCCGTTGGAAATCCTAGTTTTAAAAATAATTATCTTTCATGATGTCTGCATAAGACAGGAGAATATCGTTCACATGTCATTGACACACATTTTGGTGATAATTAAAAACGTTGTCTTCGTGATGTACGTTGTGTGAGACGTCGCAAGTGTTTCCGACAGCCTTCCAAAACAATGAGCATCAACCATTTCTGTTGCAGTATTTCATGAAGTAAAAATGATTGCAAATCAAGTTTAGATGGCACGGTGGCAGAGCTATTTTCATGATGCTCAAAAGTTTTTCATGAAATTCCAGTTCTTTTCGATAGTGATTCATGCTTTATTACATTTAACAGGTGACTAATAAAGAGAGTTGTTTCTCAAACGTAATTTCGGTGTACAATATCCTGATTGTATCATCGGGTGCAGTGATATCTGTAGAGATAGTATCGTGCTCATTAGATGTTTTGCATGCATCCTAACTGCCAGTTAAATATCAAACTTTGATTAGGTTGTATATTTTGAATAAATAATGTTACAACAACAGAAGCAAAGTTTCTTAGATAAAGAAATAGTTTTTGTCTCACACAGATAACTTGCAGGTGTTCCAACATACAAGTTGTTTAGCATATGTTGACTGTCAAAAACATTCGTTTACAAACACCCTTAAATTCATTCACTGGTTCAAAAACCTTGGCATGATTTAAGAGTGTTTGAGAGAGCGGAAAGAACATTGCTAATTTTCACAAAATGTGTAAGAAATTCGAAAATTTACCCTACTGATTGGTTTTATAATCACACAGGGTTCTCGATTATTGGCATCTTTTACTCTCGCAGGGTCTGGCCGTGATGCGTTGTTTTTGTATGAATGTTGCCGAGGAAACCCTTTACATAAAATCATAACTACGCCTTGTTGTTACTGTTAAGCAATTAATGTTCACGTTTGAAAACTTTCCTGTTGTTCATCCATGGAGGCTGGCAATATCTATCCGTCTGATAACGAACTACTTTTCCTACCTGAATTGATATTTGTAATCAAGTCAAATAGTCGTTTTGAAGGAAACATAATATGAAGAATATCTACTTCTTGTCATTTTACATTTCACGTGCTCCAAAGAAAAAATAATTCTATTCATAATGAAATGCGTATTACAGATATTTTATAAGTCTATTTAAAACAGATTACTTAATAAATAGAAAATTCTAAATTTATCCTTTATCTAAATTGCCTAGTGTTTGTATTGTATTCCCCTGTGTTAAAACCCAAAGTGTGTGTGCCATGAATTTCTTACATTTTGGATCAAAATATCGAAGAAATCTCATTTTCTATGATTAAGCGGATAAATAAAAGCAGATGTTTCTAATATATAAATTAGAAAGAAATTAATTTTTTCTAATTTTGGTTTCTTAAGTTCCACGATTAAATAATACTATTGGTTCTTAAAAACAGTCTAAATATAGTGCATGAGAAAAAAATTTCCACATGTCAATGTCGATACAAAAATATGGTTGCAGTACTCTATGGCAATTTAGTATGTTCAAAAATATTCTTTACGTATTTGAATACACTTCCTCAAAAATGCGATATAATTTCAGTTCATATTTTTTTCTGAAATATCAATTCAAATTTCATTTAGATCGTGTGTACCATTTGATTTTTATTTTGAAAAATCTTTACACATATGAAAACTTGTAAATGAAAAAAAAACAGAAACAGTATATTTGGTTTTTAAGCTGCTCGCTTCCAGAATTTTTTCAATTCTTCTGGCGTAGGATCTGGATGTATATTAGTCACAACACCAGTTCCAACTGTTTTATTATCTGCATCACGTAGCGTAAATCGAGCACCTTTTTCCATAACCTAAATATTTTACGATAGGAAAATAAACAATACTTTCTTTCAACAACAGGTGACAACAAACCATTCGTTTGCTTGAATATAATGTTAATGTTACATCTTCGCCTGGCATAATCATTTCACGGCCTTCAGGAATAATACCTTTAACACCAATATCATATGTTCGGCAATACATTGTCAATACAAATTCTTTTGGAATCGGTTCTTCACGGCCACCTTCTTCTTTCGACAAGAAATAAGCCTAAAGAATCCAATGAAAATAAACAAAAAAAAAAGTTTTTTTTTAATGAATTTTCTTTCACTAACTTGACAATCAAATTTATTGTGCATTTTTAATGATCCAGGTTTACCAACAAATACACCTCGGCGAATATCTTCTTTTCGAACATTTTTCAACAATAGACCTAATTGATCACCTGGCAGAGCTTGCTCAATCGTTTGATGAAACATTTCCAAACCTTGAATGAAATTATTCCTTTTTCTTTATGTATTGAAAAGATATGCGTTTAAAGATTACAGAAAAAAAAACAAATTCCTACAGAGAGAATCGTGTGAATGCAAAGTTTCTTAGAATGAATGTTATTCGCTAAAGATATTTAGCGTTGAGTATGAAGACATCTTATTCGCGATGCAGAAACGTTTTGATTGAATCCCGAACGCTAAGTACTTCCTTTAGTAAAAATACATGATTCTATGTTTTACCTCCGAGAATTCCTTTATTGATTTTATTATGTCCAACAACTTCAATTTGATCGCCTTTTTTCGCACTACCACGTTCAACACGTCCAGTAACAATGGTACCTTTGTCTAAAAATGAAAAAAAAGATTTGTTTGTATGATTCTTTTTCCTTCTTCTTTTCATTCATACTTGGTATTGAATAAACATGTTCAACCGGTAATAGAAATGGTTGATCAACTGCTCGTGGTGGTACAGGGATATAGGTATCAACAGCTTCGAGTAATTTTAATACAGTTTCTTTGCCTAATTTAGGATCTCGATCCTGAAAAGGAAATTTCTTAAATAGAAAAAAGCAATTTAATGTCTTTATATACTTCAAGTGCGCATAGTGCTGAACCAGATATAATCGGAGTTTTTTCACCATCGAACCCGATTTGTGTTAACAATTCTCGTAATTCAAGTTCAACCTGAACAAATAGATTTTATTATAAAAATATACTCAATAAACAATTCGAAAACTCACTAATTCAATCATTTCATTATCAGCTGCATCTGCTTTATTCATAAAAACAACGATTTTCTCTATACCAATCTATACATAACAATGATAATAATAGATGACTAAAAATCGACTATTTCTATTAACTTGTTTAGCAAGAAGAAGATGTTCACGTGTTTGCGGCATGACACCATCGGTTGCAGCGACTACGAGTATTGCACCGTCCATCTGAGATGAGCCTGTAATCATATTCTTAAAATAAAACCAAGATCAATTGAATGTTTGCTTTTCATTAAAACATACTTTAATATAATCTGCATGACCAGGGCAGTCAACATGGCCGTAATGTCGATTATTTGTTGAATATTCAATATGTGCAGCATTGATTGTAATACCACGTTTTTTCTCTTCAGGTGCATTATCGATGTCTTCATATTTTTTTATTTTGGCTAATTTTTTTTCACTGAGAACTATTTGTATTTAAAAACAGAAGTCAACTTAAAATTCATAATAGCTTTTCTTTGATCTTACTTCGAGTAATAGCAGCTGTGAGAGTTGTTTTGCCATGATCTACGTGGCCAATTGTACCGATGTTGATATGTGGTTTATCACGTTTGAAAGTTTTTTTTTCGACAACAACTTGAGCAAGACATCGTCGAAAATATGCATTTATTAACGACATATCAGTGATGGGTTGCTAAAAATGATTTATTGTTATTTATTAACATAGAAAGCGAGAGTTTTTTTCTACTATGCTTTTCTAGATCAATACTATTTTTAGTATTATAAATATTTAGATCATTCTCATTTTTTCCCGCATACAAATAAGCAGTGAATTTATTTCAAAATTTGATTTTTCTGTATACCTGCACAAGATGACGATAAGTCGGCGTCAATTGTCGTACACAAAACATCGCTCTTGCGTTTAACATGTTTGTTATCTGATTAGAGAAATCTAGAAGTGGTTAAAGGTAATTATAAATCGTTATTACGAGATTTTATATATGTTAATTGATGACAACATACTTCATAAAATTCAAAAGAACTGTTTTTGATGAATTATTGAAGCTCATTCTATTGATATAGGTTCCAAATTTTCTGGAATAGTGAGATCTTAACTCGAAGTTAAGGTTATATCTTGAAACTTTTAGATACAATCGAAATCTTGCATTATAGAAGTTATTAAACATGAAATACTAGCGTATATACAACTTCAGTCAGCTAAACACCTCAGATCTTAGATATCACATGAGGTTTTCCGTCATATTCTATGGATAAATCATGAGAATTCAACTGTTCATGTTGGAAAAAATCATTAAAATCGATGAAGAATGGATTTTTCATGTTATATCACATATAGCGAAGGGAGAAGATCAATTTAAACATGAAAATATCGCATTTAAAGTGTGTTCAAGTCTGAAAAGTTCATTTTTTCTATCGAAACTTTATTTATTGTTTACTCTCATTTCTATTTGTTATTTTCTATTAACCAACCATTTTGTTCAACCATCATGAGCGACATCATGCTAAGTGAACTTTTAAACAAAAGCTGTGTAGTATGGTAAAATCGAATTTAAGGCAAATATCTTAGGTCAAAGTAATTTACATAGAAATACTGCAATAGTGTCAAGCAAGACAAGCCACTCTTGACCAGAGTTTTCTTACAGTAATCTGTCGAAAATCTCACATGCAGCAATGTAAAATGTAAAGGAGATTGAACTTTTCAATAGTCCAAGGAAAAAAAACTTGAATGTTACATGAGAGTTTCTACTGCATGAAAACTCATATTGCATGTATCACGTATTTACTTTAACTAAGCGCAGCCAAATAATTTTTGCAGAACAGATTTGGAGAATCTCATGCTAGCAATAGCGTTGGTCACCATCATTTTGTTGCTATAGTTCTGTTGAGCATTGAATAAAGAGAAATTTTAAAATAACTATTTATTGCTGTATGGAATTATGTAGTAAATCCTATTGCCACGGTTTTGGTCAATGCTTACGCTACCCTTGATGATACAATGTGTCGAAAGGAAACTTAGATCATACTGATATGCGTTTTGGTCACTGAATAAATTTATCTAAATCAGCAGGTATTATTTAGCGTAACAATTTTAGCTCTTCTCTAGATGAACAATGCTCCACGATTGTACCAAGACAATCTTCTAAGTCTTACAAGTATAAAGTACCAACCATGATTTTATATTCCCTACGTTCAGTTTACTAAGCAAATGCAATAATGAGAATATACTAGAGAAAAATCTTTATTGTATAGACTAGGGAGATTCATGAAGAGCAGATCAACACGTGGCAGGAGAAAAACCAAAATATTGTTGCCAATCGTTATCAATAAATAAATTAAATCCAAAGAAAATATGTTTATATATTCTTTAAATTTTTCTCTTACACCATTTTCATACACCCATGTGTCCATAAAAATGTCTAGGCCATCTTGAAAACATATCCTGAAGCTAAACTATTTACAAGGCAAAACGAAAATCGTGCTGATTATTCTTTTTTTTTGTATTGAAGGATTTGCTTAGAAAACAAAGCAAGAGTATGATTGAAAAATTATTATTATTGTTACACACAATGTGCCTTGACTGTATGTGTATTCAAAATGTCTTGAGCGCCACTTTCAGAAGAATTCTACATGAATTCACTCTTTCGTCTATCTTATCTTGCTTTTGTACAGAAAGAATGCAAAAGCAGATGGTTACATCAATTTGAACAACTCTTGATAGCAGTCATTCGATAGTACAAAGAGCTTTCTAGTTTTAATCTTCCGTAAAACTTTGTGATTTTCATCTAGCCACAATCTGGAGTTGTTTCTTTCTCGATAGACTGAAGGATGAAAGTTAATAGATACGTGACATGCTTGTTGAATAGTAAATTCAAAAAAAAATTGAAGGATAATACAATTTACAATTGGGCATGATAACCAAAGAAAATTTCATGTTTCATACTCGATGACGTTCACCGATTGAGATTGTTTATTAATGAAATAGCAGTATTTATCCTTCATTGTAGTCTCAAAGATGAAAGTGAAGTAGAAAAGTATTTGATTATAATTATAATTTCTCAAGATGATGGTTGACTAGCCGTATGAACTAATTTTTTTTATTGTCAAGTACACAACTTACAAGAAAAAAAAAGGATCAGCAACGAAAGAATGATGAAATCAGAAGAGAAGAAAAGTAAGGAATCGTGGACGAGAAAAAGAACAAGAAAAAAAATGCACGTCTGTCAGCTTCCTTGGAAAATTATACACTTTTGCTTTATTATAAAAAAAACTTTTACTTTTCACCATTATTCTTTCCTGCGCCGCTTTGTTTCTCTTATATCGTGTATCTATATCGCCGTTTTTTTCTCTTCTCTTTTTGAATCGGCAATGATGAGGCAATCGAATTCGATGAGCGCAACTATCAGCAACGCTTGACTAGTTTGTTATATCTTCTCGTTTTTACTTCACACATCAGTCGTAATTATAACTAGACGATTAATAACTGAACATAAAATATGAAATAAAAATGGCCAAGATGATGGATATCGAAGATAACATTAAGGACGAATTTATTCACACCAAAACTATTTTTCGTCGTCATTCAAAAGGTCCTGTTATGTTTAATGGATGTTCACCTTCAGGTGATGTTATTATAATTGATAATATTAGTCCAAAGAAATCATACGATCTAACCGGATGGTACATTGAACGACAAACAAATTCTCAAAAATTTCTTCGATATACATTTACAGATAAATTTATTATTCCACCGTTGGCAACAATAGAATTATGGTCGAGTATTGCAACGTCTATGTCACCATCAAATGAAATGGAATCCAATCAATCATCAGAAGAACATGAACAACAGCAGACATTTGTTACAATCAAGACAAAATTATTAACATGGAATACGGCTCGACAATGGAGCATTAATAAACTTTTTGATTGTCATGGACATGAAAAAGCCATTTTTTCTCACCGAACATTGACACCGCTAGAATATGAGAAAGAAGAATAAATAATAAATAAAAAAAAAAGCGCAGTACTATTGATTTAAAATTGAAATGATAAAAGAACAGAAAGCACTGCTCTATTATTGACAAATACTCTATTAATATTGATCGTTGGTATTTCAATTATTAAAAATGAAGCGATAAAGCTTTCTTTCTCTTGAAACAGAAACTAAAAACCGATTAAAACCATCTTATCATTGTTGTTTTCGCTGATTGATTTATGATATTGAAGGCACGTGCTCGTATTTGAGATCTTTTCCGAGTCAATATTAACAAGCAGCATTATTTTTATCATATGCAGCTGTTTTGAAAGCATCGAACTATTTCATTTTTCGCACGCTAATTTACCAAAATAGTGAGTGGGAATCACGTAGGTGTACACAGATGTCGATTTTCTCAACTTGATGAAAGCGTCCTTATAAATTAGCAAAAACGATGGTATTTTTATTCGATAAATCTGCTTTGATAAACTCTGCTTCAACGCTTCAAATCATCAAAAATTTACCTTCGTTAAAATGAAGTGCATCGTATTAGTCGCTCTCCTTTGCTGCTTTGGCTTAAGCTATGGTCAAGGCATTTCAACACAATTTCTTGAAGAAAACTTGCTCAACCCTATGCTCAACTCAATGCTTAACAGTTCGTAGTAAAAACTAGTTTACTATATTTTCTCATAGTTTTCTTTCAAATAGATGCAGTATCATTACTTAACAGTCAAATAACCAGTCTTTTTTCAGGTCTTTTTGGCGGTATTGGTAAACGAGACCTCAGCAGCCTCGCAAACTTTAATTTAGGCCAAGTAAGAAAAAAAGACAATAATCAATTAGAAAGACGAAAGACTTTATTTGCTTTTTTTAAATAAGATTTTGACTCCATTTGTTGGCAAAATCAAAGAAATCTATCAACAATTATTTCAAGTTTTTCTTCAAATTGTTAACCATGCTGAAAGTGTAAGTTTTCCCGATGGAATTGTTTGGCTTCTTGAATAATGTTTCATATAATTTGTTTTTCTAGTGGATCCAAAAAGCAGACTTTGCCCGTATTGAATTCGTTCGCGCTGGTGATGCAGCTGAAGAAGCAGTTTCACGTTTAAATCTTGGTGTTGAAGTAAGGAATTGCTGAAAATCAAATCAATCATTGAAACTTATTCCGAATGTATATTTTTAGTTTTTACAACCACTTGTTAACCTTGTTCAAACACACATCCATGCTCTTATCTCTGACTTTCAAGGAATCATCCAACAAACCATTGCTGCTGTTGCAAAACCAATTAATTAAATCATTGGTAGAAAAACACTATTTTACAACCGAAAAATAAATATATGAATAAATAAATCATTCCTCTTCCAGTTTTCTGCTCTTATTGATAAATTCCATTGAATAACTATTGGCACACTTTGATGAAGAACTAATTTCATGCTTTTATCCTAATTGCTTGACCAACGCACAGCATAAATCATGAACTATTTTCAGTGTAAATTTAAACATATTTTTCATCGATTCAAATCATTGATCTATGTAGATCAATCGAATGTTCTTCGTTCTATTTCCCGAGAGCGAACATCAATTATTCAGTATCCGTTAACAAAAAGTCGATTGATATTAGTGATTAAATTTTTTCACTCTAAATAAATCGAATAGGAGCAAGATGCTCTCATTTAGTAGGCATTTTTCTAGAGACCAGGTGAATGTCTGAGTTTTTTTTGTATTTCATAAAATCTGAAAATCAAAATGGCGTAAAAAAACGAATATTTCATTTTAATTGAATGTGAAAACTTCTTGGTATTTAGAAACGGAGGAATCGGTTTACAATCAGAAAGCTAGTTTAACTATATATATTATTTCGATATAGATCAGTGGAAAAAAATGAGTATCATCCGATTCTGTAACACTATAGGCACTTGTTGTTTAAAAAAAGAATAATCGTTGTTGAATGCTGAATGAATAGAGAGAATAGAAGATGGAAATTTCAAACGATATACATTTTTTTTCTGTTTACTATGAAAACAAAATTTGTAATCCTTAGTAAAGGCTTATTTCAGTGAGACTTTCTATGTACCTTTCGATTAATGCTGAGTAGAGAATTTCATGTCATTAAATAACCCATATGATAGAATGTTTGTGACCCTATTGAAGTCACAAAACAAAAGTGTTTTCTCAATTTATCAGACCACGTGTGTCTGCATGCTTATAGAGTTCTGAAATTTACATCAAATATCATATTATTATTATAATGACTCGCACCCTCTGAAATAGATGTAGGCAAGATAGTTTCGTCCCTGAATGCGTGAATATATTAACATGAACTCACTTTTGCCTAGGCTAAAACGTAAGAAAAAAAGTAACGTCCGGTTCCGTTCGTGTCTAATAGAAACGCTGACAGCTGTTAAAATAATCTTAAGAAAAATTCAAGTTATGATAGTTGCAAAAAGCACTATAGGCCGTGTTAGATAGTTACGTTTACCTAACTCTTTCTTTCTTCAAACCGACTTCAACTAGAATCACTTCAACTACAACTTCTTCCAATCCGAATTCACTTAGGTCTCATGACCAATAGATAGATATGAGAACAAAGAGAGGTAGTGGTCGCAGATAGCGCCACTACCTAACAGGCCGTTTGTCCATATTTATAGACGTGCATTAATTGCCCGACAAATTGTAAATAACACGCTCATTTCTTTCCCTTCAATTAGTGTACCGTATCATTTATATTTTGTTATCACGTTCACGTGTTTTCTTATATCGAATTCATACCTACGATGTGTATGAGATAGTATTTAGAATTATATTTTCTTGGTATAAATTTGCTAATAAATAAACTAAAAAAAAAAAACTGTCGTTGACATTACTGGTGTGGAATGTAAAGGCCTCTAAGCGAATGACAATAAGGTTATAGGTGTATGTTGCCATCACTTCCACAAATTCTAACTTGCACTTCATACCTGAGCCCATCCCGCAATGTAATCTGTACAATTTTTGATTTTCATGTACGTATTCACAAACAAATGAAAAAAGTTGTTTACTTTATACGACAAATATTTATTTTTAGTTAATCGTTCACTTACAATTAAACATAAACAACAATTAAAATAATTACAATATACGACACTGATTTTGTCTTCTCGATCGATTGATTATAACTAGACATTATTTATTTATCTGAGTGTGTTAAGAATAAATGTATTGTTCTGCGACATGTCTGTTGGTTCAATTTGATTCCTTCGAATCAATCCGTACATTAGTCGTTTAAAATTTTTTCTCATCTCTTTTGACCTGTACAAATATGTGTAAAATGTACAGACAAAATTGAGATGATAAAATAAACGAATAATTGTTTGAAACAAGTGTTCAATTGCTAATCGATCAACACTTTTATATGTTTTACTTGTTGCCTGTGTATAGATACTATATAAACCAAATGGTATTCCAGAAATGCTAAGAATAATTAATTGAGGAATAAGCATACGACGAACTTGTATCTTTAAATTATTATTATGATTGTGACCTCTATCCGATTGAAGATTTCGAATAATACCACGCGTACATACAACGATTACAGCAAGTGGAGCAATTGTGTAGGCTACAGGTGTTACGAAATAGTCATTCATTCTTGAAAGTGGACTCTCTATAAAAGCACAAAGACCGCTAGCATTGCTAACCATAAAGATAATTGGAAAATATACGATGCTCCAGAAGATTATTGTACCGACAATGGCAAATCGAGTCATCCGTATTGAACTCCAACGACGTCGAACAGTAGCGTCACGCGATGTACTAATATACTGATCGAATGCAGCCCAACATGGAAATGAAATAGTTGCAACTGTTGTCGAATAAAATAGATAATGATGTTCTCGACAGACAATAATATTCGTATTGTATATGCCTAAACCGAAACCATCGACAAGTATACCTTGTAAATAGACAGATGGGAGATGTAGTGCTGTCATGACTGCTCCCGCTAATAGATATTGAATTGTTGGATTTCGTAGAAAATAACTTTGTCTCGTAAAGATGATTATAGTTAATATCCCTCCAATGGTACCAAAGATTACCATCGGCAAAGCAATAAGATAATTGAGCCAACGCGACATTGCATCAGCTGTTGCTGCTGTAAACGGCATTTTTCTTTAACGATACTACAATGTTTGAATCTATGGTAATTTTCATGTATTTTAATATTTTTTTCAATTAAGGGATATTTATAGTCTAGTCATAGAAAAATGGCAGAAGCAGCTGCGTCTTAATCAGTGTTTTATTTAGGTTTCATTTTAGATGGGCAGCGCTCACCCACTAGATTAATTACTGATAATAATGAAACCTGTATTTCATGCATCATCCAAGAAAAAAAGAAATTTCTAAAATCATAGTTGCGAACGGATATTTTCTAACGCCTAGCTATACTAGGCGATGCGATTACTAGAGATTTACCATAAGGTGCGGAATATATTCCTATATGCATCAAAACGAACTTTTGTAAAGCGAATGCTAGACGTCGCAAGAATTGAAGCGCTGTATATTATTATTATAAAATTAGAAGAACAGCTGCATCTTTGTATCTCAGTGATTAGTAATATATAGACCGCTTTTAAAGTTGATCTATAGAAAAATTTAATTGGTATTACCAGTCTGTACAGTACAAATCAATCGATAAAGTGTAATACACAGTGAAGTTATATGGTATAAACAATTTTGGAGAGAAAATTGTGCAGGTGCTCTATAATTGCTTCATAACTATCAAGAAAAAGTATTTACTACATGGAAACATACGTATATTTATTTTGATGACAAGATTATTCTCTCAGACTATGCAATTATCTCTATCCTTTCTCTCCTAAAAATTGTAATCTATTTAATCTCATTTGTACTATCTTTTTTCAATTTAAATATTAATTTCTTTTTTCTCAGATACTTAGTTGCAGCTTCAGGATATAATAGTCGCAATATATGCACTCATGACCAAAAAATAATGAAAACCCTTTATTTTGCAGATTTTATTGCTTTTCCTCTTTAGATAATAACGGAAATTTCATAAGGAAAGTAACCTGGCCTCTAATTGCACTTTTTTAAAAATATAGGAATCCTTAGAGGATCAAAGTTGTCAAAAATATAGGATTTTCGACAAAAAAATGACAAAAAGAGAGGACGCTTGATACACTGCTTCTATTCAATTTTTTTTGTGTTTTTTAATTGCTCTGCTCGAAAATCATTTTAATGAAGCTGTTATAAACAGTTCAACCGTAGCCAAGATCCTTATGTAATTTTTCTACTGAAATAAGCCGCTAATTCGAGGACCATTAGAAAAGCTTTCTCAAATCGATAAATAACAGCAAAGTAGATCATAAACTTTGAAAAAAAATACATGAAAAAGACAAATACTATTCTCATAAATTAAAGGAGGCGTTTCAGATTACGGACATGATTTCCCAAAAAATCTCAAACTAATTTTATTGTCCTGATAATCAGCATTCATTACTTATTATTTTCTACAAGTTTATTTTGTATTTTATCATAACTCAATTTTTTCTGGTAATAAATAAGTGTAAATGAAAATGCATATACACAGGAGAACTTATTTTTTTCCAGGGATGTATATATACATGTATATATACACAGCTTTTATATCTAACTAAAACTTCACTAAAANGTGAATTTTTTTTTCCTTTTGAACTATCTTGTATTTTGTACTTAGTATTAAACAAGTTCTCAGTCAGCCCACTAAATAGGCGAAAGGAAAAATACTATTTAGAACAAATGTCACTATAATACAAGAATTTGTTCAAAACACATGATTATACACATTAAAAGTTTTTTTTTTGTCTAAAAACAATAGCAAAATAAAGAGGTTTTCGGAAATTTTCTACTTTTTTTGATAAAATATAGGAAAACTAGGAATTTTTAGGAAAATATAGGACAAAAATAGGTCGTTTTTGAAAATATAGGGATTATAGGAAATATAGGTCGAATCGCAGCCCATAAAGTAACTGACAGCTGAGGGTGTGGGGCGTGGGTGGGTGGGTGTGAACCCGTTGTCCGCCTTCCCCTGCACGCGCACTTGCTGATTGGTTATCATTTACCACAAATCGCCATCCCCACATACATCCCTACATCATATCCCTATTTGTGGATGATAAAAATAATATTATCCCTACTGGTGGCCAAATAGGGATTTTGCTTTACGGATTTTTCAATTTAGGGATTTTTTTTTGAAATATAAGATATGTCGTATACATCATGATGGAACATCATGTTCTATCTTGCTGAAAATCGTTTTTTCCATCAAAGGCAGGTGGTGCCCCAACTACAGCAGTACGTGCATACACATTCTGGTGACCAGATAGACAGATATCAAATAGAGAGATACCAGTAGACGGACATGATTGATTAGCTTTTTAGGATTCTGGTGACCAGATACAGAGATATAAAACAGAGACATACTAGTAGAGAGATAAGGTTGAGTCGCTTTTTAGGATTCTGGTGACCAGAATGTGTTTGCACGTACTACAGTTTTTGGGGCACCACCTGCCTTTGATGGAAAAAAAACGTTTTTCAGCAAGGTAGAACATGATGTTTCATCATGACGTATACGATATATCTGATATTTCAAAAAAAAAATCCCTAAATTGAAAAATCCCTAAATCAAAATCCCTATTTAGTCACCAGTAGGGATAATATTACTTTTATCATCCACAAATAGGGATATGATGTAGGGATGTATGTGGGGATGACAATTTGTGGTAAATGATAGGCATTCACACTTGCTATGTTGTGTTTGTGTGTAGACCGGGGTATGTTCGCCTTTCATCACACCTACATCGATACCCTACCATCAAACCCTATAAAAAGGAAATCTAAATCTATTCCTAACTTATAAATGGGAGTGAAGGTCAATTTATAAATTTTATAATTTATAAAAAGGAACTCTAAAGTCTATTCCTAAATCTATTCCTAAATTATAAATGGGCTGTGAATTTGACGATCTTTTCCTTTGCTCTGGGATAATTTTTAAATGGTCGCGATTTTTTTTCCGTTTACTTTCGAGTTGTGAATAGTCATTAGATGTCTATTTATATTTCAAGTCGAACTAGGCATCTCATGTATCGGATATGGTATGGATTTCATTAAGCCGACGAAATCCTATCGGTATCTGGGTGTGCGACCTACAATCGGAACCCTAGTGTTGGAATTCGATAGGTTCCAGTGTCGGAATTTAACGGAATCCGCCATAACCATTCGACCCATGTGTTCTGTTGGGACCAGATGCTTATTCATTGGTTATTAAGAAAATGATTTTTTTCCGTCGGATCCATTAGTAGGTGTGTGACTAGGAATCTGACCGGATTTTGTCGGCTTGTCGGATCTCATGAAATCCGATAGGATTCACTGTTGAATTCACTCACCTGGGAAACCATGTAATATGGCACACTTCGTATACATTTGTTTATTTATAAGCGACTTAAATCTCATACAATCCCATGTCGTCTCTTTTTTATCAACTGTGCCGCAGATACGCGTGACTATGGCGCATTGATCGTAGTGAAGATTTCTATAAGAAACGACGCTTATTGTGATGCAGATCAACGTAACTGCGTCCTAGTGATCGCATCCTACGATCCCTTGTAGGTATAAATGGCCAATTATAAATTATTCCTCCTTGTAATTGGCTACACTCTAACAATAAAACATAGTCACAGAAAATCAGTATAAATAGTAGTGCTCGGCACATTTTATTTCACAGGTCATTCTACTATAAGCAGTAGAATACATACTTTTTATTTTTTTTTAAATTTTTCTAGATTAAAATCTTTTTAGTTTTTCAATTTTTTGTAATTAAATTTTTTTTCTTCTATTTATTAAATTTTAAAAAATTGTTTTAGATGCTAGTATTTTTATTTTTTGGATATTTATCTTTATTATCCTTAATTTTTAAGTTTTAATTTTTTTTTAACTTTTAACTTAGTAAATTTTGAAATTTTTTTAGGTTTTAATTTTTCAATTATTTTTATTGTGAAAATTTTTAATTTAAAAATTGTTTTTTATATTTTTTATAAAAATTTTTATTTTATCGTTTTAAGTTTTTCATTTTGTGCAAAAATATTTTAAATTCAGAATAAAAGTACAAATAAAATGAAAACCTGGTCTATATCATCTTTTGCACCAATTGCGACGACACTGTGACCCATAATTGCGAAATACTTGGACGCAGTTATGAGTAACTTGGATTTTCTCACCGTAACTACCCGTAGTTGCAATTTTTTCATCGTAGTTACGCGTAGTTACGTCGAAATTTTCTGCAACTACAGGTCACAGTGCGATCGCAGTTATGCCGTAACTGCGCCACAGTTTCATCGTAATGAAACATATGGGATGGCTAATAGTAGATCTGCATAGTCTTTGAAAGTTTCACTCAATCTTAGAAACAGCAGTTTATTTTTGAATAATCTCCTAACTCGAATTTGAATATAAGTGAAATGCAGAAAATTATATGGCGCTCTCAAGAAAAAACATGCATCTAAATTCTAAATTTATCCCCTAAATACTGCCTNGTAAGCTTATTTTTTCTAAAATACTCATGACAGTTTAAATAATACTTTAATGTAGCCAGTGTAGAAAGTCAGGAAATAAAGATTTTACCTCAATTCTAGCTTATATTTCGTCAAAGACTATCAAAATATTAGTAAAACTGCGAAACAGTCTATGAATAGATGTGGGTGATTCTACTGTAAACTATGAGGTAAAAGTGGACCATATTCGGATACACTAGTTCGATCTTGATAAGTTTTAGAATGGTGTTTTATTTGATGTTCACTTGAAGTGATCTCATAAACATAAGAACGAAAATGTTCATCTTATAGTTGACATGTATCTTATTCTTGTTTTGATGATTTCACACATACCCATGTTGAAGAAAACAGTGCGTAAAATACCGTAAAAACAGTAACTTATAAAACGGCGCCGTTTTCTGTCAGCTCAGACAACGAATAATAATAGTGTTAAAAACGGTAGCCGTTTTCTAGCAAAAAAGACGGTTCGTAAAACGAGCTTACGGGTTGCGGTAATATAAGATGAAAATGAATGCCTGCTTATACCGTTTTATAGCCATTTCAGACCTTTTAAGATGTTCGTTCAGACGATCGGAAGGATTGCCCTAGGATAAGATAAAATAGTATTATTTTGTTTTTTCTCTTCCTTTTGTTTTGATGTTTTTATCAATTATTTTAAGATGTTTCGGAGATATCTTTCTCGTACTTCAGTTTTATTTTATTTTGTATTATGTTTTCGTTTTTGTTTTTACTATTTACAATTTGTATCTCACTATTCTTTTTCTTTTAATAGTGGGGCGGAATGGCAAGACGGTAATATTGGCCGATAAAACTTATATGTTTTGACGTTCCATTCTACTATTTAAAAGAAAAAGAATAGTGAGATACAAATTGTAAATAGTAAAAACAAAAGCATAACACGAAATAACATAAAACTGAAGCAGGAGAAAAATATCCAAGAAACGTCTTAAAATAATTAATTATTCTAATCGGAAAATAATTATAAGATAAAATAATTATGAATTATCTCTCAACTAGTAGTCAAAGAGAAAATAGCAGAGAGATCAATTTGATCATTCTTTGCGTTATTGATTGTGAAACCCAGTGAAAAATATTTCGAAAAAAAAACGGAATAGAATGGTTTCATGTGGAGATGGAAACCTCTCTCCTACGTAGATAATGCGTTCCTTGTTTGAGCGAATGCGTCCAGAGCCAGAAAGAAATATTCTCGATCTGAAGGAACTCGTTCTTTACCGTTCCACACTAGTATGGAATACTTTCTTCTATACTGAAAAATCGTTCCCTATTTGATGAGAAAGCATTCTGAATCATTCTTAAACCAGTAGAATTCATTCTAGTTCATTTTCTTTCGGAACGGTTAACATAGCATTTCATCGAAATAAAATAGCTTCCTTTTACGTTCTCTCACGAGCCTTTAAGACAATGGATTCTCTGAAGAGATGAATGCTTTCTTTTCGAAGCAAACCACATTTTCATTCTAAAATGAAAGGTCTGAAGCAAAGCAGGTTGAAATTGATGTGAGAAATGATGGAATCTTCATTCAACTTTACTTTAGTGATATTTGGTCTCATTTAGAAAAATTATTATTTTAATAACGGTTTCAGTTACAACGAATTGGAGTACGCCATTCGATAGAGCTCGTCAAGTTGCATCAGGAACAGTCTTTTGACTAATTGTAGATTCATCTATTAATGATCACCCAGGTGATCAGAAAGGTTAACCATTTTAAAGAAGGAAAGCGTTCCACAAGTGGCAGAATGCGTTCTTCACTGTTCCATTTCGAAACGACCATGAACATCTTCTTAGAAAGATAGAATGCGTTCTAGTTCGTTCCATTTGAGAACGGTTTCCATTTATTGTGGAACGTTTTATTTTCTTAAAAAAAGAGCTTCAGTTCTTTTGGAACGCATTCTTTACCGTTCTTTTTTAGTAATATTTTTCACTGGGAAGCAACTGGTAAAGTCCAGTGTAGCTTTTATGTATCTTTTCGTATTCAAATTGACAATCAATATAAAGCTTCCATACGAAAATTATATTAATCAAGTATCCGCAATGATAAATAGGACTCTCTTTGGGTTTGATATGTCAATGACAAACTGGATAGAAGTGGAGTAGTTTACCGCTACTCACGACAACGATGTTTATTCGCTCATTCACATATCCAGAGTGTAACAACTTCATACGTGTATTACACGTATATATAGGAGTGAGATATATTATAACAATGGAAAGAGAACAGAAGGAAGAGGAAGAGAATCATCGAAGCGTGCCATCAATATCGGCACAGTATCAATTGATTGTATGTAAAGTATATACAGCATACAAAGGTTTACATCAATTGTATTGGTTTAATCTGATGTTCACGAAGACATTTACTCATAACATTCTTTCCAACCGAAAAACAACGGAATGAGTTAAGTACTAGAGCATGGCATGGAAAAAAATAATAACATCACTCATGATATGAGGCACTATTCGTCTCTTGATATTTCTCAAAGTTTCTGATTACTATAATTTCCAGTGATTGATTGTCAGCGGCTACCTACGAGCACACTCTAGTGGATTTATTTTTTTAAGGTAACATCAGATCTTCGTCTTCGATTGAACACAATTTCTATTTTATATAAAAGTATCTTTTGAATAAAGTATGGATATCGCTTATTGGTCCGATATTATGTTCAATAGATGTCATTTTTTTAGTCTTCGAAGAAACTGTTTTTAATAAATAAAACTTTTAGAAACCGATAAAAAACCTAAAAAAATCTATTTACTGAAAAATCTTCATAGGTAAAAAAAGCATCTTTAAAATTTCTACACGAAGGTTTTCTAACTCATTGCAATGAAATCAACAATATGATGATGGCGAATACCATTTCACATTTGTTATTTTTTTCATGACTATATTTCTTTTTCAACAATCACTTATTTTTCAGATAAGATGCCAGCTAAAGCTGCACAACCCAAAAAGAAAGAAAAAGAAGCATCGAGCAGTTCTGGTAGCAAAGCTAAGAAGAAGAAATGGTCGAAAGGAAAAGTGCGCGACAAACTTAACAATATGGTCAGTTTTATGGTTGTTGTTTTTCGTATTTTTTCTACTGTTTATCATTCAATTTAAAGGTTTTATTTGATAAAGCAACTTATGACAAATGTGTCAAAGATTTGCCACAATATAAACTTATCACTCCGGCCATTGTAGTCGAACGTTTTAAAGTCCGTGGCTCATTAGCCCGTGCAATAATCCGTGAACTCATGCGACGTGGTCTTATTCGCGCCGTTGTAAAACACAGTCGGCAAGAAATCTATACTCGATCATCGAAAGAAGATGCACCAGGTGAACAAGAGGCTGGCAAAGACGGTGCTCCTGAAAAGGAAAAAGGTGGCGGCGGTAAAAAAGGTGGCAAAAAAGCAGCTAAAGTAGAGGCTGCTGCAGTTGAAGAAGCTACTGCTTAATAAGTTAAAATATCACACCAACAAAAACCGTTTTTTTTGTTTGTTCAATTGTTTTTTTCTGAATAAACATAAGAAGAAGAAAAGAAAAGCTAGAAAAAATCTGTTCTACTACTATGAAAAAAAAAACAAATAATTTCTTCTAGATATGTTTCAATCAAATAATTCTCAAAATAAACGTAAAGAAATATACAGATATACAGCACCATGGATGGTTTATGCGATGAATTGGTCTGTACGGCCTGATAAACGTTTTCGTCTTGCACTTGGTTCATTTGTTGAAGAATATAATAATAAAGTAAATAAAAATCGAGAAAAGAAAACATTAAAAATTTTTCTTCCATTAGGTTCAAATTATCTCACTCGATGAAGATACATCAGAATTTAGTGCACGTTCTGTATTTGATCATCCTTATCCGACAACAAAAATTATGTGGATACCAGATACAGTAAATAAGGCCTCATTGAATTTATATTTCATTTTCTCCATCTAAAGAAAGGTACTTTACCTGATTTACTTGCTACCAGCGGTGATTATTTACGTGTTTGGCAAACAAGTGATAATGGAACAAGATTAGAATGTTTATTAAATAATGTAAGATTAATTTAAATTCCTTTTTTTTTATTTTATTCAAATTTTTAATTGGCTTAGTTTTTAGAATAAAAACTCTGATTTTTGTGCGCCTTTAACATCATTTGATTGGAATGAAATTGATCCGAATTTAATTGGCACGTCAAGTATTGATACAACTTGTACAATATGGGGTCTCGAAGTACGTTTTCTAAAACGAAGAAAAACAATCTCTTTGAACGAATGAATTATTTTTGCGATAAACATAATCTACTTTTTGTTTCAATAGACGGGTCAAGCTATTGGTCGAACGAATCCCATCAGTGGCAATGTTCGAACACAATTAATAGCTCATGACAAAGAAGTTTATGATATTGCTTTCAGCCGTGGTGGTGGTGGACGTGATATGTTTGCATCAGTTGGTGCCGATGGTTCCATACGAATGTTTGATCTACGACATTTAGAACATTCGACAATAATCTATGAAGATCCTCAACATCATTCTCTATTACGTATTGGCTGGAATAAACAAGATCCAAATTATTTAGCAACATTCGCTATTGATTCAATGGAAATAATTATTCTCGATGTTCGAATTCCATGTACACCAGTTGCTCGACTAAATAATCATCGTGCTGGTGTTAATGGAATAGGTTGGGCGCCGCATTCACCATGTCATATTTGTACAGCAAGTTAGTATAGAATTTAGCGTATTTGTTTTTCCAGAATATTTTGTTATTTTTTGTATAGGTGACGATCGGCAAGCATTAATTTGGGATATTCAACAAATGCCAAAAACAATTGAAGACCCTATTCTTGCTTATACAGCTGATGGTGAAATAAATCAAGTACAATGGAGTACAACACAACCAGACTGGATAGCAATATGCTTTAATAATTTTCTTGAAATCTTACGTGTATAGTTTATCTGTGTAAGCAAACACTTTTTATAAAAATGTATTTATCAATGTAATAGAAAACTCATTTCTATTGGCATGAGATATTGATGCTTTTTTTTGTATTGTACTGTTTTCCTTTTGGTTTTTTATACTTAAAAAAATAGAATTAAATTTATATGAAAAGATGGCGCGAGATTGAAAATTTGTCTAAAGACGTGTTTTTTTATTATTTTTTTTTATGTCGGTCGTGTTTTAGACGTCAATATGAAGGACACCGAGCTGTTCATTGACAACCAATAGGATATAACATTAAAAAATATATATAAACAATCCACTATGATAATTATTTCATTTCATTTCAGATTTTCTTTCTTTCTCTATTAACTTCTCGACAATGTCTGGACGTGGCAAAGGTAAACTATTTGTTATTCATTAGACAAAACCTTTAATAATATTTCATTTTTTTTATTTAGGTGGCAAAGGTCTTGGTAAGGGTGGTGCCAAACGCCATCGTAAAGTGCTTCGAGATAATATCCAAGGTTAGTAGTTAATGAGAAAATAGAAAGTTTAGATGACGTCACTAAATAAATCTTTTATTTCTAAATAGGCATTACTAAACCAGCTATTCGTCGATTGGCTCGACGAGGTGGTGTTAAACGTATTAGCGGTTTAATCTATGAAGAAGTTCGAGGTGTTTTAAAAATCTTTCTCGAAAATGTTATTCGTGATGCTGTTACATATACGGAACATGCTAAACGTAAAACCGTTACAGCCATGGATGTTGTTTATGCTTTGAAACGTCAAGGTCGTACACTCTACGGTTTTGGTTCATAAACAAAAGAAAAATGAATTGATGTATCCTATGCAAATACATAGCTATATAAATTTAATTGTGTATTTAATATTTGTTCTTCTCTATTTCGTGTATTCAATATTGTACATTGCTCTTCATTTATTCATATAGCTGTTCTTCTTTTGGTGTATCGTTTGTCACGAAAGATGTTTCTCTTATATTTATGTTTATTATTCTCCTATATAGAAAATAAAGTGAAAGTCAAATAAAATTTCGAAATAATTTGTATCACCAAATGAATATGTGCAAGAAGCCAATTTAATTACGACATGATCAGGGGCAGCAGAGAGTCATTAAGCCAGGCGAAGCTCATAATATTCTTTTTCTGCCGTGGGATTATACGAAAGCATCAAGCAGAAAATAAGTCTTCTTTTTATTGAACTTCAGTAAAAATAAAGTTGGTCAGTATAATAAAAAAAAGATTGGAAAATACCAAAAAAATATTTCTCTTTGCTCCTGCTTTGATGCAAGAATAAAAAATAACAAATTCAGTACAAAAGCAAATGAGACTCAAACCTCATGGGTCTCAGTGGCTCCGTCGCCAGTGATGGTAGTCATATTTTAGATTCAGTCAAGTCAGATTATACAGACCGAATAAAGCAACAAGACAAAATTCAAATTATTGTTGCAACTGCCTGTTCCATCTATCGCATGTACATTACGATTGCAAGAGAGAATCTTCAAGAAATAGTGCGTTAAACATTCATTTTAGCATTAAATTTTTTCACACGGAAAGTTTATTGACATACAGACAGAACGGACGGCAGTGAAAAAACTCTTCATGTGGTGATGACTCATTCTTCGATCGTTTGAAATCCAATCAAAAGATGGCGGTTGCACACAAATAATAAAATTTTGAAAGCTAATCGAAAATTCATTTAAATAAAATACAAAATAATGTTTAAAATTTATTTATTATATCTTTCTTATTAATTTAAATCAGCAAATTTTTATTGATACTTCCAGCAACAAAGTAAAACATGGACTATTCGACTCCTCTATGTTAGATATAGATTTTAATAGTTTATTCAAACGCGATTAATATATTTGACAATTTCTTATTCTCCAATTTTTTTGTAGATCTCTCTGTCTTAAGTTCATCCTACAAAATGCCTGAAGTGTAAGTGTGATCGTTATTTGTTTTTTTCTCGCTTTGTATTGATCGTAATTGTTTTTATTAAAGCGTCAAAAAGGCAAACACAAGTACAACACCAAAAAAGGCCGTACAAAAGGTACCAGAAGTCTTATTAAAGAAACGAAAACTCTATGCTGATCTTAAAGCGCGTCGACTTCGTGCTCAAGTTCAAGCCGTTAAAGTAAAGCAATTTTTCATTGTATTTTTAAATTTACTTTGCTATGTTATATTCATAGGATAAGAAATATAAACGTTTACTTATATTCAAACGTGCTGAAAAATATGCAAGCGAATATAAAAAAAAAGAACGTGATTTAATTCGCCTTAAACGTTCAGCTAAAATCCGTAATAACTATCATGTTGATGCTGAACCAGCCCTTGCTTTTGTTATGCGAATCCGTGGGTACGTATATTGATAGTTAAGAATTCTTATTGTTTTTCTTTAACTTTTAATTTTTTAGTATTCGTGGTGTTCATCCACGAGTTAAACAGGTTCTTCGTCTATTTCGTTTACGTCAAATAAACAATGGTGTCTTTGTTAAACTTAATAAAGCTACTATTCAAATGTTACGTATTGCTGAGCCATACATCGCATGGGGTTATCCAAATTTGAAATCCGTTCGTGAACTTATCTATAAACGAGGATTCGGAAAAGTCAACAAACAACGTATTCCATTATCTGATAATAGTGTTATTGAAAGAAATCTCGGTAAACGAATAGAAAATTTTATTCTATTACGTACATATTTTTTTTTGCTTTGTTTTATTTAGGTAAACAAAATATCATCTGTATGGAAGATCTTGTCCATGAAATTTTTACAGTTGGAGATAGCTTTAAAAAGGCTTCAAACTTTCTCTGGCCATTCAAACTTAACAACCCAAAGGGTAATGAATGATAGAAATTATAGGATTTTATAATTGTTTTTCTTTTAAATTTTCTAGGTGGTTGGCGAAAGAAAGCTAATCACTTTGCTGATGGAGGTGATTTTGGAAACCGTGAACAATATATAAATCGATTGTTGCGTAAAATGGTTTAGACGTGTATGAAGTGTTTTTTCACGTTTTATTCATTTATCAACAGCAACATGGGAATAAAAACAAAAAGAATAACCATTATTGTTTTGTTTTTTCTTGTCGATTTAATACATTCGAGAAAAATAAAAAGAAGAAGATAAGAATTCAAAAATCTTTTTTTGTGCAGTCTTATTGTTAATTTTGCCAAAAAAATACGATCTTCATTTTGCAAGAACGAACTGATCAGTATCAGCCATTATTTACAATATTGAGTTTTATATATTTTAGCTTTCATTATATCGAGTAAAGAGTTGATGATCGGCTTTTTGTTGTTTGTATAAAAATGTATGATTATCTTATTCGATTCATTGAAGATGAATTGGTCTACTAACAGTGAAGAAACAAACAGTATTGTGATCGCACATAGTTAGACTACGTATTTTGAGGCCCATGTTTAACTGTACATATTCATCAGAATTAGCTATTACTAGAGTCTTACTATAACTGAAATATCTGTACAAAGGCAATACATGATACTTTTTGAAGAAAAGATACATCGCAATAATGGTTTTGTTTTATTAGTTGAATGCGTTTTGTGACTTCCTATTAAATATGGTAGATAGAACCTTGCAACCCTTATAGCCAAGGTTGTCAGATCACAAATTCAAAAATTGAAAAAGTTTTTCTTAAAATCGGAAGATCTGACGACCCTGATGCATACACTGCTAGTGTTCTTCTTGGACGTGATACGATATATGCTGCGAATCAGGCAAGCTATTCAAACAGTTCTGGTTCGCATCAGTATGCTATTGACAGCAGTGATTTCAATAATGATGATGTGCTTGATCTCATGATTGTAAATTCAGTACACGCAACTATTGGCATGCGTTCAGGACATGACAATGGTACTTTCATCGAAGAGAGCAAATATCCTGCGGAGAATGACTCAAGTCCTCAATCCGTGGTTGCAGGAGGTTTCAACATGGACTACCAAATGGATATTGCTAATACCTAGACTGATAAAGCTAGTTTTATCAATGAAACAGTGTATTCTGTTGACTACGGTTCTCATCCGTGTTTTATTAAGATCGATAGCTTCAACAAGAACAATCGAATAGATCTTGCCATCGTGAATCGCGGCACTAGTGCTGTTGACGGTTTTACCCTCTTTTGACTATGTAAAATTTAGAATTTATAGCTCATTTGTAATTGGACCGAATTGTTGTCTTCGCTCAGTAGCTGTCGGAAATTTCAACAATGACAGTCTTCTTGATGCCGATGCTGCTAATGAAATTATTAATAATGTTTGCATACTTCTTGGGTATGACATAATCGAAGCTTTGAACCACAAAAGACATACGCAACTGGAGATGCTTCAACTCCGCATTCGATCACTGCAGTTGACTTCAATAGAGAGTATTATCTTGATAAAACTGTCGTCAATTCTGACTCTAACAATGTTCTCGTGTTCTATAGATATGGGAATGGAAGTTTTGGCAATCCTAAACTCTACTCACTAGGTTATGATGCTCGGCTCTATTCGGTGGCTGTCGGTAATTTCAATAAAGATTCTTGGATTGATATGACAGCTGTAAATTATGACACTGACAATGCGAATATTTTTTTTACACATGTGATGAGGCAAATAGTTGACACGGAATGTTTCTTGTTTTTCATTCTAGTCATTTTCTATGTAAAACTTTGAGATAGATCATATAATGTCTTGCTTGTACTATTAATCTCATAACAACGAAGCTGGCTTTTACCATCGAAGAAACGTTATCGGTTCATTTTTTTGCTTTTTATCCTCTAAATTTGTAACTTAAAATAAAACTTTATCTTTACGTAATTACTATGAAATAGCGTTCTAGATGATGCATTTCGATATTCTTTGCAAAATTTCATTCGATGTTGCGTTTTTACTTTCTTGCTATTCCGATACGGAATTCTTCAAATTTGCTTTACTAGTTCACGGCGAAAGATGAGAAATAGAAAAACTCAAATTTATGTTAAAATTCCGAATGAACGAAGATTTACATATATGCATGTTACGATGTTCTATTGATCAACGGAAGCTCTTAATCTTAACGTAGTTCTCAATGAAGCTAGATAGACATTATTATGATTTAATTAATATTTTCATACATCAATATGTTTGCACTTTCTCATGCAAAACTATACATGACATAATCTTCTTTATACGTTCATATATTTCTTGTTCTTTTAACTAATATACATTTGATCTATGGGAGAGATTATATATATATATATTCGTTTTTCTATCATAATCTATTAGAAAATCATCCTGATTGTGCGCCCGCGAAAAAATTTGATGAAATTATAAAAAAAAGAGGGCTTGGTGAGTAGCAGTCAGAAGGAATTTGTTGAAGAACAGAGAAAAAAAACAGTTTACGTCTGTTTTTTTTTATACAATCAATATTATCCATCGTATTTTTAATATGTGGATGTGTTGGTGGCAATGATTTTTGTAGGATATCAAGCGACTTTTCCACGAATAGAAGTACTTTTGAGTGGTCACCCATGTCACTATAGACTAGAGCAACGTTGTTGTACGCAGTGGCTAAATCAGAATGATTTGGAGGTAAAACTTTTATTCTAATTTCCATATCTTTTTTTGCATAGTTTGAGTGCTTTCACGTAGTTACCCATATTGTCATACACTTGGCCAATATTGTTGTAAGAAGTACTTAGATCTGGATGATTTGGTGATAGACTGTTTTCCCTTATTTTGAATGATTTTTCATAAAATTCAAGTACTTTCGAAAAATCACCTATTTTGTTATGTATGTCACTGATACAACTGTAGGAAGCAGCAAAATTTAGATGATTCGGTAGCAACGATTTTTGTATTAAATTTAGTTCTTTCTCGTAAAATTGCAGTGCTGTTGAGTAATCAGCCATGTAATAATCACAGAGACCAATGTTGTTGAGGGTAGGAGCCAAGGATGGATCACTCTCTGGAAGCGTTTTTCGATGCGCTTCAAGTGATTTCTCGTAGAATGCAGCTGCCTGCTGGTATTGACCTTGTTCGTTTTTTAACCATCCAAGTTGATGATAAATATGTGCTGGGTCACTATCATTGGTTGTCTTCTTGATTAGTTCATTGTAGAGTTCTACTGCTTGGTTGAAGTGACCTACTTTCAGCATTAGTTTACCCATCCTTTGTCATCGATCTCCTCTTTCATACGTCGGGAGAGTACAACAAGTTGTGAATCTTTATCGTCAGTGAGCATCAATTTCATTTCCCAAAGGCGACTATTTCTAGACGGATGTTTCATATCAGTCACACGAAAATCTGTGTGCCTTGTGAAAAGCGTAGTCTTAGCTGATATTTTCTTAGGATCGATTGTAATAATAAAAAGGACACCGAGAATATCTGTATGTTTGTGTAGTACACGTTTAACGACTTTCGTAGCTACATGTTTTCCTTTACTTGTCGATAGAAAATTATTAAATGATAGAAGTCCACCTTTCGTGTCGGTTAGCTGTTGAAATTTTTGTTTCGACAGCCCCTGGCCACGGTACACCTTGAATTTTCTCCTATACGCATGTGACTGCTCACTGTACAATTGTTCTAATTGACGATGCTGGTGTCGAATGGAAAAGCTCAACTTTATCACCGGCTCTATGTCGAATAATCGCAAGGCGCGGTCGAGCACACCGTAGAGAAATATCTCATCCGTATACCACCAAATTCGAGATTTCTGATGACATTGACGCTGAACTACGGTCAATTGTGATTCAGATATACCTTTACTGCGATAGTGGTCGACCAGGTGGTGTACAGATTGTGTAACATCTTCATTGATTTCTAATATAATATCTTTGAACAGTATTGCATATGTGTATGACGATTCCAATTGATCAAGAATACGTTGCTTCTACCATTATCTGTTTTGAAACGAAGCTCATCGATATCGCGGCGTGGTCACATCCACGAGTGACTGTCTTTAATCGTGTACAAATGGGTATGATTGAATTGTGGACGCCCACAAATTTTCGCCATTCTTTTACCCACTGTTGGTGTAACTCCTTATTTCTACAGAAAACAAAGATCGAACCAATTGGAGATATATCATGTATAATAGGTACAGTCTTTTGACCAAGTAAACCAGAGATGGTTAAAATGGTTTTTTCATCGTTCACATTTTTGAGCCATTCAATGCATCGATCAACATCACTATATTGTTTCAATGTGATAACAATCTTTTGAAGTTGTGTAACAGAATTTTGAAATCTTCATTGTTCTTCTCAATATTGGCATCAAGCCAGGCTAGAACGAAATTTTGCATAATCTTTGTCGGTCGTGATCGACACGCTGCCGATGAACTTGCAGTAGTGTTAGTATCAGTTGTAATCATGATTGGCTTGAGTACCATCGATGTCTTCTCGATACTGTATTCAGCATTGCTGGTAGAGGTGCCAGCCATGCAGCTGAGCCACCGCAGCAACCGATTTTCCTATAATCTCAGCCGCCGTAGCCACCAAATTGCTGGTAATTTTAAGAGTTTTTGGGGAGTCGCCGCTGCGAAAAAACAAGTTTAGCTGTTGCGCCGCTGCAAGAGATACAAATTTTTGATAGCGTCATCCGCCACCGCTGACATCAATACATATGCGATCGAATCAAACATTTTTTCTTTTAATTTTCATCAGTGAATTGCTAGCTTAGTCGCTGCCGTCACGTAAGGACTTGCAAATATCAGCCGGCGCCGCCGCTGTGGAAAAAATTTTAAGAATGTATAGCAGCCGCCGCTGAAGACATTACTCATTCAAAGAAGTAGCCGCTGGAAATCTTTAAAAATTGAAAATTGTTGCCCGCCGCCATCGTTCAACCCTTCGGCTGACACCTCTAATGGCTGGCACTGTTGACTGTGGCTATTAATTTCTTCCTTTCCATCTTGTCTATTGTTGAGAACTTTGAATACTCTAAGAAGAAATGAACTGATTCAGTTCATGTTATTACAGTTGCTCTATTAGGTTTTTTGTTTCAAGTGAGACTCTTTTCTATGTAAGAACTACATTATTCATTACTATTGACTGCAAATGTCGACTAATTTTTAATTGAAGCTCTCTTAAAATGACATGGCAGCAATCAAAAGATCTCATTTCCGAATTTTATTTTAAGTTTTTGTTCTTTTTAATTGTTCTTGATTTTCACCTATTTATTTCATCATGTATCTGATACTATTGTAAACAAAATATATTCAACTACAAAATGATACTGACGTGTGAGTGTTTTGTTTTCTACGTTGGCAATCAATCTTGCAACGTATTTATTGTTGACAGATCCTTAGTTTGTTCTTATTCACGTTTATTAATGTAAATCGATGGACCATGACAAACTTATCATCCAGGCTGCTTTATTCGTTAATCTAAACATCATCAAGTTTATTTCGTTTTTCTATCCTCTATTTTTACTTTCCTGTGCGTTCAAGATTGTGACACTACGAAATTATGCAGCGATATTTTCGTGTGTAATCAGATGACATTTCCGTCTCAAAACTTTTAACTCATGACTGAATGTAAGAATATTGTTTTCTATGTCATACACATATGAAATAGTTCTATTGTTATATTCGATGTTGTAGTTCTTCGCTGGAATAATAGATAGAATTATTATCCCGAGACGCCAAAGCAAGTGACCAGAGCTATCGAACGTGAACGCGATAGCTCATCAGTTCCTCAATCGTTTTCTAGGTAAAATTCAGTGAATTGTAGGTACTCGGTCATACTAATTTTAAATAGGACAAAGAATTTTTATTAAAAATTGTTTTAAAAATCTGTTATAGTTTTCGAATATCTCGAGTTTACTATTACAATTTAATTATGTGAAATTTCAATAATGACGCCGTGAAATCGAGACTGATCAGACTATACTTTTCATAGTGTGTTCCATACTACTAAATGTCAATAGATGCTATGCACATTGCTATCGCAATACATAACGTTCTGCCATAACTTTCACATATCTATGATACATCCTGGATTTCATCTAAAAAACATGAAGACTAACCTTTAATCTGCTCAGGAAGGAAAAACTAAACAAGAATTTTATCTTGAAAAACCTTTTCTAAAGACACAAAGAATATCAATTCATATATTAACATGTCTGGTTTCAATTCATTATATCAATGATTATGAATTAGTTCTTAACCCTTTACCGCCGGCTACACGAAAAAAGCCATACCCCTATAGGGGAAAATGTTGCCATATGGCAACATCCGACTGGAAAGGGTTAATTACTTTTGATTTCTTGTTATTCGCATAATATGAAAGTCAGTATATAATCTGATTTGAATGATATTTCATTAAGATTTGCTTTTGCTATGTAGACTAATTGGCTTAGTCATAACAAGCTTTATTTGCGCACTAAACCAGAAATATCCATCGCGATACTAAAGTCGTCACTATCACACAGGAATGGACATAATCGCTTCATCGAAATATAAGTAAATTGTGTTTATTGACGAGTGACACTTATTGAAAGAATCGAAGCGAAGGCAATTGTTTTTCTATGGATGACGGAAAAATAGTTTGTTTTCGGAGAAAGAAAAAGGTTCTTGCTAGCTTGAGTAAAAACACGACAGCTCCAAATAGGTCAACAGCAAGTCAGGAACGATTATTATTAAGTATGATTTGTATCAGTACTGCTACTACTACATATCTAATAAATGCATTTTAAAAAACTGAGGAAACAACATCGTGTATGTATTTGTGTCAGTCATAAACCAAAATTTGATAGTTATAACAGTTGTGAGGCTGATACACGTGTTGAAAGAACTGTAACAGCTGATGAATGGGAAAATCAATCAGCGTATTTATTTATCTTTGAAATATAACGATAGTGAATTAATAAATATATAATAAAGATATGCGATCCTGCATAGACAGTGATTCCTATTAGAAGACTCGAGATCGTCTTATCATATGCGAGTACGTCATAGAAATGTAATGCGAATGAAATCCCGGATTATAATTTTGGATATTTTTGTGGTGTACTCAAATTGTTTCTCACTAAAGAATTTTGAAACAAACTTGAAAGTTCCATTGTCTGCAATTTAATTTTTGAGGTATTTATCAGCGACCACAATCGTTGGTGTCGATCTCTTAACACATAAATATTTCTACATTCGAGACTTTCAATTCGAGTCTGTTGAAGAGCTCTTCAAGTTACAAAGCATTTATTTTATTTTATTTCAATTAAAAATGATGGGCCAACAGGCAATAAAAAAGAAAAAGAAGAAATGCCTAAGCTTAACAATACTAATTTACGGAAGAAATGTAATAACACACGCACATGCACGCACACATAGATTCATTTTCATTAAATTAATTAAAAAACAGCCAAACGAACCGGTAATCTCTTTAATATTAATTCATGTAAAAGTAGCTTTACGTAGAAGATTATGAAGAATAGATTTTTTCTGTACATCTCGTTGCTGTGGTGTTGTTGGCGGTGATTTTACAATATAAACATGTTGTGCTGCCCCATTTGTTGATGTTCGTTTCGATTCCGGTGACAAGTCAGAAGCACGTTCTTGTAAACGTCTACAACAATATCACATTGTATAAAACTCAATTTCAACTCAATCTTTACTTTGTTAAATCTTCAATATCAACAAGAATAGAATCTTGCTCCATGCTTAACGTATCTCGTTCCATTAAAAGATTAACTAATTCTTCATTATGGCCTTAAAAACATGAAATTATATTTATTTTCGTTTTTTTTGTTGTTGAAAGATTAAATCTACCTTCTATTTGACAATGTAAATCATTAACAATGACTTGTAATTGACCTATATTCATATCTTCTAGCATTCGAAGAGTTAATGGTTTGTCCCCATTTGTATTAATACCGATCTTTAAAAAAATAAAAACAAGACAATCGATTAATCGAAAGTGTTTCTTTTCAATTTTTTTATAATCAACATACAATATCGTAGAGTGGTGATTTTTTCTTCTTTAAAGCTCGTCGTTCAATTTGTACTTGCATTCGTGCCATTTTTGCGCCAAGTACAAGAGCAACTTTCGCTTCTTCCTAATGAAGGAAAAAGTGAAATTATTTAAATTCCATTAAATTAACTAAGCTCAATTTTTACTTTTAATCTTTGTTGTTTAGCAAGAATATCTTCACCATTATTTGTTGTTACCATTGAAGCATTCATATCGTCAGATTTCGAATTCTTTAATCGAGTTGAAGTCTTAAAGAGAAAAACAAATTCCATCAACATTTCTTTTTTATACAAAAAATAAAATAAAAAATCTACGTACTGGATCATTATCAGACGATTCCGTTGCTTGATGATGTTCATTAACGAAACAAATTTGAAGATTTGAACCTGCAATACCATAAATTGCTTCACGTATATTAAATGCCATCGGAAATAGCAATTATCAGAACGGATAAATGGATTCTTATTTTTTCTATCTACTTACGAACGAACAAAAACAGTGGGAAACACATTCAGGACAAATGCTCCTGTCTTATTTCTTTCATGTTATATGTCGAGCTTCCGTCGTAGTAAGTGTCATTCACATTCTCTATATAAAGACTAATCATGATTGATGACATAGGTTTCAATTAGAAAAGAAGTATCAAATCTACTGATAGACATAGCATAATGTCTGCATTAATTTCTTGGTGTTGATTTTTACCTTGACGACGTCGGTGTGTCGTTATAGCCATGGTCTTTTTAATATAATCGGATGTATAATAATCTTCATTTTCACCTTCAGATTCATTTCCGGCAGCTAGTTTTCGTCGAATTTCATCACGATCATTTAGTCGAGCCTTCAATAAAAATCAAAAAGAAAAGACATTTGAAATCACATGTTTCTGATTATATTGAACAGCATGATAGAAAAGAATAAGGTGACCTTCGTATCCCGCTTACATGCAAACATTCATGCCACTTCCAGTGTACCATAATTTTATCTATGAAACTCTGACTAAAGCAATAGTACAAGTAAATAATTCTTGTTTCGTGTAGTTTTTTTTATGAATCAGATTTTTTCCGGAAAATGGAAACGGAAAAGAATAGAAAAAAAGTCTTTCCTTCTTCTTTCTTTTGTTTCACGATCTCATCGTTATCATCGTCATTCTAGTATTTTCAACTAGAAGAAAAAAAAACGATCAAAAACAAAATTCAGCACATTGATAATGACAAGAACAGCGGTTGCTTTTTATTATCTGTCAATGAATACCAAACATTGCTTGAAACCTTCTGTTTTTTTTATCTTGTATTTCAACACAAAATGACACATATATCCTATATCCTAAATAACGAGACATATCCTATCTATACAACGAAGAAACTCATCTGCCGAATCTCAAGAGTAATCAGACATATTAATAGCAGTTCGACTAGTACGCGTTCGTGTATGATGAAATGAGTGTTCGTGAGAATATTTTTTTCAATATTTTTAACTGATTTTTTCCTTCCTATTGTCTAGAGAGTTTCATTTTATTTTATTGTTATTTTTCAAACGAATAATTACATATTAGTTGATTTACTTACTTTCAAGTCTAAACGAATATTATCTAAATTGTAGTCAAATTTTATTTTACTATTATACAAATAATAAGTATATAAATCCATAGTGGAATGAAGTTTTTCCACATTAAATTCTAGACTTCTAATTATAAAACGAGTAAAGAAGAGATGAAAAAGAAAAAGAGAACAATAGCAGTATACTCGAGATGCAGTGTGTAATAGAAACATGCTTAAGAAGAGACAGAACAGGAAAAGAATTGACTATGAAATTTATATTCCAACTAACTCTTTCCTTATTTCATGTGTAACATTGCATGTATAGTTTTCCTTTTCAAGCGAAAAGAACATAAGACATACACCGATTGAGACACACGTTGTGCACACATGAAATAAAGGTTTTTCTTTGTTAGTGACAATGCAAGTTTCATTATTATTGAATAGAATCGCTTCGGNGCGGGGGGGGGGAGACTGTCAATGGAAAACGTCTCTTGCATTATGTATTATTACAAATATCATATCCAATGATAGATTCAGAATAATAAATGTGCTTCTTCTTTTTCTTGCCATCTTTTGTCTAAGCTCGTTTCTCATTCAAGTGCACTTCATGTGGATAGGAATAGAATTTTTTCTTGCTGAACTAGCATCTGATTACTTATTGATTCTGGAGAGCCCAAAAGATTTCAGAATAAATAATTCTATCTATCAATCATTGATACATGAGGAGTTTTGAATTTTTTTTTGAGATTAATAAAAAATAATGTCAAAGAAAAAGAGGTAAACAAAAGTTTCGTTCGTTCTCTCATTGTAAATGTAAAAAGAAAAAAGTTCTATCGTCATCTAAGCGATTACAGTAGGAAAAATTTTCATTACCCTAAAACACGTACTTCAAATAAAACTGGAAATTTTTACTTCATTTTCTACGCGTCAACAAGCACAAGAGAGAATAAAATTCTTTTTTTTAATTGAACAAAATATTTTCCAAAAAAAATTATTTGCTGTTTAATTTTTATAATGAAATCTTCTAGAATATAAAATTTGTTCCACAATCCCGAAAATAATTATGTCACACTGTCCTTGACTATAGTACGGAAATTATACTATTTCCTTTCGCTAACAAGTGTTAATATTGTTTGACAACTTTAGTTAGTTTTCATTGACACTATTTAAATGAATATATACGTATATATCTATATGTTAGAAAAAGATAATACCGTATCGTATCGTTCTCTTTCAATTTGAGCTTGTTTAAGTTGTCTTTCAAGATTTTCCCAATCCACTTGTGGTAATAGACTTTCATTTGTATATAATAGATCTGCATCTCCATTATCTGGTACATTTTCATGACCATCATTCGTTGGAGAAGACGATTCTTGCATTGAATAATTCTCATTATTTAATGAAATATTTTGACTAAACGAAAATTAAAGGAATAAATTTTTCTTTTCTCTATGGTTGTGTTCCATTACCTATTTGCATCTTTTAAACGATTAGGAAATAATCGAGATGAAAACGATGCGCTTGTTGATAGAGGTTTAGTTAAATCATCATCGCCAGTCATATTCGAAGAACCAAATGTACGTACAACATCAGCAGCAAGACTTGATAATTTTTGTTTGATATCATTGGCAAATGTATGATTATTTTTAAATGGCATTAAACGATGTTGACGAAGTTGAATGTCTTCATCGTCGCTTGATGAAGATGATGATGTTGATTCATCATAAATATCTCGAGCATTATTATCATCTAATTCAAATTCATCATCAAAATCGGGATCTTCTGCTGGCGAAAAAACAGGTTTCATTCGTTTGAGTGGTGCCGAAAGTTTTGGTGATGTTTCCTAAATAATAGAAGGAACAATTTTTTTTTTATTTACAAACAATCACGATCAGCTAACATGTTTTGGCGATTTTAATTCAGGTTTAGTCATCTGACGGGAAGTTCCATTTTGGCTACTATTACGAATTAATTGTTGAGCTAGATTTAGATAATTAATTTTTTTAACACGTTTCGTAAATGCTTCATCTGTTTCATTCTCATCACGAGATATGTCATGATCTTTTATAAACTTATTGAGACTTGCTGTTGTTGATAGATTTGTTTTTTGTAGATATTCATGAAGAAAATCCGAAGATGATATTGAAGGCTTTCCTTCACGAGAAGGATTTTCACTTTGTTCAGACATGAATATTTCTAATTCAACAGTGACAACAACAACAACAACGATTAATGAATATAAATATACAAATCATGCATAATCATAATAATAATAATAATATGATATTCGTTGAGATAGAATGGTTTCTTTGTATCGACCAATCTGATTAACTATGGCGCTACAATCGGCGTGATTGATATTTGCCAAAGTTATTCTCTTGAGAAGATTGAATTACTCCGCATCGATGGTGAATTGATTGGAAAGTTCTTTTTTGTTTCACAGAAATTTTTTAGAATATTTAGCATAGGAGATAGCTCTCATTAGGAAATATCTATGTTAATATTTGATGACTGCTGCTAGAAAATTCTTCATTTCGTTAAGTGCATTCAATATGATTATACTGAGCTTAGTATACTCTTGCATTTTTTCAGAATTTTTACCTACCTGAATTCGAAATTTGAACGTTGTAAAAGCACACATTTGTTAAATCTTTTTGAGACTTGATATTTCGTCCAAATAAAAGGAGATATGTGAGAAAAGCATGCAATTCAAATAGGTTTTTTACTATTCAAAAAACACAATGACACTTTTTTTTATCTCTCAGGCGAATTCTAGTTGAGGAATGGAAATTTTTACCACTTGTCCTCCGCTATTTCCACTGGGAGAGCATCCGGAAATTTCAGGTTCGTGACAACCTTGTCTTGGCGCACTAAGATTTATCTGACTTGAACGTAGCGAGACTTATTTGATGAGCTGCTCTCTTCAAATATCGGAAATAAACGGAAGCTTCCTGCCAGTACAATGCAATACCAGACCTGACATTTGATTAACTATTTTCCGAGCACAAAGCCATTCGTATTTGCCTTGAGTGAGTGAAATATTCTCTCTTAGCGCATATCCGATGGTACTGTTTGATACTCAAGTATTGGTAGGTCCTGGCGATTTTCGCTCACTTTTTTTTCGATCGCGTATCGTTTGTATTGATTGAATCGAGAATACGCGAAAATACCTGATGTGAAATTTCCAAGTGAAAAATTCTTCCTATACCTAACATGTATCTAGTTAATGAAATATATACTATTGAAGATATTATAATCAGGTCAGATGTTTAGGAAAGAAGAAGAAGAAAAAAAGAGTTTGAGAATTTAATTCTATAGAAATGTGTTTGAAATCAATTGCACTTCAACGACGGAACACTTTCGTTTTTGTTCATCAGGACAAAGTCTATTTGTATTCTTTGTTCCAAAAGAAGTCTATCTGTCAATGTTTTCTTTGTATTTGAAATACTTTTATAATGTATGTCATATCAGTGAACAATAATAGCTATAGTGAAATCTGTTTTACAGGTGATACAATGTTTTCTTGTTTCTATAACAAGTAAATTCTATCTGCACTTCAATTGAAATTTCATTACAAAAAAGAACTCTCTTCTTATCAAGAATCTTACTGAAAGTTTATGGAGATCTTCTTGTTCTCTATGTCAATATTTCAAGATAGCGTGCTAGTATTAGCGACGAATGAAATATTCTGACGAGTCTCGTATTATTGAATCGAATCTTCATATTAGTTACATATTATAAAGTAAATATCTCAAATGAATTCCTTTTTTTCTGTTTCATCTATCAATTGAGAGATTGAATGCTACTAGCCATGGATCTTCTGATCATTGCTTCATTTTGATTGTTTAATAGCGTGATCGATACTCTTGTCATTGTGCTTTTGAATGACATATTCTTCTTATCAGTAGATGAAAATATCTTTCTGATATCATACTATCAACTACATAAGAATGTAGTACTGACGAAACATAGAGATCTCATATCATTATTGAAAAAATGTGCAAACTAATAAAAATAGAATGTACTTTGTTGTTTTTATGAACATTTTTTGTTCTCTTCTCTTTTATGGATTGATCCACTGATGTTTACATAGTTGATCAGTATATCGCTCTAATCGATCGATGGATTAACAAAAGCGCCATCTAGTGTCCAATTTGAACATATTGAACGATTTCTAAAATTAGTTCCTTAGAAAATATTAATTAATAGAAAAAACCTAACACGTTTACTAAAATTGAAAGTTTCATTCATCGATATTAATATTTGGCTAATTGAATTGAATCAATCGTTCAGATTATTTTGGCCAATGGTCAATTCCTCAGAGATGATGGTCGTATTGTTTATTTGTTTTCTAATATGATCATTACCATTTGACTTTTTGTTTGTATTTGTATACTTTCTTAATCCGAAAATTTTCCTACAAATCTTTTCTATTTTACTTTGAACCGCCAGTTGATAATGTTTGTTCGACTGTTGGTTTCATCGTGTCTTTTAATACTTGTTGTTCTATCAGCATTAATAAATAGTTCAAAAGGTCAAACGTTTGATGACCTCAAATTACAAAAACAAGAACCTCCTGATTATGATGATGATCTCAATGATCCAAAATCCTTAGGAAATAATGGTGAAGGTAGCGGTTTAGGTGGAGGTGAGGCAAGTCTCGATGAATATGCTGATGATGAAGAAGAAGAAGAATTATTAAAGCTTGCTTCTAAAATTCCTAGTACTACTTCTACTACTAGTAAAACAACTACAACTACTACTACTACTTCTACTACAACTACAACAACCACTATTACGATTAGAACAATAACAACAACAAGAAAATCAACAACTAAACCTACAACGACTACTAGAACAACAATTTTATTAACTCCATGGACGAAACCAACATTCAATCATGAATCGCGTACCGGAAAAAATCGAAGTATCACAACAACATTAGCAACATTCAACGATCTAGATGCCAGTGAATTTAAAGATGATCAAGAAGAATATCCGGATGAACTTGAAGATGATCCTGATTATAATGAATTTCTACAAACAACTAAAGTGTCTACAACAACATTTTCAACAACACGATATTCAATTCCAATAACAACAACACGTCACTCATCACCTGCCAATCATACAGCATCTATTTGGGTACTATTTAAATTTTTAACACGCCCACCTATTGCAGCTGGTATTCTTGCTGGTGAGTCATTTTTTTAGAAAATCGACAATAAAAAAAGTTCGATTGTTTTTCTAGGCTTAGCCATCGGTATTTTCACATCAGTGCTTCTTCTTGTCTGTATTATTCAACGTTATCATAAACGTGACAAGTCTCATTCATCGTATTCAACAGGTTTACTTTATCCTAATCAATATGGTTATTCAAAATCACCTCAAGAATTTTATGCTTAAACGTTTTGAAGAGTTCTTTTTTTACATGGATTTTCTTATTTCTCGCTGTCGTTACGTTCGTTAGTGACCCTTTTCTTTTTTTATACTCCATCAAGCTCAATTTTGTGTGAACGTCTCTCATGAATACAGACTTTTATATATACATATGTGTGTGCGTGTGTGTACGTCAGATCGATAAAGATAAATTTTTCTCTACTCATAAATGTAGAATAAATAAAATATTCATTTGTCTCTTCTTATCAATATATTCTTTGTTGATTTCGATTTGAAACAATAACAGTTTCACTAGATAACGAAGAATTTATTGTTGATGTTAATGATGCTACATCAAATTCAGTCATGGAAGACGATTGAATCATTGAAGTTGACGAATTTTCATTATTGTTCAAACTATAAAATGTTAATTCTGATTCTTCATCGGAATATGAATTTTTTCGTTGCTGATAGACTTGAAAAGAGTGTTTTTGAGGATTTGAATTCATATTTACATTCTCAATTGACATGCAATCATCGAATCTTGTCGGATTCACTAATAAGAATAATAAAAGAAAGTAGTATGCTTTGAAGGTTATCTAAACTAGAAACCCTCCGAAATGATGAACAGATGTTTTCATTAATTACTTATATTAACATCATGGCAGATGCATCATGAAACCAATGAAACATCTTAACAATAGACAGCTACTCGTATGTCTCATGCTAGTCTAATGGTACTTGAAGTGACTTCGTTATGGGTTTCCTTTTTTCTTTTTCAATTAATGTCTAATAAAAAAAATCTTCATACCGCCTGTAGAAACATTTGATATATATTTTTGTTTTCTTTGTCTCATAATAAAATTTGTCATTTGTTCTCGATTCTTCATTGTGATAAGGCGTCCAGATAGAATAACATACAAACTGACTATGGTTACAATAAGTAAAAGAATTACTAAAGGAATAATAACACCTGCGGTTATATTTTCTTTCTTTGAGGATGTTACAGTACTCATAGTTGTTGCCATTGATTTATTTATTAATGAACTTTGAATATATGATATTGATGATTCAAGTCTATGGTTACTTAAAGTTACATCGAAATCTCTTGTTGTTAATTGATCATTTTTATTTAATTGCATATTTTGACAAAGTTGATATTCTTTCGCACACAATTGACGATATTTAGTATTTTGTAAATATTCTAAGGAATAACCGGATTCAGCAATAGACGATTGAGAATGACATTTCGCTTGTACTTGTTGAGTTTTACAATGATGAAAATGAATTTTTTCTAATGGTAAATAAACAAATGAACAATCACAATGAATCAATGAATTTATTTCCATGGATAATAATCTATTCGATTGAAATAGGTTATTAAATAAACATAAAGGTACATGAAAATTTTCATCGCAGATTATAATTGTTAATTGATTTCTTGTTGTTAAAGAGCGAATCCATTGATCGTTGTTTTTCTCAAATAAAATCAATTCACCGTTTAATATTAATGTGCGAAGACGTCGAAGATGATTAAAAAATGTACGAGGCAAATACGGTAAATGATTATGAGATAGATCAAGATAAAGTAATTTTGAACTTGATAAAATCGTTGCTGGGCTGAATCGAAGTTGATTTTCATTCAAATGAAGCATTCGAATTGATGATTGAGAAAAACATAATGGAATTGATTCTATACGATTTTTAGTTAAGATTAATGTGATTATGGATGATATTTGAAGAAAATTACATGGTAATATTGAAAGAAAATTAAGACTTAAGTCAACAATTAAATTTTGGTGCTCTGTTGTTTGAAGAAATTTTGTTAAATTAAATGGTATTTCGTAAAGTTCTGTATTTTGACATGTTATATGAAAACCTTGAAAAATCGAAATGTATTCGACAACAATTAAAGATTTTAGTTTTTACCATCGAATGAAGAATAACATCGACAAAATATTGGGCATGTCTCTAGATATTAACATAGGATATAGACAGAAAATATGAAGCAAAAATTCAGCTCACCAATCTTAGAAAATCCAACAGCTAGGATGACAATTATGAACAGCATTATGATTCATCGAAGTTCAATCTATTTAATTTGGCGGTAATTCTCTTTGTTTTCAAACTCACAGAAATAAATAAGAATGGATCATGTTTACAAATTAATTTAGAATTGTTTAAAACAGCTTTTTTCCTCACACACTCTCTCTCTCTCTCTCTCTCTCTTTCGTTCTATTAATAAGCTCAAAACAGGACAAATGATGCAAGCGAAATTTATTATAATGAAATGGAAATTTCTCCAACAGATTTCTTTGCTCAATGAACTTTTGAATTTTATCGTTTGCTTTATTTCCAGCTTACAAAAGATTTACTTGCATATAAATATTGTTGATTTATATTGCATCATCATGTATAGTTCGAGTGTTATGTTAAGTAAATACATTTTCTTTTATTAATAAATATCATTTTCACAATGACTTTTCAATCGTGAGGTTTTTTATGAGCATTATAAGAGTTATAATGTAATCTCAATATATTCTCGTACTCAAAATGTTATTTTAATGGTTTTCGATTGATCTCATCATCATTTCACAGTGACTATTGAAACAGAGGAGAAAAAAAAAACTTTCTCTTCAAATATTAAAAGTAACCATCTTAATGATGTAAGAAAAGTGTATTATTCGATTTAGACCTCTATGAATAGTCATTGAGTGATGAATTCTTAATCTGTTTCCGTCGTAAGTCCGGAAATGTGCCATTTCCTTCGCTAACAACAGAAAGTTCGAAAATATCGAAAATAGAACCTTGCAAAATATTGCATATTATCAATTAAATTTAAAACTTTCGTTTCAGTTTATTTATTTTTTGTTGTACATGTGATTTCTATTGGAAAGACAGAGAGAGAGAGCGGTCAACTATTTTATCAGCTGTTTCGTTCTTTTTCTTATGGTTATTATTGACTTTCTTCTTTCTCTCTCTCTCTCTCTCTCTCTCAGTATTCTGCGCGCACTTTTTTCTCTCTCGCTCATATTGTGAGATGATGGCAGAAAACGTGAACGAACAAACAGAAGCATGAATATTGTCGCGCATCCGATAAAAGGAAGACAGTAGGGGAAATGCGTTACTATAGTCGCAATAAATTTCATTCAAATTCATTGATTACATTCGATTATAAGTATACCATAAAAAGGCTAATGTTTGTCATTCGTTTCTAGTTCTCCTTCATTATATCTTTTTCATGATCAAATAATAATGATGTAATCAACCATTTGTGTTTACTAATCTTTTTTTTCTGTTTCGCCTTACGTTTATACATTAGAGATACATATCGAAAGATTACAATACGTACTGGTTTATCGATTAACCTTGCTAGAGAACAAACCAGATATACTAAGCGTCTTCTGCTTTAGATCATAATGAAAAATCTCACGATGATCCACGAACGTTGTGATCTAACATTGCCAACTGAATATGATTCACATTGGATTATTGCTTATGTATCATTAGCATTTGTTGGATTATTTTATGGAATTTTCGGTAGTTTTTTTTTGTTCTACAAAAAAAATAATAAAATTCTAATTTGAAATTGAAACTATTTTTAGGTTATCGCTGCTGGCGTTTAACAATGTTCATAACATCATTTGCTCTTAGTTCACTAGTGATTTATATTGTTTTAAAAACTCAACCAACATTAAATGAATTTCAATTAATAATGATATCTTGTTCAATAGCGATACTATTTGGTTTAGTTAATACACTATTAGAATATATTGGACTATTTACTAATGGATTTTGTTTTGGTTTAATACTTTCCATAATAACATTTGTCGTAGTGCATATAAAAGACCAGGCAGCTGGCACAATAACAACAACAACAATATGGTTTGTTATTGGTCTTATATTAATTTTAGGTTTAATATGTGCTACATTAGCATTACGTTTTCAAAAATTTATGCTTATTATAATGTCATCTTGCTTAGCCGGCGTTTGTCAAGTACTCGTATTAGATTATTTTCTACAATTATCGACTTTATTTCGTTTTACACATACAATCCTTTTATTGGAAAAGCCACCAGATTTATGTTTTCGTCATTGGATTATTATTTTGATACAACCAATTATTATGTTACTTTCGATTTCGATACAATATTCATGTACAGGAAGAAATTACGATCATAGAGATTCATGGCACAAAAGTATGAAAAATATAAAATAGAGCCTTGATCATTTGAGCATATTTAATTAATTTGATTCCGAGGTCCAAACATTTCTCTTGAGAATGGAATTATTCTCCGTTTTGCCTCGCTTTTCTTCTTATCATGATTAGAATGCAGTGACCTTGAACTTCCGCTCGATGTGAACACTTATCGTAAAGGAAATATGAAATAGTTGATAACGCACTTAATTATAGATTCGATAATTTATAAATAGAACAGAGACTGCTATGATTCCTAAAGAAAACTTTATGTTTTAGTTATTAGTACAGGCAAAAAACATTATAAAACGGCGAATTTAAACAAAATTCGTCGCCATTATGAACGAGATACACTTCGACAACAGATTATTCCGGATGAAAGTAATCGATTCCGACATTTTTATCATTTACGACGGGCTCATGGTGATGCTCTTTCATCAGTAAGTGAACTGTGTGTTTACATGAAAAGAATGAGAGCAATAACGGCTACTTAGGATAAAATATTCATTTTCCGAGTTACAGATCAATCTTTATTAACTTAGAAAACTATATACTAAACTCGAGGCCATTCGTTAATAGTCAACGTTCCCGTAAATAATACTCTTTAACTTTGGCCTTGAATTCTATGCCAAAAGCAGAACATCGGTAAACGAGTGTATGGCAACATAAAACGTAAAGTTTTTCACCTCTACAAGAAAAAGACGCTCTGCTTATGACTCGAAGAAATATTTCCACGTCAAATTCCCAAGGAATAGGAAACTCTACGATTGAAAAACCAATAGAAATCTAAATAAAACAGCTATTCAATTTTTTTTGATTGAAGAAAATTTCTTTCTGGTAAACTAGGAAACATTTGAATTACCCTTACGATTTTGAAAACTTTCTATTTCTCAATACATCTATCTTCACAATCGTATATCTGATCACGACACATTATTCCGGCTACATCATCTATATTAAGATAATCATGATTAAAAATTTTCATTTTTCCTCATTACTCTTCTATATTTAGCAAAGCCTATAATTATCTCGAGTAGACTTGTAATTTTTTACGTCCGACATAATCTCTTATATAAATTATTTAGACAAGGAAAACATGTGTATGACGTAGAATATTATTTATGCATTAAAGCATACGTGTGGATAAATAGCTTATAAGGCGCTTTTATGATGTAATTATTTAAACGATACACAGACAAAAATACAATCGTATAATGTTTATGTAATGATAATCATTAATTTGTTATTATAGGATTTTATACAAAATATGCGACAACAAAGTTCGACAGCAGTTTGTTTAACTAGTAATAATACTATTAACACTAGTCCAATAATTCCAACTGGAACGCGACCATCACGAAAAACTACCGATAGTACAACGACGACATTAACTCATTTAATTTAATGATTATATTGATAACAAAATAATAAACAATATGTGGCCTTTGTTCTGCTTTAGTTTTTGTTTTTTGTATCTGTATGTTCTTGTCTTGTAATAATCAGGTATTGTCTATATTTTATTACTATATATATTTAAGAACAATTTGACATGAAAACTAAATTTATATGTATTGATGTAGAAAATAAAATTTAAAGATGTTTAATTCTAATATTTCTATTGATTGTTGGCATTAAGTTAACACAAATTTTAGATGTTTGTTCGTTTAAATTGAAAGCATTGGCAAGTAGAAAAATAATTGGATGAATCATGTAAGAAAGGATGGCTAGTTTATGTAATTATTGAGTTTTTCTACGTCGAACATTTGTTTCAAAGCCGAGTGCATGAAAGCATACAGAAAAATCATACGTGTATTTGCACATAAATAAGCTGTCTTACAAAGTAAATACATTGGTAATTTAAAAAAAGATTTGATTTTGACAAATAGACCTTCGGTCGGTGTACGTTTGATAGGTAATTTTTCTCTAAATATAAATCATATTTAGTTACTTACCTATATCGTTTCGTATATTACAATTTACAGTAGTCCGATTTATTATTATTCGCATTGAGAACTATTCATGAGGTAAGGTAAAATCTCAATGCACCAAGTAGCTCTAGTGTCGTTATTAGTAGAAATCGTTTGCATTTATAGTTTCCTTTTCTACTCTATTTTTTTTTGTTTACTTCATCACTGGTCTCATCAGTAAGTATGTTTATTAATAGACATGGATATGCAAATGTAACCAACACGGTAACATTGAAAATGTCGACGTAGCTTTGACAAAGCTGCTATTTACTAACCAGACGATGCAATATCCACATAGAAAATATTAACTTATTTAGTATAAGAAGTGTTTTGCATATTCCATTAATAATTTCTTCGATTCGCTATGACTCTTTGAATTACAGTAGAAAAACTAATTATAGCTCCAGTGTAAAAATTATCTATTTCTTATAAATACAATCAAATTGTCCACTATCTTGGAAATAACTAGAGGTTTTCCCTGCTAAAAAATCAGAGAGCGTTTCGTTCGATTCTAACGCACACTCAAGATTCAAGGTCATATTTAACAGAGAAAAAAAAATGCATCACTACTATGATTAACTATTCCGGAAGTATCATAATAAGAAAATCCTTCATAGAAAAATCCTTTTTTCTAATTCTCGCTAAGAACAATGCGTGCTAATGATTTCAATCTTTCGACGATTAAAATAAAATATTAATATTTAGTGGTGAATTGTGAACATCAAATAACGATACAATGGCGGTGAAGAAAAATGTACGAAATCAATGAAGCATGACTACAGTACATATACTATATAACTAGATAAAAATAAAAATAAAAATAAAAACAAATTAACATAAGCTACACTGAGACTCCAATATTCATTGCGTATTTTAGGTATGATAACTCTATCATAATCTTACTTCGTCTGATTTTGCCTGATATTATTTATATTTTTAAATTTTTACGCTCATCGTTTGTCATCGAACAATTTCGATGAATGTGAGATTTTAAATAAAACAAATAGAATATTGTACTTTGTTTCTTTTTCTTTTTAGAATGATAGATTCTATAATTGTTTCAACGTCATCAACAATAATAAATCTGATATGATGTATAGGCTATAAGCAAATATTCAATCATCGGTGTATTGATAATAATTCAAACAATGACTTTTTATATTGTTAAATTTCATCGAAAATAGATTTCATTCACTCAATAATATTTAATTCATGATCAATTAATAACCATGAAGATATTGATAAAGATACTATGATTACAAGGGATGAAATTATATTCCGAAGGGAAATAGTATTGGACTTCCAAAACGAAGGATATTCTATTTAAAGTTTATAAAACAAAACGACTAGTGACTGTATTTTATCATCGTTCTTATTCCAAGTGTAATCATCATATTATACACGATCGAAATGTGTTACTGATTTCGGTTAAAATCAAGAATTTTTGAGAAAATTAACAACGACTCTCCTCATGCTGAATGTTTTTTCCTAGTACTATAAATATTCATCTATTCTTATGAAATTCACTGAACAATCGATCAAATCATTATCGAATGATTGTGAACAGGGATTTATATACATATATGTGCGAATTTAATGTACCATAGTTTTATTGATAAGGAAGTATTAGTTCTATAAAATTTAATAAGATTCGTAATAGAAAACTACGTAGAAGTTCACTGAAGACAATAAGCAAATCAAATAATCATATGAAAGTACCTTTGGCTGCTTTTTTTGTAAATTTTATTCAGCATAATGTGTTTTATTATTCATAGTTCATCGAAAGACAAGCTGGTTCACGGACAAATGCTAATCGATGATAATGTTTTCTTCACCGAATAGTTGTGGAATTCATGAACTCATTAGTGCAATACCAAAGAAAATTTGTACATATTTTTGTCAAACAGGTAAAACAACGATTTCAGGTGCCATTGATTTAATGGTTATGAAAATCAACGGCAATCAAATGAAACTCGACAAGCATCACAAAACTATCAAACAACAACAGCAACAATAATATACGTAGAACAATTTGTTTAGAAGGAATCGAAAAAGTACTTGACTAGAATGTTAGTTAAAAATGATGCATTAAAAACAGCTTACGGAGAAGTTTTATAAAAAGGAAAAGAAAAAAGAAAAAAAACAAAGTAGTTTTTCACTTCTCTTCTGCTGTTCTATTGTGCTCCCATGTGTTTTCGTAAGACGACAAATAAAACGACGACATTTGATTTTACTATGCGATGCCTGATTATTTTTTTTCTTTCTTCTTTGAATGTAAATCGAAAGCGAACAACGTTTTTTGCTTCGCTACGTTTGTATGTCGAGTTTTAGAATGTTTTTTTTACTACACTTATGATGGGTACTATATCCAATGTGACCTGCTTTTTCAGTTAAATGATCCATGAGGAAAACAAAATCGACTATATATTCGATTTTGTTTTCTGTTTATTTACCTGCTTCTTATAATTATGAATCATATGGTCATTGTTCTAGATTATTATGCTTGGAATTAATTAGAGAAATTTTCTTTTTGTTATGACAACTCAATCGGATGTATTGGCCTCAATCCAGGCCAATTTGCAACAAGCGATGGAACGGAAAAGGCCAAAAGAACAAGTAATTCGCAAGTTCTTGTGTGTGGATGATCTTAAGTAATTAAAATCCTTTTTGTTTTTCTTTCTTTCTTAGACAGTAAAATTTGAACTTGATGGCCAAGTCCGCGCATGTTGTTTACAAAAACCATTTAATTATTCTGACCTACTTAAATCTATTGACGATCTATTTGGTGGTAACACATCAACATCGATCGATAGAATTCTATGTTTATTTTCACGCGATGATGCTCTGCGTTTACCCATAGGCAATGATGATGATTTAAGTAAAGTTGCCGCTATTGCTGAAATCAATCAAGCAACTAAACTTAATTTTTTATTAATACGAAAAAAAGACTTCAGTAGTTCTCAAATACAATCAACTATGAATTCCTATGATTGCGGTCCAATGTCCGATGATGGACATTCAAATGAACTTCACGATACCAGTCTAGATTCGCCACCACCTGGTACCATAGCACCGCAAAAACGACGTACAACAATCAAGACAACATGCAAATCGGCAACATCAAAAGACGGAGGAATTTTCATACCAGAATCGGTATGTTTTTTGTAATAAAAACAAAAATCTTTCGTTTAATGTTTTTTTTATTCTAGAGTGATGAAGTGTATTCAAGTGGAAGTTCATCAGTCGTTAGTCGAGAATCCAGTAGTAGTGAAAATAGTACACGACGACGTTTACCACGTGAATATTCACTTTTATTTTTGAATTCAAAAGAAAACTTGAATGTTTTCGTTTTCTAATTGTATAGCTAGTTATCTAGTAAAACGAGCAACAACAGGATCGACTGTGAGTGGTGCTAGTGCGATGAGTTCATGTAGCAATTCGTCTCATACAAGTTCAAGTTCAAGTGAATCTATTTGTACGCAATGTTCTTGTTCTGGTCATCATTTTCGATGTAAAGAAATTTCATGACGATTGTCTATTAACAATGCGTTATTTTTGTTTAGCTCCTCAAACACCTTCCAATTGGAAATTAGGCCGACAACTAGGACAAGGTAACCAGCCAAATTAATTGTTATGATTATTTAGTTTGATCGAAAATTGCTCCTTTGTTTCAGGTGCATTTGGTAAAGTTTTTCTTTGCTACGATGTTGATACTGGTAGTGAGTTAGCAATCAAGCAAATTCCTATACGTGGACTCAGTTTAGAAACATCTCGAGTAAGTTACATAATAAATAAACCAAGAATAGCATCTTCATTACTGTGAATAGGAAGTCAAAATCCTTGAATGCGAGATCAATATATATAAACAATTAAATCATGAACGAATTGTTCGATATCATGGTGCTGTGAGAACAGAAGATTGTTTGCAAATATTTATGGAATATATGACTGGTGGATCAGTGCGTGAACAAATATTAAATTATGGTGCACTAACGGAGCCATTAGCAAAAAAATATACGAGACAAATACTTGAAGGTCTGATCTATTTACATAAAAATCGGTTTATTCATCGAGACATAAAATGTAAGTTGAATTGCTCGGAAAAAGATTTCAAGCGTAAAATTTACTTTTAACTAAAGGTGCGAATATCTTGCGAGATATCTCAGGTAATATTAAGTTAGCTGATTTTGGTACATCAAGACGGTTGATTGCTATTACGAATCAGAATCAACCGGATTCGGGAACTATTGGTAAGTTCGAATATTCATCATGTATTTCGTAATTTCTATAAAGATAGATTGAAATATTAGAATCAAATTCAGTATATCCTTTTTTGCGCAGTCTCAGTATAAGATTTTCGCAAGAAAAGAGGTGTGTAAAAATCATCTGTAAAATACGTTTGAATAATTTTCACCCCTCGGTGAGAAACCTTTGAATCGATTTTTGACGATCAAGTCTATTTTATTCGACTTCACTCTATCATAACACTAATATTCGTATAATGCGACATGAAGTCGATTTGAATGGGCTTCGAGTGTATTTCAAATATTTTGACGCGATACGAAAAAACCCGACTTAGCAACTATTACTTATAAGAGCTCGATTACGTATTTCATGAGAAGGAAAAATGAAAGATTGTCTACAATAACAAATGAAAATACAAACAATCTGTTTCGTTAACTAAAGGTACAGCTCATTGGACAGCACCAGAAATAATTCAAGGAAGCATATTTGGACGTAAAGCAGATATTTGGTAAGAAGATTATAATTCTAAAAATTCGTTTTTTCAATTTTGTTTTCGTCTTTCAGGAGTCTCGGTTGTACCATTGTTGAAAGTAAGTAACAAACTTATATTTCCGAAGTATCTCAGACTAATGGCGAATTGTGTAGTGTTAACAACGGGTCCACCATGGCAAAATCTTCAACCCATAGCTGCGATATTTCATATAGCTACTTGTGATAAACCAGAGTAATTATTTCAATTATGATTTTTTTTAAAATTATTCTCATGCTTCTATCTTAGATATCAACTACCGGAAAATGTATCGAGCTGTGCTAGAGAATTCATTGATGCATGTCTAACAAAAGATTATCATCAACGGCCAACAGCGGACGATTTGATTAATCATCCATTTCTAAGCGATGTTTATAATCACAATCATCATCATCACGAGCAAACTTGCAATCAAACGTCAACAAATCTCACACTAATATCGTTCTAATTTTCAAGTAATCTCATTAATTGTTCTTGTTTATCAATAATCGAATGTTTGATTTGATGTTTTTTTACTGATAATGGACGCGAACGTTCCATTATTATTTTGCCAATCTAAACAAAGAAAAAGAGACACATCAACTGTATATTTTACCCATATATGTATATATGTTCACACTTTCGGATAAGGCGGTGCTGATGTTCGAAGTAATGTTTTTTTATGTCTAAGTTCGTTGATTACTTTTTCTTGTCGAATTTTTTCTTGACGTTCAATCGTTCGAATAGAGTTCTCACGAAACTAAAGCAGCGAAGAAAAAAAAGCAAATTCACCTTTTGTTATTCTTAAAAAAGAAGAAAACTTTTTCAGCTTCCATCACAGCAGATGAATCCATATGTTCGATTATGTTTAATAAGGATTTTATTTTATTTTCAATTGTTTGTAACATATGAATTGTTGATATACCCATATCATCAGAAATAATATGGTTTTTATATAAAATTTCAATAGTGTTTTTTATTTGTTCAATTAATGGATCATTTTTTTCGTTTTTACATTGTCTATAAATAAATTTATACATGTATGATGTTCGGCTATATGAAGGAGAAAGAAAGAGCAAAAAATACGTCAAAATATTTTGACAAGAAATTTCACGTTCAATTTCCTGTTTAATAGATTCTTCTAATTGGTTGACTTTTATTTTCAGTTGTTCAACTTCATGATTTTGTTCACTTATGGTATTCTTTATAGTTGAATGTATACTATCGAGTAGTTCGGATGTATATTGACTTTTTTCCACGAGTGGTAAAGATTTTTCTTCCATTTCAGTGAATATATCAAGTAATTGTTCAGGCTTAGTAAAATAAACTGAATAGTTCTTGTTTTAAGAAAAACAAAACAAATTCAAAATGATTGTCTGTAAAACAAATTATACTTCATTGGTAATTGTACGAGAATCATTATAGAATTCAATATCAATTTGTTCGTTTGGAATCGACCTTGCGAGAGATGGAAAGTTTGAAAAAAGTTGAACAAATTATAATACAAACATTAATTCTGAAGGTTGATTATTTTCAATTTCTAACATATACAAAGATAGATAGATAGATAGAATTCGAGTGTGAAATATTAAGAGTAAGATATTTTTGTTTCTAGAAAAGCATTTTGTTTTCGAATCTCCTTTAAACTTCATAGATCAAACAATCATTCAATAGAAATTAGGTATCGTAGCGCGAAGCGGAACGTCTTTTGGTTTTTTTAAGGAAATTTCTGCTAATATTTGTTTTCCTTCTAGATGGAAAACAACTAGTATAATTATGAGTATTCCGCTTTGTGATATTACTTTCAGCTGACACCGATTTCCGAAATTTGCATACCAATTGCAATCATTCTTTCACATTCCTCCGCTAAAATTTGTTCCGACCCTGAATCATTTGATTTGGCTTCATTCGCATGAATCTCTTTCGTCGGCAAGGGCGGAAGTAGAAATTGTCATCACGTACCGTTAGATTCCCATTGCTGAACAATGTCAGCACGCCATTCCTGTATATATATACATATCAGTGAATAAAACAATCAAAATTCTAATTAATATAAAATTCTAACTTTAGGTGCAAATTTAAAAAGAAATTGTTGATATCGACGTGATTGTTTCAATATATCAGTTAAATGATTATGATCATTATGATAGCTAACAAGAGTTTTTTGTAGTCGTTTTATTTCATTAATTAGTTCATCTTTTTTACGTGCTTCTTCCTCAACTCTAAAATTTCTTGGAATATATAATTTTTTCAAAAAATTTCAAAAAATACCGAAAAGCTGCTTCATTAGCATTTCGATTGCAAGCATCAAGAAATTGATCGAATAAAGCTAAATCTTCGCCGATATGCTTCTCGGCTTTAGCTAATGCATTTTCTTCTTGACGTAAATGATTTTCCCAGCTTTCAATCTCTTCATATTTTATATTGAGAATATACTTAATCAAACGTAAAATAATCGCTCATAGAAGACATCTATTTTTGTAGTGTTTACTTGAATTTTAAATATTTCATTATTTTTTCGAAGATAATCTTGTAAACTTTGTCGATCACGCCGTCGATCTAGGAGAAAATGCTGTAAATGAGATTCCTGCGAGATTAAAATCAATAAAAAGACGAAGCCGCTCTTTCAAGGTCGTCGGTACGAGTTCAAAATCTAATCAAATGTTCTTCAACACACTTCCCATGTTTCACGAACATGGAGTAGCCAATAGGAAAATTTACTTTGAATATGAGTCATAATCCAAAGTCGATCAGAATTTGTTAATAATTGATTATTGTCATTTGGCTTAAAATAAAATGAATAGAATCGAATAGAATTCATTTAATATTAACTACCCATGAATCTTTTTCATCGAGAATCTTATTAATTTCATTATGGCAAAACATTTTATTGGCGATTTTTTTTCTATTAGAGCGATTATTGCTTTTCTGAGTAGAATAAACAAAGAAAAGAAGCGTTTAGAATTGTTGATTGATTATCTACATACTTCAATATTTCTTTCACGTTCTGCATTTTGTAATTCACATATGTCTGATAAAATAATGGATCTGTTTCTATTTCTATCATCAACATCCTATACAGTCCTACCTAATAATCTATCATTTTCTGTCAATGAATGTCCTAGTTTTTTTGAAGTCATAATTTGGAGTTGAATTCTAATTAAATGAAGAAGCCGCCAAGTTTTTATATAGACTGATAAGCAATTTTATTTGCAAGTTTTATTCTTAATTAAAAGATATTTTATTTTTCCTCATGGATAATGAATAATCAAAGTACACCGTCAAGTTCATCTTACTGATAGTCAAATGATACATTTTAGAATATAAGTAAGTAACAAAATTAAATCTAGTCGATTGTAATTACAATAAATAGCTATAATTGTAAAAAAGGCATTTATCAAATTTCCAATTATCATATAAATCAGAAAAAGGACACCGTTTACTCTTTATTTAATTAACAATATAATCAAGAACATTTTTCAAGTTATTATCGAATGGAGCGCAGAAATTCGAGACGTTGTATATTTGACTACAAGCTGAAGATAAATTTAAGAATATGGATTCTCCTGTTCTTTTTGAAATGTTTCACATGAACTTATGCTATTGTTGTTTGGATTCTTTATTCTCAATTGCTGATAGAAGACATCAAATTGCTCTAAATACAATCAATGCATCTGAAGTAAACTACATTTAAGTTACATCTTAATAAATCTCTGCTTTTGATAGCACTTTCCGTGTGTACCAGTAATACTGTCAGCGATTTGAAGGTGTGATCATAGAGATACTTATTTATTAAATTCATAAATTTACACTTCAAATTAATACTGATAGAGATCGAAACTGCTTTTATCTACGAATCGTTCGTGAATAGACGAATTCAACTCCTTAAAAACAAAGTCAAGTTCGCTCAACATAGTCGAAATAAAATGAATGCTTGAAATGATAGCCCTACGATCTAGTCTTATATAAATAATATGAACTTTTATTGGATATGTACTTTTCCTTCATAATATTTACCATTGTCTCCTTGAGAAACATGCTGTTTTCAACAAATAAACTAGAAACCTTTCTTTTTTCTTTTATTGATTAGATATTCGTTGACGAGATTCATTGTATCGGATTAATTTTTTTTTCGCTAGACCAAATCAATATGTAGGGCATAAATGCAATGCTTTTTTGTGTAGTGAAGCAACAACAGTATTTTAGAATAAAATATTGGTATAATTAAAATCACGAATTTCGACTGTATTCTTCAGTAATTGAATTTTTTTTCATGTTGTAATAAATATTTAAGAAAAAAAAGCAGGCTTCCCTACTCTGCATATCCTGATTTAGTGAACATTTCTCTCATTGAATATCGAAAAATGGAACTAATCATTAAACTATCATATATATGTATTGCTTTCAAGCGAATTTTATTCCAACATCTGATACACTCAACAGACAAATATATAGAACGATTAAAATTAAAATTTAGTGAATAAATAAATAATACGTGACTTTCGTTTTTTAAGATAGTTTTTTTTTCTTTCTTTAAACAAACACCATTGCTTACGAAAATTATTATAGAAAAAAGAAAAGAGAAAAATGAGGCTCGCTCAACTATTGCAAGTCAAATGCAAATAGCTGCACAATCGATTGAATTCATCTAGTAAATAAACCAAAAAAGAACCTTAAGTTGTTATTACATATGTATGGAATGATAATCACACATGAGCGAGTCGATTAAGATAATTTTTGAGAAATAAGAATAATAAATTGCGAACAACACAGACGAAAAAAAAACAGAAAGAAAAAGATAACCTCGCTCGCTCATATAGACACACGCACACACAATAAGATATTGCAAATTAAAGAAGAAAATTTCTTTTTCTTAGCTATGTTTATTGTGCTCCTTCTTGGTTATCATCCGCATCCAAACCACGTGTAACTTTACTGAAATCAAACGGTTCACCCATATAACGACGATAAACATCAAGAATATCAATGCATGTCGATTCAAAATGTGTTGTTGCATCATATGAACTTGAAATAAAAAGCTGAAACAACAGAGAAAAAACGAAATCAATTGTTTCTATTCCTGAAAAGAATTTAAAATCTTACTCGGCTTGTTGTGCCATCTTCAATTGGTTCATATAAGTCGCTAACACTAACGAATTTCTGATAAATAGGCTCGAGAAGTGCCAAACCAGGTCTAATTTCCGCTTCCGGATTGTTCGTTTCAACCGTTGTACTAACTAAAGCCACATACCAATCTTTTGGTGTAACCATATTTGTTTGCGCCATACAACAAACATAAATATCTACAATTGAAAATTATTTATATTTATATTTTTATTAATTGTCAGTTTTACCATTATGACGTTGAACTTGTTTTTGAGGAATAATAATTTGTATTGAACCAGGTGATGCATTCGTGCCAACACTAACGGGATGTCGCAGAAGGCAAATAGCTCGAATAACTTGACCGACTTTTTTCACTTTATCTTGTGCATATGATGGATCGCAAATAACAGCTTTACAACGAGCTACTTGATCACCTGATCGAACACCAACAACAACTCCATTTTCATAAACAATTTCATCAGCTGGCTTATCAAGCATATATGTTCCACCATAAATAGCACTTAGACTGAAAACAAAAATTCATATATGTATTTTTTTATTTCTAAAATTAGCAAGCAAAATTGATTAGATGTTCGAAGGCAGTTTCCTAAAGGCGATTAATTGAATTCTGCTGACACTAGCGGAAGTTTATATGAGTTCATCCTATGACAATATTCTTCCTTTAGAAATTTCTTACTTGATGAACACCTATCGGTCAAATGATGCGAAAAATACACTTCCTATCAAATGAAGAAGAAAAAAAACATCTAACATCTTCCTGACAATTATTCTATTTCAGTGAGACTAGCAAAATCAAATTCGAATGGATACGCTTCGTACAGAGACCTTAGTGTATTCTTAAAATGTAACTCTAAATAAATATGTTCTTCTTTTTGAAACTAATACTTTCATAGGATACCAAGACTCGGATAATGTTATGAAAATGATTTCTTCTATGAAAAACAATGGTAAATCCATAAGGATAAGTGTTATCTATTGTGAAGTCTTTTTTCATCGAACCGAAAACGAGATGACTAGTTCAAGGTATTCTTTTATGTTTACTTACCGTGCAAAACCTTGTGGTAATTCACCAAGGCCATAAAGTGGATAAAGATAAGGTGATTTACCATAACGCGCCAGCGATTCGCTATATAGTTTAATTCGTTTAATTGTTTCAAGAGCTGGTTTTTCCAAATAACTAAAACAATTGAATTCGATTGAAGACGAATGTTTTTGTTAGTCGTTTCTACTATTGACTTACTCATCGTCGCTGTGAAGTGCTAATGCATGACCAGTAAAATCAATTGTATCTTGATCGAGACCAAATTTTTTAAATGCATCAATCATACGTGTATTAGGTGGTACATCTTTATATGTCTTAGGATCTTTTTCATCATAATCATTGATCCATACAAGTAAATTACGAAAGCGACGTTTTTCAAAAAGACCCATGAGTGCTAGAATAAAAAACAAAACATTTACTTTTAGTACTGCATGCTCTGTTGGGATTTATTTGTAATCTTACAAGACGAGAGTGCCTCACGTTCATCAGCCGGAACTTTATGAATTTTTTGTCCTTTGTATACATAACTACCTTCAATACACTTGAATTCTAGATAGCGTGTTACACCTGTATGAATTAATAATTTCACCAAAAGACCTTTGATAAAAGCAACAGAAGAACAAATATTTAAAAAAACAGCCTTATTTATGTTTGTTTTTATTCGTTTTACCATTAGCCATAAGAAATTTTGGAATTAAATCAACATTCCAATCACGACCACGTCCTGTATCCGTTGGTGGTGGTGACATATTAAATTTAGAATAAAGCTTAAAAAAGCAAAATAGATAGAATAAGCAATTCATAGAATTCTCTCCTTACGTCTTCCAATGGTGTCATAGATGCTGACTCACCACCGTAATATTTGTTACGATCCATATGTAAAATTTTTTTTCCAGCTACACCAAGTAAGCCTGCTAGAACACATTCCTGTAATAGAAAAATTTTATATTAGTACAACACGATACATTCTTTCGGTAATTATTATTTCGTACCTTTAAACCAGTGCCCAATAGGATAACATCATACTCTTCATCCATGATAATATATTTTTCGGATAACGAAAAAAAAAAATAGATAAGATTGAATTAACTGGTTGTTCTAGAAAAAAAGTGAGACTTATAAAGGTGACACGTAAATCACAAGGCGAGATAGAACAACGTCAGCTCTTCGATGTAATGCAAAGTAATGAAATATTTTTTTTCTTGACTATCAACATATAGCTCCAGTACAGGTATCGAAACTACTGGCGACAAATGCATTATTTTAGCACACTTGGAATTGTTTTTATTTTCGTCCGTTTAGAGCATGAAAGAATTAATTTTCATTGGTGTAGTTGTTCCAGAAATCATGACATCTCGAGGAAAATAAAATAAATCATTGAAAAACGAAATCCTATCAATTTTTCTTAAAGCTATTTCTTGCAAAAATAAAAAGAAGTGGACATAAGAAAGTATTTTCCCGATTGTCGCTAGTGTCAATGGCACGGCTATACTATCAAGAATTCTCGGTCATTGATATCGAGCATCGAATAATCTATTTTCGGCAGTATGAGAGCGTATTTACCATATCGGTGGCTGCTGTCTAAAGAAAATCAATCTGGATAATTTCAATTGTAAAATTTTTAATGAAAAAATGATCCAAAACATATTCATATCGCTTACAACTACATTAATTTATCTATATATGGAAATTTATCAGAGAATTTTCTCAGTCGAAATTAATGCAAACAGGGTTTTCTTTAAAGAAAATGATTTATTAATGAATTGAAACCTGTCTGATCAAGTTAACTGAAGCAATGTATTTTGAAAAGATTATGCAAATATGGATAAATTCAATAAAATACGGTCGGTTTATTCGAAATCATTTTAGGATTGTTTGACTACTTACGATCTAAAATTGATTACTATCAAGTTTGATTATTGGATTGTTTCTTACAAGTTTCTACTGAGCTAGGATCGAAAACAAACTATCGGGAATTGTGAATTAGAATTGTATTCATTTATGCGACAGCACGGTTGTGAGCATCGACTAAAATGCTTACTTTGCGATAATGATTCTTTTGTAATATTGACTGATTTATTAGTTTCAAATAATTAAAACAATTTCGTATAGTCATCTTTTTATGCACTTTGAAAGTATAAAATATAAAATAGCCTTACATTTTCTATTGAATATTTGTCTCATCATCAATCATTGTAGTAGAAATATGAAAATAGTACAATGTTAAAAAGAATTTAGTATAAGTTACTTGTTCGAGAATGCTCATTGACTATGCGAATCGATTGAGTCTACGATTATATATAACTTGATTTCTCGACTATTTACTGCTAGAATTAAGCAAAATCGGACATCTTATCCCTACTTTCCGCGTCTTACCCTCTTATACCGTATTATACATGTAATCGACTGAATTATGTCACGAGATCGAATTCCTCTAAAATTATCTTTGATAGTATGTCAATATTTCAGTTGATCGATGTCAGCTTATCTGATTTTTTAATAGTATTGAAAAACTTGTTACAAGAGAAATTTAACTATCTGGTTTTTAGCCCGAATTAAAATTTGCTTATTGTGCTTTTGTTCTGTGGAGAATTAAATTAGAGACAATATCTAAATTTTAAAAAAATCTATGTAATGATTGAAAACAATAAAGTAAGATGAATAGTACCTTTCATATAAATCTTTTTCATAGCAGCACAAAAATTCTTCTAACGAAATAGCTCGACATCATCTGACTGTATCACAATGTTTGTAGGAGCGCTCAGCCGATAATACTCAAATTATCGTAGTAATACACGTTTCAAAAACGTTTTTCAGTCAACATTGACTATCGTATAACTAAAGTTATTATTCTTGAATTTTCAAAGTGTACGCTACGTGAAAAAGAACTGCATATGAAATTCGAAATCGGTAAACCAAAATTTTTCATTGCTACAAGCTTAATAACCCAAGGAGCATTGTCAACAGAATAAGCAAATTTACAATAAAATTTCTCTTTCTTCTGTTTAAATATAGCTGCTTCCATTTTATTCTACTCTCCGATAACGTACATCGATAAAATCTTCATTCGAAAGTTGAAATAAAGCAAAGACAAGTGTTGGCATGCTTCATGAAGTGCACAGCTTTTTTGACAAAAATTACAAATTTTGTTTTTTTGAATAACAACAATTTCATACAGCGAATAATATAAGCTGAAAAATGAAACATTCAATAAGAGTGATTGGAATTCCATGAGAAAACATTTGCTCTTCTCCCGTGAAAAACTATCAAACATTTGCATTCTTGAAAATATTCGATCAATCCGACGATGCATTTATTGGAATTGAACTTTCACGAGTAAATACTCTATAATTAAATTACTTTTCATTTACCTATACGTTTTTCTATGGTTTAATAGTCGAACATTATTATTACAAATGATTCACTGTAGACGGTGCGGGTGTTTTAAAAAAATCTACATCCGATATTCAGATCTGCGCATAAAAGTAGTCGAGTAAAGAATATTCCTAAGGAATCGAGAATACTTTGACAGTTAAATACTATTTGCTTTACATTTCATAAATTTTTCTTTTAATCGAACATAACAAGTTTCTAGCATTGAGGTCATTCTTGTTTTTTTGTACAAAATTTTTATCTTTTAAATTTTATTTAAATCGTAAAAGTGTAACAAATGAGTCTGAGAACGTATGTGTAAGTAGAATCCATTTTGTAGAAATAAAACTACAAAAATAAAGAAAGTAAACTTAAAAGGCTATTGAAATTTGACGGCGGGTAAAAAAATGACATTATTGATTTTGCTTCTTCTTTTACAAGAAAGAGAAAATACATGAGGTACAATATGGCCCGAATAGAACGACTGATTATACGTCTTTTTCCTTCTTCTTTTCATTTTGCTTTCATTCACCTGCTTTTATTCCTCTTACTCTCTTGACAACTACGAGCTAACACAAATATTCATTCATCATCGTAATTTTAAATCGAACATCGTTTGATGGCTGCATGTTTTTATTCTTCTTCTTCTTTTTTAGGCATACATACTTTTACTTTAAACGTGTAATATCGATCAGGTTATATTACTTTTCGTAAAAATATGCATGTCAAGAGAAATAAAAACAAAATAAGAGAAATAAAACGGTCGCACTGCTTTTCTCTTCTTTTTTATGTTTTAGATGCTCCATGTTCAGGTGGATCGCATGTCCTTTTCATCGACCATTACATTATCGGCGATCGATTATATTTCCAATCATTACATTTATGATAACAACTGGTCTTCTCTATGGACTTGTTGAACATTACACATATGCAACTCATCCTGTAGATCCAGACTTTCATTCTAATGTATGATTTAAATCTTTTTGTGTTCGATTTTTAATACAAATTCTTTCTCTTAGTATTCGTCTTCACATTTTAATTGCCAATTAAGAAATGAAACAGTACGCGCAATTGATTTAGCATCGAGTGATTACTGTAAAAATCTATTACAAGATACTTCATGTAAAATTAATTCTATTACAAATTTCTTTCCAAAATCATTACCACGCTTGTGTCCCATTCAAAGTAATAGAAATAAGAAGAAGAAGAAATCGATTGATTATTATTATTTTATTTTAGAAGGTCATTTCGGCGATGTCGTTGGTTGTCTATCAACGGATGCCAATCCAGCATATCATGGAAATAACTCGGAAATATTTGATATCGATATTATATGTATTGATCATTGTTTAAAACTTAGTCTTTCTTTTGCTGGTAAAGTTTAACTCAAATCATTCGCTGTTAGCAATAAGATGTTAAACTACAATATTCATATATTATATAAAGCCTTGTAATTACAAACGATCGAAATCGATGAGACAAAATATTCTAGTCTTTCTAAACATAAAATTACAACCTAACATTTTTCATTTTGTAATCCTTGATAACCATGAATAGTTCTATAGATCATATTTCTTTTTGGACAGGTATTAGTCATACATAGATAATTACAATTCATATTGAATTGAAATATCAATAGTGACAACTAGGGCGTCTCGAAGTCGTTAGGATTCGTATAGAGAACATCGTGAAATCGATTGAAAGGTTTTTTTTTATTTTTTCTCAAAATTGACTGAGTTTTAAGAGGTCTTCAATGCGAAACGGAGAATTTAAGTTTTTTTTGTGATTTTCTTTCATTTGAAGAAATTCAATAGAGCTTAGAAGGATTAAACATAATAGACGAACTAAGTATTTTTATACTCGATGATTGAATCAAAGCATGATAAAAACAAAAAGTTGTCCTAAAATAAATAGAATAAAATAATCTCACTGTGATATACAGTACATCGCACTTAACTTCGACAGGGGTTCCACTAAAAGCTTTTCTTTTTCTTAATTACTTAAAGTGGCCTAATGCATCTTTAGCTAAGTATTAGTGATTGTAAACTGCGTACTGCTTCGCGAAACTTTAAATAGATTTCTTTTTCTACGCCATCATATCCATTGAATATTGTACTTAAATAAGATTACGGAATGTGCGTCATTGGCGATAGACTTTGATGTTATGTTTTTCTGTTATCAGTATGTTAAATTATTTTATTTAACAGGATATAATGCATTGACTGGCCACTGTTTTTGTTTATCAACATTCAATGATCAACATCGTTTAATAGATTCAAATCACAAATGCGCAGAAGTAGTTGAAAATAATTATAAATTAAAAGTAAATTCAAGTACAATTTATCGAACCGGTTATACAGAATTCGGCAATCATCTTGGCAAACGTCGTCTCGGTCAAAACAATACTCAAATAGCTATTGTCTTTTTTCTAACTGTTGGCGGTCGAAAAAATCTTCGACAAATAAAACGATTATTACGAGCTATTTATTCAAAGCAACATTATTATTTGATACATGTTGATAACGTATGTGTAGCAAAAACGATTCTCTTTCTCTTCATATAAGATACAATTGATTTTGTGTTCGTACAGCGTGAAGATTACTTATATGAAGAATTGCTTCAAGTATCAAAACGAATTTCAAATATTCATTTAACGAACAAACGTTATCCAACAACATGGGGTGCTTCGACATTATTAACTGCACATTTAGAAGCATTTAAACAAATATTTGATGAGTTAAAATGGAATTTTTCTTTTGTACTCAATTTAAGTGAAAGCGATTTTCCACTAAAGTAAATAAAATTATGTCGGAAAATAACAGTAAAGCTTTTATGTCATGTTTTCCATTTAGGCCTATTCAAGTTTTGACTAATTTTCTATCAATGTATACATCATATAATTTTCTTCGTTCGCATGGTCGAGAACCGTATAAGTATGTGACTTTATATTTAAGAAAAAAATAAAATCTGAATATTGCATAATTATTTTCCATCAAAGATTTATTCGATCTCAAGGACTTTTTCATACATTTATCCATTGCGATGATTACATGTTTCGCATCGGGCCGAGGCCGTTAATTCAAAGTATAAATTCATTTAATGAAAAAGCAACCACAATTTTATAGCAAATTCTTTACCATCGTTTAGATATTATCTATGATGGTGGATCTGATTGGTACGTATTGAATCGTGATTTTGTACATTATGTGACCTATGGCAATGATGAACTTGTAAATGGTCTTCGACATATATTCAATTATTCATTGTTACCTTGCGAGGTTTGTGTTTTCATGAAAATCTAAAAAGAAAAATGTACAGATTTTTTTCTGCTTCTAGAGTTTCTTTCATACTGTATTAAGCAATAGTGAACATTGCGATACATATATTCGAAATAACTTACGTCTTGTACATTGGAATCGAGAACGTGGATGTAAATGTCAACATAAAAAAATGGTTGATTGGTGTGGTTGTTCGCCAATTATTTATAGAAACAATGATAAAACATTATTGAATGTAAGATGATTAACACTTTCTTAATCTAACTCTTTACAGTGATGAATAACTTGAAATTTATTGTAAGATATACTTTCAATGAGTTCTCGTCGTCGGTAAACTTCATGCAGACGTTTCGTTGATTCACGCTTGAATATTCCACATTTTTAATTTTGACAGAGTAAGAAATAAAAAGTGCGTATTTGTTGAGTTTCAGAAGCTCTTCATCGGTAATAAAAATTTATGAAAACAAATATCGATTTACAGCAGGCGAAACACTTGAAGTTGTTCGAGCTAAATTTTTTAAATCACTAATTAAAACTGTATCTGAGATGAGTCGAGAGCAACAATCGATCTTATGATCCTGTTGACTCGACGACGACGACGACGAAGACAAAATAATACAATCATGAATACGTAAGATGCTCATGAATAGGTCAAAAATGATCTCATCAAACATATTAGAAACCGACGTTGTCAATATTCAAATTGTAATAGTGATAGTTTTTCTCTGAAGAAGTATGTTCTAATTCATTGAATACTTGATTGCATAAGTAAATTGTTATTAACTAATAGTTCATCGACTTCTTGTAGAAAATTTGATCAATCTATTCGTTGATAAAACTTCATCGAATATTTTTCTAGGAAACAATTGATAAACCATATTTTTTCGCTCGAAAATTTGATCCAACAATTGACGAAGCAATTCTCGATTGGCTTGATACGAAAATCTCAAGACGAAATTTATCCAATGGTAAGATATTTGAAATTCGTATCCTAAAAAAATGCAAATAAGAAAAATATTTTCAGGTGCTTTTTATTTACAAAATATTTATCATTCGAATTATGAAGCCGATAGTTTAAATAATGTTTTAAAATTAATCGATACATTTGCACGTACAATACTTACTGATTATCAGCAACATCGACGTAATTGCTTTCTTGACGATAGTATTTATTTAGAACAAATTCATTCTATATTCGAGTCGAGCCTATTTCAAGGCTATTCATTACAATATAAATTTAATGATGGAGAACAATTTGAATTATTAATGAAATTAAATTCATTGACTACGATACGCTCGGAGCAAGTTAAAAGATTTGAAGTAAGTTTTCTTTTTTTTTTTTTGAGAAAAAAATCTCTTAATTTAAAATCAATTTCTAGGTCGGTTTAGAATTAGACGTAAAAGAAATTGTTTTTCTTGATCGTAGTAAAACATTTATTGAACCAAAATTAGTCAAAGTTCTTATCGAATGGGAATCTATGAATGATAATGATACATGTTTAGTCATCAGTAGTCCTAGTGGTATGCTTATCTAAACTATAATAAAACAGGCTATTTCTACTCTATTTTTTGATATTCAAATAGGTATTGTCCTTCAACGAGTAAACCTTCTTCCATCTGTTGAACCTCTTATTATTGATATATTTTTTCCGGTGGTATCCTCGACAAATATGGTTGGTATATGGGGAATGTCGATAGTTAAAGAAAATTATGAAGCTAGTTTAGCGTCATTGAATTTTCTGGTTTTACTATCTAATGAAGAACCATCATTGAATGATCAATATTTGCGGATAACAAAGAGATTTTGGTCGATATCAAATATGTGTACAACGAAAGTAAATTCTTCTTTGTGTCATGATCTATCAAATCGAACAAAAATAACGGCTATTAACAATTGTTTTGAGCAACGATGGAGTTATTTCTTTTATGACATTAAGTCAGATTGGTGAAATTTTTCTTTACTTCTTCTGTTTTGTTTATAATAATAAAGAGATAAATTATATCACGCATCCTGTCTTATAGTGTAATGATTAATATCAGTTTCTTTTCTGTGCATTTTCTTTTTCTGTTTTCAAAGAACTGAATATGAGACAATGTATGCAACAATTGGCATTGAATGAATAAAGAGGAAGAAAAGTAAAACCAGCATTATTCTTTCTTAATGTATATATTGCATAAGACAAAAGAAAGAGAAGATCAAGAATATGTAAAATAATATGCATCCTTCTAGTGTGACAGCTGAGAAATTTGATTGAATATGGTTTGTATTTATTGACAAGGACAGATTGGATTTATCATTCATTTCATATTAAAGTTATGGATTCATTTAGTCAATTTTTAAATCAATGGTGAGTTCTAAGAAACGAAGCAATCAGTTTTAGATAATAGATATGCAATTGATTCATACAGAAGAAAACAACAGGCATAGTAGTGAATAGGAATTTCTAAATATATTATGTGTAAGCGCTAAGAAAAATTCTATTGAGTTAATGTGATAGTCGATGAGCAGTGGAGTGAATTTTCAAGAATTATTGAACAAAAGAGAAAATATCCGAATCAGTAACTAATAAATTGTCTCTTTTGAGAGCCATTAGTCCATAATCCATTCAGATTTGAGTCCGCATTGAATTGTGGCGCATCTAATCCATATCAAGGTCATTTGTTCGTTTCAAATTCATTACAAACACTCTTAAAGATAAATCTGTGTGTTAAACATGACGAGTAAAATATTTAGTATGAAATCTGAATTTTTATTGCATAAATGCAATCCATGAATACTGACACTTGAATTTAAAAATAATATTTCAATGGTATCAAAGCATTGTCAATTTCGAATGAAATCTCGTTCGTCGCTCACAATGAAGATAATTCAATGCTCGGATAGTTTTTCTCATTTCGAACATGACTTACATACGTAGGAGCACTTACGGAAACTTATATTTCACCGGAAATAGAATATAAGTTTTAAGTTGTAAATTATAGGAAACACTAAAACTGCTTGTACGGTTGAAATGATACTTCTTTTATGAGTTAATCGGATAACAACAATATCTTTTCATTTTTTTAATCATTAGACTAAAAAATAGACAATACTGATGAAATCAATCATCTGAACTGACAGTGTTTTTTTAATGAGAGATCAAGCCAAAACGACCTACACCTTCAATAGACTGAAAATAAAGGATTTCTAGAAGTCTCAATGCCTACTTGTAGGTTCGGAACTAATATCTAAAGTCAATGTCAGATTCAATACTTGAAAATTTTCTAACAATGAATACAACAATCGTCGATCAAAATCCAATACAATTTCGTAAATATTTATTCAATTTATTATTATGTTTTGAAACAATTCTTTTTTTTAAGCACGGTCAACTATAACGCTCCCACCGTTTGTTCCGACATTAATGTCTTATCGATGGTATGTTTTGTTTCTCGTTACATTCCTTGAATGTTTATATTCGAACATTACGTGTAAACTAATATATTTACCGTTCATGTAAAGCTTACGCGAAGCACAAATGACATTATATTCGAGAAAAATTTAGAGATCGAAAAGTAAGATTATAGACCGAAAAAGTAGGATTAAGATTAGATTCGTACGATCAAACAAATTGCCGTTTTAAAGCACGTTCAACAATAACAAAAAAGAACACAAGAGAAGAAGTTATAAACAGTCATTCGATTGCTTATCACACAACTATTTTACATTTTTTGTTCTCGTGTGAATAGACAGTTATTACTAGTGTCAAGGCCAAGATAATCGAGGAAAAAGGTGAGACACACGCGTTAATAATTTTGTATGTCTCGTCTTTGAACATGTTGATTCTGTTTGACTCAACATTATTTATTGTTATTGTCATATTTAAAAAAATCGAATATACCCAATTCACTAGCAAGCAAAACAATCATCCGTTTATTATTATTATTAATATGTGGTTTATTTCACGTTGTATAAGTATTGATTCATTGAATTCATGTTTTCAACAGCAGAAAAATAAAATAAACTATGATTTTTGTTTATGTAGAGAAAAATCAGATGTTTTTTCAACAAGGTGAGAATCATAGGAGATTTTTATTCGATATACTTATTTTATGTTACATATAGTTAATTGAGTATTTTTTTAACTTACGAGGGAACCTCCCCAGGTGATACCCTCCGTTTGGGTTGATATTTTGCCTTTAGGTAGAACTTATAATGTAGATAAGAACCCTAAAAGTGTTCGTCCCCATAGCGTGTTGCTGTTGAGATTTTGCGTTTTTAAGGTATTGGGATAACTCACTGCCGTGGTCCTCCTCAGGGACATCAGAAAAACTCATTTGCAAATCTCGACTTGAAACTTTGTATCGAGAGAGGTCTCAATGAGAGTGGTTTATTGTGAAACTTTCAGCTTTGGTGAATGCTCCTAATCGCAAAATTAGAAGACCAAAACTTGCCTCTGCAGGTGACATTAGGTTATAGCCGTATCTTAGGATAAGAACAAGGAATAGGTCTGAAAGTTTCACAATAAATCACTCTCATTGAGACCACTCTCAATACAAAGTTTCAAGTCGAGATTCGTAAATGAGTTTTTCTGATGTCCCTGAGGAGGACCACGGCAGTGAGTTATCCCAATATCTTAAAAACGCAATATCTCAACAACAACAGGTTACGGGGACGAACCCTTTTAGGGCTCTTATCTACATTATGAGTCCTACCTATAGGAAAAATATCAACCCAAACGGAGGGTATCACCTGAGGAGATTCTCTCGTTTGGTAAAAAACGGTTGCAAAAATCATGGGAAAGTTTCATTTTGCCGCTTGGAAACTAGCGAAATAGAGCAACATCTTAAATTTAATATACGAATATGACCAATTTTTGTTTTCATAATAGTAATTTATGTACTACACCGAACACTTAGGAAATGAGTTGGCTACTTAACATGTTTAATAAACAGATTGAATATACATATATTTACTTTTCCCGACTACTTTATAGTGTCTTTTTGATTCTCTAATATGTTTAGATTTGTTTTATTTGACTATGGAAATTTCTGTAAATAAGAAAGCGAAGTATTAGTGACTCATCATTTTCTTTTTTACTGCAGAAGAATGTCATTTTGTTGAATTGTTCAATAAAGAGAATCAAAAAAAAATATCTTGTTAATTTAGAAAAAGAAAACCAAGAATTCTGTTGTCTTAATATGTCATAAATACAGCTGCCCGCTTCTTTTCGCTCCGCTTAACGGTTATTTCTTGTCGAAAATATTTGATTAATTGCATATTCTAGCAAATACTACTGACGTCAAATACGACATATGAAAATAGTAGATTATGATTAGACTTGCAAAATAGGTTAAGTACTAAGGAAATTATTTATCATAACAGTATTCACTGAAGTTATAAGATATAAATGAATTTTAAGAGTCATATTCACTCAATAGAATCGATGGAAATAGATCAATGTGTTCTTTGTATTGTAAGAAATCAAATCAAATCATAAGACAAAGATCTATAATTCATAATAATATATTAAAAGAAAATTCGAATAAAACTTAAACCTATTCTTTTCAGGAATGATGAAGATGACTGTGAACCCTTGGCTAAAAAGTCGTCGGGTAATAATCTGAATCCTCATCGTCCTTATCAACATGTTCGTCGACGAATACCAAAACGTTACAGTAATATCGTGGGCTCATTTGAAACAAAACGAAAGGATTCAATAGTCCATTCCGTGCCTCAACTAAAATATTCACCAACAAATATTTCCTCTCGGCCTGTCTCAAAATCTAAAAATGAAATAACAAATTGCTTTAATTTGCATAGAAGAAAATCTCATGGAGCAAAAGATTACCACGATAATCATACAACAAAACATGATGATATTCTTGCTCATCGTATGCAAGCAGCCATGAGTAGTGAATTGATGCACTCGCTTGATCGAAATTTTGTTTTTAGCAATTTTAAACAATCGATACCTAATTCACCAATGGTACGTTCATATTCATTGAATATTTGCACATGTTGGAATGAAAAATCTGACGAAAACTCTTGTGATCCTGATAGAAGTGGGCAAGATAAAATTGATTCTACTAAAGAAATTATTTCTATTGAAATACCAACACCCGATTATGATGAAATCAATGAAGATATTATTATAAAAACAATTAAAAATGATATTAACACAAGTGAAGAACCCATCGCCGATTATGATGATTCAAAACCAACGATTAAATTTGAATCCGATTTTAAATCATCCGAACAATCTACTCTTGATATTTTATCATCGTATACTAGGCCGCCAGAATTAACAGTTAAGAGTCAAGAAGACACATTTACACCGCCATTACCTCCACCATTACCTAATCTGTATATACAACACAAAGAGAACACACTTTACTGTCGTACTATTGCCGATAGTCTATCAGCTGATCATAAACTTATTCTTAAAGATGAACACGACGAAGAAGAATATTTAAAAGAATCAGGTAATTAATATGAAAATTTTTTTCTAATAAATTAAAAAGACTGATCCATTAGAATCACCCAAATCCTCTTCTCAAATTCAATTAAAATATCATTATATTAATGCGCCAAAAAATTTATCATATCGTAAAATTGGTCAATCATTATCATGTTCAAATCTGTCCGATGCTTCAATGACACAAATAACGAATAATGAGGCAAACTTAACCATGCTATTTACAAATCCATCTGTAACCGATGAGAAAATTCTCGATCGCATATCATTATCATCACCGGGAACATCAATTGAGATCAATCATGAAAACCGCTCATCATCGTCAAAAATTTATAATGATTATAAACAGCAAGCTTCGACAACAAGTCTAATAACAAGTACCATTCCTAGTCATTCAATTATAATCAAACCAGTGCATACACATTTTGGATTGCGTTCATCGACATCATCAGGACCAACCAATGAAAAATTGTTAGACATGACTTTATCAAGCAAACAAATGAACGTGTGCGTTATTAATCAACTCAATGAACATTTATCAACACGCTTCCGTAGACAACAAAAAGAGCTATGTTCAAACAATAATAACAGGAATAATAATAATACTATTGTTAATAATCATTCCAGCGATGATCTAACACAAGAATATATGTCTGGTAATAATAGCATTCAATCGAATATTTACGATGAGCCAAAAGATCTGCCAGAAATTACTTCAGTCTGTCCGACTCCTCCACCACCACCACCACCGCCACCGCCACCGTAAGTTGAAAAAAATATCTTCATCGATTTGTTGACTACATTTCTATAAAATCAAATTTAATAAAATCTCAATATTGCATAAAAGATTTCCTATTAAAAATATGCAGTTATTCTTGTGCAAGAACCTATGATTGTTGCGTTTGAAAACTATGAGGATTCGTCTTATTAAGACGTATTCAATGAATCCAAGCTCTTGAATTAATAAGTCTATTTGCAATTGTAATGCATACTCACATCTGTTCGTTTTTGATAGAAGTCTGCAAACCAATTATATTCTACTATGTTCTTCATCAAGAATTTCCTTGGATTCACTACAAAATAACAATTATCTATTTCCGATTCGGAACAATAATAGTTTTAATTAACATAGATATTGTTAAAAGAAAACGATTTATTAAGTACAATTACATAATCATTGGCTTCTTTTCTTTTCTTTTCGAACCTTACAACAAAAAGTATGTCCTAGTATTTATTCAATCTCTCTGCAAGCTTCAGACGATCGATGATTGTCTACTAAAGACATAATAATAAATCCATCAAGGCTAACAAAATGTCTGATGTCAGTCAAACATTCCTTTGCTCTTTTTTAACACTAAAGAGAAGTGCTCGTTATCTATCACGTGTTTGAACTTAAAGAAAATCATGTGACTTTCGTTTGAGAATATCGAATCATCAAAAAAATGAGCCTAGCTAATTCATTTTCTATATTTTAACAATGGGTGTTAATCATTTCTCAGTCAATTCCCAGGGTGTATTCATATTGCTCATGCTATTCATTGACATGTATTCGATTACAAATAAATCCTTGATATTAATCATGCTAATTTCTAAATAGTATTATATCGGCCTAAATTTTATTACATCTGATAGAATCACTTGTTTATTTCTATTGTTTTTCTTCATCTTTCTCTCTCTCTCTCTCTCTCTCTCATTTTAAATCAGATTACCTGCTGGTGGTTTTCCTCCAATAATACCGTCTATAAATCGTTCATTTTCGTGTCAACGAGCTTCTACAATGACATTACCACGCGAATCAATTAATTCGAATATACCCTCTAGTACTGTGACACCAACAATACCAAGTAATTTGTCTGATACTCGCATTTTGCGAGAAGTAAGCTAAAAAGATAAAGAAGAAGAAGAGAAAATAACGAAAATTTTTTATTTAGTTACGTGAAAATCCATTATTTACACGTGCAAAAGAACAACTTGAAATTGAACCTGGTTCGAACGGTCGACGATCCGGTCGTCGGCTAATAGGATCAACCACTAAACTAGCTAATACGGAAACAATAGCTAATGATACTGTAGCTTATGTTCGATTAGATAACTATTCGAACATAAATATGAAAAAAGTAACCAATGAAAGTTCAACTTCACAACAACAATCAGAAACAATAATTATAAATTCAGATGAACTAAATTCTATACTTGGAAAACGAGCGAAATCCATGAATGAAATGAACATAGTAAAATCTCGCCCCTGTTCAAAATCTTCACTACAAGCGCAATATCGACAATCTGAACTTGAACTGATTTTTCAAGTAAGAAACTTTCTCTTCTTCTGTATTCATTGATTATTTACTTTGTTTTTACATATATATATATACACAGAAGCGTGCGCAACGAATCGAACAAAAACTAAAATGACGTACCGCCTTAATATGTGCGAGTACAAGCAAAAAACATGATGCAGTCCATCATCAGCGATTTAGTTATTGTTCCTATTATTCAAATGAAATCAACATGACGGAGAAAGAAAAAGCGAGAAGCAAAAAAAGGATCTAACTTCTTAATACTGCAATTATCCGTCATGAAAAAATCTTTTTTTGTTTTCTATGTCATAGAATTAATTTGGTTTTTTTTCGTTTAGCTTTTTTTCTTCTTCTTATGGTCTTGAACGAAATAAAAGAAAAGAAAAACATGTAAATGTATGTGTGTATATATATATTTTATATACCTGTTGTTTTCTTCGTGTTTTTTTTTCACAGATTATCATAGTTAATTTACATACAAAGGGTATAGAATATAGTCTGTATTATATATACGTATAAGAAACAAATAGCACTCGGGCATTGCGAAATTTCTCTACAATACATTAAATGAAAAAAAAAAGAACAAAAAAAGGAGAAAAATTATTATTTTTTTATCAGACACATGTCACCCGAGACACGGCAACATCGTGATAAGTACAATAATCAACAAGTATATTCGGCGGTGCTGATGTAACAATTTTTGATGATGTCGAAGATGATGAACGTTTATGATTATTATGGGCCTCTTGTTGAGGTTGCATAGGATTTGATCGACAACAATTTGGTAAAAACCAAATACGTGAATGTTTTCGTTTTGGATTCGGTTGAATAGTTTTTGACTGTTTATTCGGTAGGTGTGGCTGTTGTGTTTTATTCTGTGAATTTGATGTTACTTTAATCGGTGATAATGACGGGCCCATTTTATGCTTATTTAGATTCGAGTGATTAACATTATGATTAAGATCTGAGCCTGATTCAATAGTTTCTTTTGAAATATAGGCTTCAGGTGCACGACGATAACGTAGTAAATGCAAATTATGATAAGACATTAATAAATTTCGAATTCGTATTGGAAAACATCGGCATAAGTATTTAATAAATGCTCGACGAAATTCACGTGATGAATAAGCATATATAATCGGATTGACACTAAAAAAAAAGAGCAAGAACAAGAAGAATAAGTAGAATCAGTAGTTGTAGAAGAAAAAGAAAAAGAAGAAGAAGAAGAAGCAAAGAAAGAAAAAATGTTTGATAGTTCCTGATTATTTCTTTTCTCAATTTCTTTTTTAATGATACCTTGAGTTGACATAACCAAGCCATGTAAACATTTGAAAAACAAGTTCATTTCCAGTTAGAAATTTTACTATCGAACTTGAATATTCATTAGGTTTTATGAATAAGTTTACCACGGCTGTTAATGGATTATAGACAAAAAATGGTAACCAACATATAACAAATATTCCCATGACATAAGCTAATGTGATTGTTGCTTTTTGTTCTTTGGAAAATTTTGTTAAACGTTTACCAAGTGATGTACCGCCACCACCGGCTGCAGTCGGTGCTGAGTTTGTTTTCGGTGAACGTAATGTTTCGTATGTTGATGTTGTTTCTTGTGATTGATCTTTTTTTGAATTTATATTATTTATTTTTAATTGATGATTATCATTAGAAGTTGCCGATGTCGTCGGTGCTAATAATGTCGGCATTGAAAATCTTGATAATGATGCATTTTGATGATCATTTAATGATGATCCACTTGTAGATTTTTTCATTTGATTAGAAGATAATTTCGGTGGTAAAGTTAAGTGTTCTTCTAAATTCGATGGTCGCGTTACTTCTGCATGAACTATTGTAGATAGTGAATCACGTGTTGATGATGGTATACCATGATATTTGCCACGATGTATACGTAAACAAATATCGGCGGGTGGTTCGAGTGACGTCTCTTGATTATTCAAACCTCTCCTTTTACGTTTTTTTGTTGGTGATGCAACTTTAATGCCGGTTTTAAATGCATGCAATTGTTTAACAGCAGCACGATAGATTCTGATATAGACAAAAATCATGACGAACAGGGGAATATAAAATGAGATTAATGATGAAAATACAATATAATAAATATCATCAGGAAAACGACAATGATGTACTCTATATTGACTAACATCAAGACGCCAATACGCAATAGCAGGAAATGAGATTAGACCTTTAATAACAAAATACATAAATAATTAATAGGAACAAATAATAATTTCAGTTTTCATCGTGTTTATTCCGATCAATATTATTAGCTTTTTTTTAATTACCTGAACATAACCAAACAGCAACAAGTAAATAAGGCCAACGTTTAACAAAAAATGTTTGATGATAAGATATTGGATTTGTTATTGCTGAATAACGATCTAGTGCAATAACACATAAATCAAGTATCGATGCTGTACTTGCACAAATATCAATTGAATGCCAAAGATCACAAGATGTCTTGCCAAATGGCCAATAGTCACCAAATACAACTTGTAAAATAGCAAATGGCATAACAATCAAACCGACAAATAAATCGGCGCATGCTAATGATGCCATGTAATAATATGTAGCTAAACATAAGAACAAAAACAAACAATATTCGATTGATTAAATATTAATACTAAATGAATAGGATTTGATTTCAATTTGTTATTAATAATTTATGCAGTTTCTACACATTTACTTTATATTAATAATATATTGAAATAGGAACAAATAAGCAAAGACGAAGCAAGAGCACAACGACTTATTGTTACATATCAACAACAAAAAAAGAACGGAGAAGTTCTGCTAATGGATGTCCCATGAGATCTTATTGTAAAAAATAAATAGGAACATTAAGAGGAATAATCAATATTTTAGATTGAAGTCAACTGAATCCTTGATTTATTCGTTGATTTAATTATAAAGGTAAAACTTAACAGACTTTTCTTTGCCTATTAACTAAAGTATGTTAAATTATAATCTCTTATATTTTCTAATAAAAGATCCTTGAATATTTAAGTATGCATTTCCATGTATGTATATATGACATGATATAGGTAATTAAGACGTTTAAAAAAGAAGAAGTTTTATATCAATTTGATGGAATTAATTACCTGACTTTAGGTAACGTTCTTGAACAATGGCATAAATAACAAGACCATTACCAAATACGGTAATAAAACAGAAAAACGTTAAAAAAATACCCAATCCTGAATGATGTAATTGAATATTTTGTTTAACTTCTAATAATGATATATTATTATTGCTAATAGTGTGATTCAAATGATTCGCATATGATTGAGTGATTGTTTGGATTGTAGTACGAGTTAATCTAAGAAAAAGCTCTTGTGTTGTCAAATTGTTGGCAATTGACATTGGATGTTTGGCTCAAATTGAATTGATAATAGTAAGAATAAAAATAACAACGAGAAAATATGTAAAAGATCATTAAACATTCGACGGCATTCGTCATAGCGTTCGTCAAATTAATCGTTCTTGTAGTTTGATCATTTTGAAAAGAAACAGATCTGAAAGAAATTTAATAATAAAATTGTAAATTAATCGATTTTGTTTTATAATCAATATATATATATATATATATATATATATATATATATATGTATATATGCATATATCAAATTTAGAGGGCTAATAACTAGACAACTTCGAAAGAAAAAGAAACTGGAAAAGGTTAACACTGTTGATTTAGAGATAGATCTTCATCGATAATAACAACAACAAACTGTAAAGCAAAAATCGAATAGCATGCTATCTTTGATCACAGTATGAGTTGAGCCATCAATACAATCATGAGGAAAACACATGCAAGAAATTGCCTCAAGTGAATTAGTGCTGTAGAGTGTCAATCATTAGTTTCTTTTTCGCTTTTTATTTACATTCAATGAGAAAAAAAACAATATAATTCACTAGAAATCGAACAATAAAATCAAACTTAACTCGTACCTTGATTTCTGTTTTCATCATTATTATAATTATTAGCTCGTTCAATCGATAACAGGTGTATGCCATACTGATTCATTTTTTTTGCTAAATAGATAAGTATATTAGTTTGTATTCTGACGTAGACCGTAATTGAGTCCGCATGTTCTTCTCAGAACGACTTATTTTCTATTCTCTAACCGAGCGCATAACGAAGATGGAGAGAAAATAATAGTTATACGAGAACCAGAGAGAGAGAGAGAGAGAGAGAGAGAATTTGTGTGAAAAAGACACAGAAAATATGCGGTGTGATGTATGTCGATCGAGCTTTGCCCGAAGAGAATAAAGAAAAACCAAAGAAGCGTTTCAATATTGCAGCAATCTTGGAAACAACAACAAAAAGAAGAAATAAGGAAAAGATGACTGAACATGGCCAACTTCATTTTTTAGAAATAAGCAGTAGTTAATCAAGTGGCGTCTGCTAATTGCCACTTCTTGTCTTCTTAGTCCTCTTGTTTTTGTTTTTATGCATGCTCTTTGTCTGTAGACATTCTTATTTTTTGCTAACTATGCGGACTTAAAAACATTTCGTCATCATTTATAAATGTATAGATATAGATCCCAAATTATATTATGTCCTATAGCGGATTGCGTCTACGGATGGGGATGATGTTTGGCGAACTTGTCAAATCGGCAGTTTTATAACAGAAGAGGAACTTAATTTAATTGTTTCACTCTGTCACGTTCAATGATATAATCACAAAACAACTCTATGAATATATTGCTTTTGGTCTCTCTTGTCATTTTGTTTTACCACTTCTGATATAATATGAAATTTTATGATAAATAGAAATTTAACTTTTTTGATAAAAGATTAAAAACTAATAAATACCTGATCAAATACGGGCGCTTTTTCAACTTGTCCAAGTTCAAGTAATGTTGTTTTCGGCTCTATTTCTTATCGTCACTCTATATAAATGGATCGTATTTCCGTTTAAGCAAGATTAAATGTAAATATCTCGGAAATGACTAACGTCTTAAATATTGTGTATATATGTATGTGGCGGAAAAAAGACTGAGTCAATAATCGTAATTATACAATTACTTCGATTCCTTCCATCGTTTCTGGCCTTTCTGATTGATCACAATATACGAGCGACAATCGAGACCAGTTATGGTCTATCAACATTTGCTGGCAACTCTTTTTTTTCTTCTGTGTCTCTCTCATGTTGCACATGTGGCATCGATAGCATAGAGAGTCAAGGTCGACCGCGTGACTTGTCGATTGGAATAAATGCAAACAAGATCTCGTCGGGGTTTTCATTCCTGCAATCAAGTTGTGCGCGTGAATATTTTCTTTGCGTGTATATCTGTACCCTCTAGTCATAACACGATCGATTGCATATAACGACGAATGATTATCCAAGTGATGATGATGATTGTCTTCTGCTGCGGCTGCTGTTTCTCCTCCTCCTGATGATGATGATGTGTCCTCTACTTCATATTCTCTTAATAATTTGTGTTGATCGGCCATTCTTCTTTGAGAAAAAAAGTTTTCTTTCACATCAAACAAAAAGAAGAAAACAAACCCTATAGACGACTATTCATATCGAGTTTTACGTAGTATTAATCCATTGTACGAATAGTTTCATTAGCGATACAAACAAAAACTTTTTTTAAGAGTCTTTGAAACTTCTACATGCATTAATAAAAGAAGAAGATGCTACTTAGAAGAAGGCGACGAAGAAAAAAGAAAACACACTACTGTTAATTGTCTTGTAAGATTTCTTTTTCTTCCTCATCACTTTTTTTTTCTTTCTTCTCTGTAACTACATAAAAGTTTATGACACGGAAGTTCATTTATAAATCGATAATGTTTTTTCCTTTTTTAAATTTACTCTTGCATGTGTATCGTGGATTGTTTGTTATTTTTGTGTTCTTCATCTACGAGATTGTATATTATCGTAGAAATTTTCAAGCGATAAAATTCAATGAAAATCCTATTAAAAAGCAACAACTAACTTGAACATAATGTGTAAGCCGACTATTTAAATACAAGAGAGAGAGAGAGAGAGAGAGAGAGGGAGAGGGAGAGCAAGAGTGAAAAACAAATGAGAAAAATAATTATAAAATAAAAAAAAGTGTAACAAGTTTCTTTCGTTCCGGTTTAGACGACTAGCTTACAGGAAAAGGAATCGCTCTTCTCTGCTCAATACTTCGCATAAAATTATGTGTCAGTGCTCCGATAAGCAGAGAACATTACTAAAATATCTAAATTTCATCAAAAACAAAAGAAATATAATACATGTAGACATACAGTCTTATTACATATATAAAGAGAGAGAGAGAGAGAGAGAGAGAGAGAACGTCTACTAGACGAAACATATTAATTGATTTTCTTGATTCGTTGCAACAAGTATAAGTTGGATATAAAAATAGGGTCAATAAATGAATGAGACACGCTTATCTTTGGTTCTTTCTACTTGTTTTTCTATTTTTCTTCTACACTCACTCGATAAATAAACAAATCAAAATAAATGAATGGAAGCACGCACTTCCGCACGTATAGATCAGAAAAGGTTTTGCTATGTAATGATTGTTCAGAAACGATTAAATACTTGGCATAAAATAGGAACTATTAGATCTACGTGTGTATTCACAATAAGAATAGATCTATACTATATAAATAGAGAGATCGGCAAGTGTCAATTGTGTCTTATGATTCAACTGCAAATGTTGCTTGCATTGAGAACATTAGGTTTATTTAGAAACGCATTATAAGAACCTGAAGGGTTCAAGTCCGTTTTGATTGAAGAGAAAAGTGAAGCAATAGAAACATCTGATATCTTCTCATAAAATTATCTCATGGTGCCGAATTTCTGACTTTCACATCCGGTTCACATCGATTACTAAATCCTGACTAAGTGTGTATGTATATGGGCAGGAACGGAACACGCATTAGAAAGTGACTACCCTTCCTACATTCACAACAACCTATAGTACCCATTCAAGAGTATATCTCATATTTTCCTTTTCTTCTCATGTAATCTATGTTGTTTTGAATAGGAATCAAGTTAAATGTAAGGAATCTTTATTGACCTATTTGATTGAATTAGATTTATTAAGCGTGAAAATTCTATCCGCAGGTTATTATGCATGCATGTTGCTATAATATAATGATTCTATTTATTCGAATAAATAAATAAATAATAAACTACTGTGACTAAGCTAATGCACTTTATCTAATATGTCGCCTAATCTCTCTTTTATTATTAGATATATATATATATATATATATATATATGAGCTAATTGCAAGTTTATTGTACCGTTGTATTCTTGAACGTAAAATTTCAATATCTCGAGTTCTACTCAACCAATCCTTCTGATTTTTTTACCATATGTTCTACTAACAACTCCTCACTACCACACAAAAAAATCACGAGATTATATTGAACGAGTTCTGAGATATTGGCTGCACAAGGCCCAAAAGTTCGATATCTGCTACCATCTACTGGGCGAAAAGTAGTATGACCAATTCGTTACTTGTCAATTGAATTTTGACAGTTGGTGATATTTACAGTATACAGTCTACACTTCTCGGCTATAAAACTCATTCGTCCTTTCGACGTGTTTTTTATTATACTTTTCTCGAAATACCATGCGTACAAACAACTCTCAATTTTCTATCACGGGAGATTCAAATTCATTTTGGGACCCAGTGACTCGTCTAAAATTGATCGGGCTGGTGTTAAATAAAAGGCAGTTGGTACTATATAAAACCACTAAACACGATGAGAACATTGTCCTATTTGTTGTTGACAAAAGAAATAAAATGAAATTTAAAAATTAAGTTGCCACACAAAATGTCACGGGAGATTTTTCGATTTGTTCGGAACATAACTCTCTTATACTAAGTCAGATTGCGACGAAACTTTGACCGTTTTATCCACTCATTATGCTCAACTATTGGTTAAAATATCAAAGCCAGAAGCTTTGTCTATCTCGAGAAAGAGCAAAAATATCGTTAATATGTCACGCGAGACTTTTTTTTCAGAAAACTGTCACGTGAGACTATTATTTGAATAGTAGTACGGCCTATTTCATCCCTCAATATTTTTCAATAAAAAACGATATTTTTAGAATCAGCATTGAATTCTGAACAAAACTAGCTAGTCAATTTTTTGGATAGGTCAAAAAACATAGTTTCAAAAAATATTTTTCTACCGTGGTACCCCTCAGTAGCCAAAAATTTGTTTTTTAAATTTCAGACCAAACTTAGATGATTCGTAGGTTATCGACATTGCTGATCACGAATATGATATTCATTTTGATTCAAAATGCTCATTAGAAACACGAGCAATGCTGCCTTATAACATCACAAGACAATATGGATCCCGGTTCCGTAAGCATTTTGAATCAAAATGAATATCATATTCGTGATCAGCAATGTCGATAACCTACGAATCATCTAAGTTTGATCTGAAATTTTAAAAAAGTTTTGGCTACTGAGGGGCACCAGAGCAAAAAACGTTTTTTTTGAAAAATATTTTTTTGCCCTATGCAAAAAATTAACTGGCCAGTTTAGTTAAGAATTCAATGCTGATTCTCACCTTGTCGTTTTGTTTTTGAAAAATATTCGGGAATGAAAAATGACCCTACTGCCACTAATAATTTGAGGGCTTTTTATATATTTTTTCAAAAACTCTTACAGCACGGCCAGTTTAACAGTGGTAGTCGGGAAAATTTACCCATATTCCCCTCTCACATAGTACACTAAGATGCTCGACTTATAACCCCTAAAATCGAAAAAACTTTTTCTTCGATTTTTTTCTCAAACGGTACAATAATTTTGGAATTAGCTCATATATATATATTTATATTCTAATGAAAGTAAAAACAGAAAAAAAGGAAGTCTGTGTCTGATGAAAGAATTGTCTCTATTGCCGATGACATATTGATGACAAGTTACACGGAAATAGATTGGTTCTACTTGATACATTACATGTCTTGACAAAACAGTGATTCTTTTGCTTGATTAACTTAGTAACCGAAAAAAAGTCACGCTCAAAGAAAATACTTCTAGAAGTTTTCTTGTGTTCTTTTTTTCCTTGGTTAGCGCCTTTCTCTTTTTCTTGATACTATCACAAGCCTTTTTGGACATTCTAATGTCAAGAAATAATAAAATAAAAAGTACATCGGGGTATGTTACAGAAAAGAGAGAGAGAGAGAGAGAGAGAGAGGGCTGGGGGAGGGGTAAAAAACGAATAAGACTAACGTGACATNATTATTCTCAAACTATAAATTGCCATAACTAACTAGATGGTATTCGAGTTTCACTCCACTACGAGATGCGGTGCAAAGTAAATACGCATTACGCGAAGTCAGTAAAAGCGGAAAAAAGATATATCAAGTTCGATCTTAAAACTCTTACCTAAACTTTCGACGAATCTTCTATAACTCTCCAATTTCGAGATCATCACGCAACAAAAATCACTTTTTAGATGCGTACACGTCAAGTAAGGAAAAAGTAAAACTACATGGTATTCAAGTTTCACTCGGATACGAAATGCGGTGCGAAGCTCGAATTAGATACTCACGAAAAATCTTCAATT